CGGCCAACAGCGGTAGCGCCTGCCTCTTGCTGAGCTGTGTCCGCTGGCAGGGGCACCCGCTGAATGGTGTGAACGATCGCATCCTGCCGCTGCCCAACGGCAGCAGCGGATGCGGCCCGTCGACCCACAGCGGTGTCGCCTGCCTCTTGCTGAGCTGTGTCCGCTGGCAGGGGCACCCGCTGAATGGTGTGGACGATCGCATCCTGCCGCTGCCCAACGGCAGCAGCGGGTGCGGCCCGTCGGCCAACAGCGGTAGCGCCTGCCTCTTGCTGAGCTGTGTCCGCTGGCAGGGGCACCCGCTGAATGGTGTGAGCGATCGCATCCTGTCGCTGCCCAACGGCAGCAGCGGATGCGGTCCGTCGACCCACAGCGGTGTCGCCTGCCTCTTGCTGAGCTGTGTCCGCTGGATTGGGCTCCCGCTGAATGGATTCAACGGTGGCATCCTGCCGCTGCCCATCGGCAGCAGCGGGTGCGACCCGTCGGCCAACAGCGGTAGCGCCTGCCTGTTGTTGAGGTGAGGCAGCAACGTCGCCATTCATAGCTTGTTGCTGCAGTGGTTGTTGGTGCAAAGTGGTAAGTGTTGGCCCCTCCCTTTGCTGCGTGGCTGTGGCAGCGGCGTACGAGGATTCCGCGCGTACGGTTGTGGTGATGTCGTCATTTGGTCCAGCAGTAGTCATGGTTCGTGCCGCAATGTGTGCTACTGCTGATTTTTGCGTCTGGTACGCTTCCGTCTCAAATGGCGTGGCCAGGACGACGAAGTCCAGCGCGCCATTAACATGCCAGCGGCATGGCAGGTCGTTAGGGAGGCGATATCCAGATCGAAGGGATATGATCCACTTGTCCAGTGCCGGTATAGGGCAGTGGACTCTGTAGTGGTACCATGGGGAAACTCCTAAGATTACGTCTGCCGGCAGTAACTTAGATAGTTGTCCCCTAACCGCGCTTTCCGTCAGGCCGAGCGGCCAGCCATGGGTAAGGATTTGTAGCGGTTGTGGTATCACATAGTATGGACCCTCCCTGGCAACCCACCAGACCGGTGTGTGGCCGGCCACGGTGGTACGCAGTTGACTGCGTGTGTCTAGGAGGCTGATGAGCTGGTGCCGTTGCTGCTGGGGGATGGCGAGGTCATACGTTAAAGATAGCCCCGCCGCGCAGTTGGATATACGCTCCCCGCCAGCTGTACCTGGCATCTGCCGGCGGTTGGCAATTGCCGAGTGCAGGAGGGGTAGGAGTGCTTGGTAGAGGGATTTCTGCAATGGCCGGGTATGTCCCTCCAGTTCTGTCCTCGACCGGTCTCTGATTATGGTGGTAAACGAGACCACCAAAAGGTTGGCTCTGAGTGCCGCTTGCTGCAATTCTTGTGTGCAAGCGACCTCCAAAGCTGGGGGCTGCGGGGGACCGCGTGTCTGGCGACGGGAAGACGTTGCTGCACTCATGGTGCGATCCCAGTAGCGTCACTGCACTAGGTCGGGTTCCGCACGTCGCCGGCTAGGGATGTAAGAATTTCTAATGTTAAAGTTAGGATAGCAGCAACTGATTCAAAAGGATGGAAATGTCAGTTCCGATACCGGATCCCGCGTCGCGTTTGGTAGCGTGAGACGGCATGCCGAAACGGAAAAGATTGAGCAACAATTTTGCCGAAACGGAAAAGATGTTTGGGCTGAACTGGGTCTCAACGGTTTGGGCCGATCTGGGTCAACGGTTTGGGCCGATCTGGGTCAACGGCTTGGGCCGATCTGGGTCAACGGTTTGGGCCGATCTGGGTCAACGGCTTGGGCCGATCTGGGTCAACGGTTTGGGCCGATCTGGGTCTCAACGGTTTGGGCTGATCTGGGTCTCAACGGTTTGGGCCGATCTGGGTCAACGGTTTGGGCCGATCTGGGTCAACGGTTTGGGCCGATCTGGGTCAACGGTTTGGGCCGATCTGGGTCAACGGCTTGGGCCGATCTGGGTCAACGGGTTGGGCCGATTTGAGTAAACGGTTTGGGCTGATCTGGGTCAACAGTTTGGGCCGATCTGGGTCAAGGGTTTGGGTCGATCTGCCTCTCCCACAGGCCCGCCGTTCCGACGGCACCGAGGTGGCCCTCAAGGCCCTCAGTCTCCGGTCCCTGCGCGATTGGAAGCAGCTAGAGCTATTCCAGCGGGAGGCGCGTACTCTGGAGGGCCTTACGCACCCCGCTATTCCCCGCTACGTGGATTATTTTGAGGAGGACGACCCGGCGGATCGCGCCTTCGTGATCGTCCAGGTACGGTACGGTGCGGTACAACATGCAGGCGTGTGTGTATGTGTGTGCATATGGACATGTCCATGTCCACTTTAAAGGGACCTCAATTCGCTGTGAAAAATCCTTGATGTTGGGGTGCACGGGTAAAATCATTCGAAGCATTTTTGGCAGCTATTCTGCTGTACAGGTTGTACTGCATCCGTATGCTGCGACCGTATCCTTTGGCAGCGGTACCTTTATGCATGGCTGTGCCTGCACTGCCCCTTGATGGAGAAGTTGGTCTGGTGGCATTGAGCAGAATCCTCATCCTGTCTCTTCTTCACAGCCGCTGCGGCTGTGGCCGGTGGATGGCCGCCATCGTCCCCACCACAGCCTTTATCGTTTGCGTATTTAAAAGTGTCGTACGCAGGTCTTTTATGTGTCCCGCTGATGGTCCCCAGCCGGGCCTATCTTGGCCGGTACCGTGTATCGTACAGTACGGCATACACACATACACGCGGCGTCCGCCCTCTTGCAGGAGGTGGTCCGTGGGAAGTCTCTGGCGGCCATGATACAAAGCGGGCAACGGGCCACGGAGCAGGAGGTACGACATCAACAACGACAATAACGAACAGGGGATTGGGTTTCCAGGCTTTAGGTTGGGTTGTTTCACATGAACGATATTTATACGTTATTTTACTAAAACTAACGAATTTTGTAACTGTTCTCTTTCGTATTAGTAACGCATGCGAATATGGGATTTGCTTTTCGTAGCTGCTTGGAAAGCTGAAAACATTTCCTGTGTCGTATGTCGTACAACCTCGTCGTACAACAACCAGGTCATCCGCATCGCGGGGGAGATGCTGTCAGTCCTAGAGTACCTAGGAACGTTGAGGCCTCCGGTGATCCACAGGGTAAGGACCGCGGGGTCGGCTGTTAGGCGGGTAGGCGGTAAGTTTGGTCGGTGTTTGATGGGTGTGTAGTCGGTGCGAACGAGTGCTGATGAATGCGGGACTGGGGACACGCACCCGCTGTATGCGTGCGACGTCTGAAATCAAGCGCAAATGAGCTCAAGGCAAGGACCCCCGCGCCGCCATCTTCTTAAACTACTCCATGTCGTACCGTATTATGTTTAGCCGTACCTCACAGTGCTGTGCGGTAATAAGATGTATTCTGCTTCCTGACCATCCGCTGTAACTTCGGAATGTACGGCGCTTGTACGGCATGCTGCAGGACGTGAAGCCTGACAATATTATCCTGGAGGGTGGTCAGTGGGGCGGTCGGGTGTTCCTGGTGGACTTCGGGGGAGTGCAGGTGGGCGAATGGCTGTGGGTTGGGGTTGGAGTTGGGGTCATCAACAACGGAAGCAACGGGTCAACTCCTGGAGGGAGGGAGGGAGGGAGGGAGGGAGGGAGGGCCATATTCCCGCCGTCCAAAATAGGGCTTGCGGGAGTTTTTGGGGAGAGGTGGATTTGATGTGAATTTGCGTTTGAGAATGTGCGGCGGGTGGCAAAATCCCAGTTGAAATCCGTGCCACAGACGGTTGTCTACTGACACATGCATGCATACATACATACATACATACATACATACATATATACATACATGCATACATACATACATACATACATACCCACACGACCCGCAGGCGGTGGCATCTGCCGGGGAGCTGTCGGGCCTGGGCAGCACCATCGTGGGGACGTACGGATACATGGTATGTACGACATGATGTACGGCAGAGATTCTGCTGCCATTCGGATGTCGGGATTGCTCTTACGGTCCAATGACTCAATGCGTGCGGTCCTGTACAGAATGCGTGCTTGTGCTAATCGCACACGGTTCTCCTATTCGCATATATACTTGACGTGTAGCGGGCATGTGGCACAAGTGAGATTTACAAATCTCATCTGCGCGCCCGCTTACCGGCGTCGTACAGGCTCCCGAGCAATTCCGCGGCGCCGCCGAGCCCGCCAGTGATCTGTACGCCCTGGGGGCCACTCTGCTGTACCTCCTGACAGGTAAGACGTACGGCATACATGCCCGCAACATACATGCCCGCAACATACATGCTTGCAACATACATGCTCGCAACATACATGCTCGCAACACGTGTACATCCGCCGTACCCGAGTTGCGAGCAAATTTTGGTGATTCCTTTTTATTAGGGGATGAACTACCTAATAGTCTACCCATCCCCTATGTAGACCCCCAACCCCAGCTGGTCCCAGTTGGGCTTCGGCAGTTATTAACACCCTTTCCTGCTTCTTGCTACATGATGTGGTTCCACCCCTTCCCATCCCTATCCCATCCTTACCCCGCATTCCCGCCCACCCCAGGCCAGCCGCCCTCCGCCTTTCCCCAGGAGCGGATGCGAATCAACTGGCGGGCAGGACTGGGCCCCTCGGCCGCCGCCTCAGTAGTGACCTCACCCGCGCTGGGAGAGCTGCTAGATGGGCTGCTGGAGCCGCTGGCGGAGGACCGCCTGACGGCGGCGGAGGCGCGCCTTGTACTGCAGGTACGGCAAGTGCGGCAGAGGCCGTAACGGAAATGGGTCCGTGAACTGGACTGACCCGTGGGTCAGCGGGTCATCACTCTTTGAAATGCGTTAGGAAGGCATGCGTAGCTCATGCCTGGGTTAAGATGGTAACCCATTTCGCACAGACGAGGTCAGGAGCCCCACAGGCACCCAACACCCAACCATTATATGATCACACACGCGTCCTCTTAAGATCTTCGCACATGCACGTCGTTCCTTGTCTTACTCTCACAGCGCAGAACTTTAAAAAACACGTGTCATCTCTCCCTTTCTCCCCCTCCCTCTTTTTCCTCTCTCTCTCTTTCTCTCTCTTTTATCTCTGTCTTTCTCTTTTCTCTCTTTCCCTCTCTTTTTCTCTCTCTTTTTTCTCTCTTTTTTCTCTTTTTTCTCTTTTTTCTCTTTTTTCTCTCTCTTTTCTCCCTCCATCTCCCTCTATCTCCCTCTCGCTCTCTGTCTTTCTCTCGCTTTTCCTGTGCCTTTCCGTGTCCCCGTCCTCCCTTCATCCGTCGTCGGTAACCGCCTGCCCCGTCGAGACACACACACACACACACGCACACATCCACTGATTCACTCGCTCGCAAACCCACATGCCATGTATTGCCCACCACACAGGGTAAGGCCCTGCCGGATCGTACGACAGGTCAGGTTCAGGGCGCCAGATCTGTCAGTGGGTTCGCAAGAAGAAGAACAAGGGTGAGTACTGAGCGCATCGGGTCAGCACGGACAGCATCCAACGTCATCTAATTCCATACTACGCCAACTTCATATCCCTTTCCCACCCATCAGCACATTTCGGCATTGCGGCACATGTCGCCGGCCGCTAGAGTTTCCGCTGTCTCTGGTTGGGCAGGCCAGGGCAGGCTGGGCTTATCTGGGCTGCGTGGATGGTTGGTCCCACACCAAATTTCCAATTGGACCCATATGACTCCCGCTTGCCCCGTGCTACGGCTCCGGTACGCATACACCCGTATACGCCCTCTGGCCGGGAGGGGTTGTCCCAAAGGCGCAGCAGCGGATGCCGCCACCACCGCCCACGACCTTGCAGGAGGCTTACCTGCAGCAGGTGAGCGGGCGCAGCGGAATGTAAACTAGCGTAGGGGCTTATAGGATTTTCGGCCCTTGTCAAATTGAACATGTAACACATTCTGTTATACACACACACAGAGTTCGTTCATCACTGCATCGCTTCACATTGTGCTGCTACCGCTGCTGCTCCTCCCACCGATGCCGTTGTCCTCCCGCCCTCCACGCCACACCACGCCACGCCTCCTCCGTGCCACGAATTCGATTGCCCGATTCATCATCACCCATCAGGCCCTCATAGCCACATCCGGGGCCCGAGCCGGCTCCCCGGGTGCGGGTGCGGTGTTGTCGCGACCCGCGGGCAGCCGGGTGCAGCTGGACATCAGTCAGGACGGCAGCAGACTGGACGTGGTCATACCGCCAAGGGTGAGATGCGTGGAGGGAGAGAGGAGGGAGGAGGACAAGTGGTGGTTATGGTGTTAGGTGTTGGTGGTGATTGGTGCAAGGGCCGGGCGAATCAAGGGAAGCACCCCCTCCCCCTCCACGGTACGCCCGCCCTACGGGGGTGGGTGGTGATGGGGCCCCGGGGATATAAATTGAACTTGGAAAGGAAGGAAGAGTCTCCCGCCGCTTCGACACCACTGATAACACCATAACAATTGTCTACTGGGACTTCCAGCGCCACTTCTTTTGTCCATACCGCCCCGTTCCCCCAAACCACACTGGAATTCTGCAACTCCCCAGATCTCAGTTTGTTTCTCCACACCGATGTAAATATATTTTTTCATTTTACCCGTTTCCCCATCAACAGCGCGGAGCACCATCTAACACCACTACCACTACCACTACCACTACCACCTCAAAATCTGCACGCGGCCCCGCAGGGTTTCAATATGGACACGGCCTTCACGGGCGCCTTCGCCCTGGCCTGGAACGCCTTTGTAGCTGTGTGGACTGTGGGCGCACTGGCCAGCGGTGGGTTGCTGTTTGCCCTCTTTTCCGCGCCCTTCTGGCTGGCGGGTGCGCAGCTGGCGCGGGGGGTGCTGGGGGGAGCGCTCACACGTGAGCGACTGGCGGTGGGGTCCACGCGGTGGCGACTGGGCCAGCAGCTAGCGGCCCTTGGGTCGGATGGCAAGGTGGACTTCCTGAAGGGCAAGAATGAAAAGGTGTGCGGGCCGGGATGTCGAGTTGCGGGAGGAAAAGGGAAGACGACACGCACTCATTCAATCTTGTCCGCTTTCATTTCCCACATACGCACTTCACCCCACCTCACCGCACCTCACCTCACCTCCCTTTCTCAATTGCAACCCAACCCACGCGCGATCCACTCCACGTCCGCCCACACGTCCCCCGTCCCCATCCCCGTCCGTGTCCTTCCATCAACTCCGGGGATGCTGCCCCTCTCCTCACAACCTCCATCTCCGTCTTCATTGGAGTGGCGGCTACTGGGTCCCCAGATCCAAGAGGGCCTTACGCGCGATCTCACAGCCGCCCGAGTAGTGACCACCGCCTTCATTAACGGTGTGCCGCAAACCGCCATTGAGTTGGTGGAGGGAGTTAACAAGTGAGTACAATTGGTGTTACGGTTTCTGTTACAATGCCATACATATCCGCAACCCACAACCCCAACCTATTACGTGCTCCGATTTCACGGCCTTTTCACGTCTCGTACAGGTACCGGTTTGGCGAGGGCCTGGAGCAGGTGGAGCAGCAATGGATCGTCCAGGAGATCAACCAACAAATCGCAGCGGTGCAGGTGGGTTTTACGTGGTATATGGATGCGGCCTGAGGTAAAGGCAGGAATAACGGAGCCGAGTGGATATCCTCTCGAGTCGTTTTTGTCCAGTACTTGTAAACGTCATGATTTTGCGCATAAGGGAGCACGTAGCGCCATGCCCTGGGCTCGCAATATGTCGCTTGGAGCCCCTCTCGGGGACCACTCTGTTGTACCGTCCTGCAGACAGAGGCTGGTTTAATTAGACATCACTCACTTTCCTGATGCAGGGCAGGGAGCTTGACTTGTCCGCTCTGCCGCCGCCGGAGATGCCCAAGGTACTGAATGACGACGACTCGAGTGACGATGAAGACGATCGACGGCGATAATGATGATTGGTGATGGGATGTATTTAGGGGCCCCTTGAGCAGCCGGGAGCCGTGCAGTCTGTATCACTATTCAGGGTGACGTGCGTCACTGGCTTCCACCATGCATTCCACCATGCATTCCACCAACGCCGCCGCCACAGCAGCGGCAGCAGCACAACACCAGCATAACCAGCAGAAAGGAGCGTCATTGCCTTTTGGAGTCTCGGCACGTGCACGAGACTTTCACCGTTCGTTTTTGCTCTTTTGCCGTCCATGAAGAGCGCATGGAACCCTGGATGGATATTACAAGCATCTGGAAGCTGTTCCTATTTCGGGGGGGTGTATTTGTCTGTCTGTGTCTGTGTCCTGATTTCGGTGTGTGTGTGTGTGTGTCTGTGTCTGTGTCCGAAGATTTAATTTGCGCATGGAGGCGTGCACGAAGGTGGCGGTGGTGAGGGTTGGGTTGGTGACTGGAAAATGGCTGTTGCGGCCCCGTTGAGGCATGGGGCAGGGTTGGCGTGGCGGGCATTTTGCTTGTCGGTTGGACGGTTGTCGACGGAGTTCAGAGCCCAAGGCAGTGGAAGAGACTTCGGGGTATCTTAACCATATCCCCTTGAGTGGACCCGGAGGAGGATACACGATAACATACTTCATTTCATTTAGATGGAGTTATAACGCATTGACACCTCCCACGATATAAAATTGGCTCCACCGGCAACCCGTGGGTGAGGCGCATTGGGGGGGTCATTTTTGGATGCCCGCCAACATTTACCTGGACCCCCACGCGTAATAATGACAACATCTGATAGGTCTGACCTTATCTCCTGAACGCGTTACTTCCCTCGAGTCCCCGCAGGATTCCCTCATGCCGGCCTCGTGCACACGGCCGTTGTTTTTATAAGCCAAGGTGCTCATAGTCCGAGCTGCTTCCCAGTCCGAGCTGCCGGCCCACATCAATAACTAGTCGAGCTGGCGCCGTATGGCCGCCGCACACTCTGTGCACTGAGGAGAAACCCTCCTGCTCCGGGAGACACCAACGCTACGTTGGAATCTAGGGTTTCAAGTAAGTGGTCACGACGTTTCCCATCCCAATCCCCTATCCAGCAGTGGGAGCCTGAGGCCCTTGAGGTGCACTGATGGAGTGTGCCCCGCACTCAGCGCGAAGGGCCTCTGTACGGGCGAGGTGCGGGCTATTCCTCACAGCACGGGAGCAACCGCGCTTATCACGCCACCGTGGCCGTGCAATGGCGATAGACATCCGCATCCGCACGTACTCACAACCCAGTTGCACAAAACGTAACACACCTAGCATAGGCACAGCCACAGGCTCGCACACGCCTGTTATCCGTCCAAGTTTACGACCCAGCCCTAACTACACAGGTAGGCAATGTGCATGCCTGTTTGCAGGTTAACCTCAGCTGGGAGGGTAGGAATTGCGGCATTTGCCGGCAGGAGCGGAAGCAAGTGAGCCACACAACTTGTGGCGAAAATATTCCTGGAAAATCTCTGACCTTCTCGGGCCAGTATGCTTCGGCTTCACACTGTCCCTTCTGACCACATCAAGTGTTGAGGAGTTTGCAAGATACAGTGTTGATGCAACCCGTTATGGTCCGGTCTCATCCTCACAAAGCAGCGATGTCAAATGCATCCTTTAGGAAAAAAAATACTGCGCACCCTGCATGGACACTTATGGTGCAGCCTTCCCACAGGCCAATCTGTACTGTGTGCCGCCAAGGCGAGCAGCAGCAGCAAGTGGGAGCTCGTGAATGGCCACCTCTCCGACAACACCAGCAGGTGTACAGCGCACAGCCCTGTAGCGGGTCATCACCCCGCACCGTTTGTGCTTGCGAGATCCAACATAAATAATAATTGGCCATCCAACCCCGTTCCTTGCATTAGCACGTCTTGACTACAAGAGGCCACGTACTTCATGCGCACAACTTGAGCCGGCGTCGTGAGGTGAGGGACCGTCGAATCAGTCCGAGCGCCAAATGATCGATCCAGTCATGAAATGCGGCCTACATTCGAAATGTTGGTACGTCCGAAAGCTGGCCGCCTGGACTCGACAGCAATCGGTTGTGCATAAAAGGAAGCAGCACTGACGATCCACTTTCGTATTACGGCAACCTGCCCAGTTCAGTCTTACCAACTCCGAGCGGTACAGTCCCATCACGTACAGCAGAACTTCCCGTGCCTACGCAACTTACTGCGGACACATCTCACTCGGAATACGCCCACCATCCATTGCCTTCCGCTCCAACGGACGCACCCGCCACACCCACAACAGTCAAACAGCGGCACCGACGACGAACAATGTGCCAACCGAAGGAGAACCGACTTTCACACTGCCGGACGCTGGACCGAATCCGGCAATCCAGGTCCCTTAGGGGTAGCAGTTTCGCGCAACTTCTGCAGACACTAAAGCTTCTTCAGGCCGCCCTCTGTAATGCCCCATACAGCTACGGTTGCCTACCTACTGTTCCCTCGGTCATTTCTTCTGTTCTCAGTAATATCAATTACGGCCACGCTTTTATACAACGCAAAAATGATACATTGCAATGCCACTACACCACATATCTTTCACAACTTCACTGCAGGGCAACTCGACACACGCTGTAACCCACCGCACCTAACACCAAATGTATGGCACAACCACAACCCGGCCTCGGCACATCCTCCACTGCCAACACTCTCTCCACCCAACCTTGTCTTCCGGCCTCCTCTTTCTCCTGCTCTTCACTGGGACAGTCCCCGAAACAAGAAGTCCAGATCGTCCATGGTGAGCCGGCCAGCTGCCGCACTGCCGTCACGCCCCTCAGTCAGTGCTGCCGCAACCAGCTCCCTCTTAACCTGCTGCAACTCCAGAATGCGATCCTCCACAGAACCGGCAATCGTGATGCGGGTTACGTGCACGGTGCGGGTCTGGCCTGTGGAAGGTGCAAACGATAGAAAACCATAGGTACAGTGACGAAGGGCTTTGGAGGAAAAACAAACAGATTACCTGCCCACGTAGAGGGAACTGCCTTGAGTGGTGTTAACGACGTTCATTACCGATAATTAAGCAAACAAGTGAAAACAGCCCTTATCGCCGCGAGATATATGCATGCGCGGTATGCACGCATGCCATCTCCGTAGGAAGCTGCTGACCTACCTATACGGTGTGCACGGTCGATGGCCTGTTCCTCCGTGGTGGGGTTCCACCAAAGGTCCATAAGAACCACGTGGTTGGCTACCGTAAGGTTGACTCCTAATGCCGCAGCCTTCAGGGAAACCTGTGAAGAGAATAAGAATAAGGAGAAATGAAGGCCGCGTAGATAATGGAGCCGGCGGGAAGAGGAACGTTGAGACCCTGAGCCGTCGTCACCCGTGACTCACCAGCAGCACCATAACATCGGGTTTGACCTCGAAATCCTGGATGGCCCGCTCCCTGTTTGCCACCGACATTGTACCGTCCAGCCTGGGAGGCGTGGGTAGTTGGTCCACGGGGTTTGGTTCGCTGGCATATCCAGTCTATTATATTGCCACATCACATCTTGTGGTGTATGCAAACATATACGGAAAACGTCGCACATCAGAAGATACACGAAGTCCGCTTCCGCTTCTTACTACATAAGCAGAATGGAAAAATGAAAAGTCCACGCATGGATAAAAAGGCCATACGGGTACGCTGTGTTGGGTGCATCCGCGACTACAACCCCCCAAAACCCCTTTCACCTGCGGAAGTGGATCTTGGCCTTCCGCATCGGAATTTCCAACAGATCCAACATGCTCGTCCACTGGCTGAACACAATCACCTTTTCCGGCCGCCCGCCGCCGCCGTGCGACATGCCGGCACCTGCGACGGCGCCTGACTGCAGGGGTGGCAGCTTGCGCAGCGCGCCTGCCATGCGCTTGTCGGATTTGGACTTTACAGGCAACGGCGCAGATGCGCCAGCAACATCCCTGGAAGACAGATTGGTGGGATCGAGGGAGGAACACCGTCATGCAGTCACGGCAATGGACAGTGTTTTCGTAACAACATCGCCGCTTGACCCTTCCCTAGTTTCACCGCGTTACGCCCTCTCAAATCCCCTACCCATTAACCCAATGCCATAGCTTTTACCTTGCACCAGCCTGCTCATTGCTCTTGGCTCGAATGCACTCCAGAAGCGATAAAAGCCGCTCCACCTTGGCTGAGCTTACCCACTCAGGACCGCCTCCGCCTCCACCAGCGTCGCTGCCACCGCCTCCGCCAGCCTTGAGTGTGGGGTCCACCGCTGCCAACGCCGCGGCGCTGTGCAGGTCGGAACCCCGCAGCAAACGGCTGCAAGCGGGGCACAACAGCTCGCCCTCGACGCCTGTTGGTTAGGGGTTAGGAAAGGAAAGCAGGCAAGACCCAACGCGCGGGGGTTTAGGGGCGGCGCCGTTTAGGACGAGTGGAGTGTGTCGAGGCCAATGACAAGGATGAGATGTGAAAGAAAGGATCAATTGATAGCGTGGGTGGTGCGAATCTTGTGTGAGGCTTGTGGGCAGTAGCTACAGGAAATCAAGCTGTACGAAAGGAGGCACACAAATGAGACACGCCAGGCAATGAGCCTAGGCCAAGGCGGGGCCACGGCTCCATACTCCTCCTTTAACCTTGCCGGCCCTCCTTACCCGCGCCCTCCTTCTGCGCCGCCAGGCACTGCGCACAAAAGACGTGGCCGCATATGGATGCGACGGGATCCTCCGCTATGTCGCCGCAACAGGGACACTGCGCGTCGCCACCGCGGGACAGCGCCGCTACCAGAGCAGAACGCACCTCGGGACTTAGCCGCCGAGCAGCTTCAACTTCGGAAGCGCTAGGGGGCCCTAGGGGGCCAGGTGGACGAAATCGTACGCAGAAAACAAAGGATCAGCTGCCAACATCCAAAGTCGCAAATACGAACGGTCCCAGCAGGTACGAAAAATAATCGTTCCCCCGGAAAGAAGACCCCTAAGCCTGTCTGCGCCCAGCCTTCTGCCTGTTAACACGCGGTCCTAGCAAGGCTCGGCCTTCACGGTTGGCGCCGCCGGTCGCCCTCACCCGTCTTGTGCCAGGTGTTCCTCGCGCCGCGCACCAGCCAGGGGTGGTTGCACGCCTGTCTCAGCTTGAGCAGCGAGTGCAGCATGTTGACGTACTGGCGGGATCCGCTGACTCCGCCATCGCGAGCCTCTTTGATGGCCCGGAGAGAGTCCGCCTGGACCTGCGAAACGAAGCCGTGACCAAGCCGACGAGCCCTTCAAGCAGCCGTAACTAAGCCAAAGACCCTCTAAAACCCCAACCCCGAGAGCAAAGCACGAACAAGCACGAACAAGCTCCCAGTGCAGACACGCAATATTGCGATATGCCACTAACCGTTCATTCTGGGACCGTGTTGTAAGACGGCACGGATGCCCATCGGCCAGGGCAACCAGTTCAGCATAACCACAACCACAACCATCGCAACTAACTAACTAACTGGTCTTCAAAACATGCATCTACACGCGTACGGCGTACCTGGCTGTAGAAGGCCGCCTCCTGCGCGGAAAACTTGACCCTAAGCAGCTGCTGCTCCCGAGCCGGCAGTTTAATGATGGGCTCTCCGTTAATGGTGGACTGTTTCGTACGGCGCAGGAGTACCGCCTAGAGGAAGGCAGGGAATGAGGGAGTAAGGTTTGAGGATACGTGAGCCGTAGGCCAAGGTCGGCGCGCTGATCAAAACCCAGGGCTACAAGCGGCAAAAGAAAACAATGCTATGGACATGGACATGGAGGGCCTTTCAAAAGCAGTTGATTGGCTGGTACGGCAGATGAATGCTGCAGATACGTGATCTCTGTGAACGTGTTACTACAGCGACACGTATGATTCATGACCGCCATTGCCATTCATGCCGCAATAATTACGATGCGAGCAAGATAGAGTGAAGGAGTGGAGTAGTCACCAGTTGATATACATAGAGATTCGCATCCCGCAAAGCATCGCTATGGAGGACAGATGTGCGAGAAACCTGTGAAGCCGCGTGAGAGCCTGGCCCCGGGCATCCGGATGGGACATCTAGGCTGCTGCTGTCGCTACTTCTGCTGCCCGAGACGCACGAGCAATAAAAAAATGGGTCGGTCCCGGAACAAAACGCTCCCACGGCACCTGCAGCACCGCCTGCAGGAACTTGTACCCGATTTCGGGCCGTTCCACGATCTTGGTTTTGATTAGCTCCTTAAACTTGCGTGATTCACAGTACGGCGCGTACCGCAGAAATCTGTTGTACCATGGGCACAAAACACAAAGAGGCATTCTTTAATCTTCGACACCTTTAAAAGCAAAACCTAGAAAATTGTAATGCTATTACCAAGGACCAGTAGGAAACCAGAAGGAGACTATATAATGTCATTATCGAACACGAGCAGGAGGCGCTTTCCGAGTCCTCAGCCATGCATCGTCATGCAGAACGTAACACTGCGTTTGCCCGTTGTTGTTTTCCGGTCCTGGCCTGCACTGACGTAACCCCCCCCTACCTGAAGTACGAGTACAGGTCGTCGACGGTGTTTTGGATGGGCGTGCCGCTGAGGCACCAGCGACAGTGCGCGAAGAGCCGCCATGCGGCGTGAGCAGCCAGTGTCCGAGGATTCTTGATGGACTGAGCCTCATCCAACACCACGCTACAGAGATAGTAAGAAAGGAGGAGAGAGCATGGTGCAAAGAGGAAAGCGAAACAGAGTGGCAGCGGTGAGAGCGGGGCGAGGTGGATGCACTGTCGGTACGCTGCACCCACACGGTGCATGTGGAACTGATTGTAACCCCAGTTGGGGATGAAGGACGGTTGGGTCCTTTTTTGTCCAGTCCGCGGCCGCGTCGCACAACCCTTTCTCCCTTCCCTTTCTAACCATGACCAACGTAACAAAATGGCGGGGCTTCCGGCTCACCGCTTCCACTTTATCTGGTACAGGGCCCCGCCTGCCGGGTCTGCGGGAGGCTTGCTTCGCGGCCGATTTGAGCCCTTGCCCTTGGCAGTTGGCAGTCCCTGTACAGCCTGCGGCAGCACGCGGTGGACAGCACGCTCAACGTGAGTTTGGTTCAACATCAACACCAACACCAAACACCAACCGCAGCAGTATTAGCAGCGTCAATGGTTACGAGCGGCAGCCGTAAGCACAATAGCGCCTGTCGCATCGTCCGTCAGCTGCATGGCGATTTCAGCAGCCAAGGGTGCGACACCGAAGCTAGGAAATTGTAGAATCGTAGCCGCAGTGGCAGCAATAGGAGCAGCGCAACAGTAGCACTCGAAATAGTGGAGACGCGTGAATACAGCACCACATAGAACATCTTGGCACGCCACCCCTGCAGGTTTTTCCCGTTACACCACCTATCCTCTCAACCCTCTGCACCGTCTGGAGATCGCTGTTCCCTGGCGTTCCAGCAAGTCTCTGGCCGGCCCCCAGGTAAACACACCACCGGTTTTCCTTCCTTTTCCAGCAGCCTAATGCCCCAACCCAACGCTCCAGCCAAATGCCCCAGACCACCCACCGGGTCCTCTCCTCCGCTGTCGTCTGCAGCCAGATTAATGGGCGTGTTGCTAGTACCCTGCAGGACGGAAGATCCAAGAGGCCTCGGATTAACAACGCATTTTTAATCGCATACATTCGGCGCATACAATCGTACGTATGGCGAAAACGCGCGCGCGCCGTTGCCTTCGTGCCTTGCTTCGTGTCCGATTTGATAATAAAAGCATTGCGCATGTGAAACAGGAAGCATGACGCTGCAAACCCATACCATGATACAAGCCAAATCAGAGTTTTGGAGTATGCTGTGTTCTCTCCTAGCAACGCCAGCCTAAAAGGCAACGTTGATGCAATTGTGCACAATATGTTATATAACAGCAAAAGCACCAGGACGGGGACCATTCGCAGGTTTTCCATTCCACTTCCTCCTCAGACCGCAACCCAGACCGCAACCCAGACCGCAACCCAGACCGCAACCCAGACCGCAACCCAGACCGCAACCCAGACCGCAACCCAGACCGCAACCCAGACCGCAACCCAGACCTTTCCGCTTCACCCCAGTCCTACCTGGCGACCCAACCGCACCGCCTGCTTGTCCCGGCTCGGTGCCTCCTGCGCCAGCGTGCCGTACGTCGTCAGCACGACACCCATGGCCGCCAGCTGGCGTGCGCTGCTCGCGCGGTCCTTGCCGTGATACACGTGCACCACCAGGCCCGCGGCTGGGGAGACCTTGTCACGAATCTCGCGGGCCCACTGGTGCAGCACCGACGTAGGACACACCACCAGGGTGCCACCAAGGAGCAGGTTTGGAGGCTCGGGCTCGTACAGCGGCCCCTTATTACTGTGGTGACCGTGGCCTTGGCGGCCGCCTGCAGCGCCAGGCTGCACCGAAACCAGCTGGCGGTGGGACGAGAGCAGCGCGGCTGCGCTATTAGAGCCGGAGGCGGCGAGGTTGGAGGAGGCGAGTTGGCTCAAACTTCCCGCGGCGGTAGGCGGAAGGCTGCGGAAGGAGCTGCCGCCGCTGACGGTGCTGGGCCCAGGGCCGTCGGTAATGGACAGAATGTCTGGGTCGTCGGAATCGGCCGAGATCCCGCCGACACCGACGCCTGTGGCTCCTGACGTACAGGTTTTATGAGGTCGCACTGGCGAGTCGTTGTCGTCATCGTCGTCCAGCAAGCTGACAACGCTCGGCCCGGCTGTTGCCGCCGCCGTCATACCGTTTTCCGCCTTTACGGCCATCTCCTGCCGCCCATTATCTGGCCTCTCAGCATCCGTGGCGGTGGTCTCAGGTCTTGTCTGTGCCTGTTCTGCCTGCGCTTGGCTACCGGGCGCACCCGCAACGCCATCACCGTTGCGCATCAACATCATCTCCGCCACTGCTCCTTCCGCCTCCGCCGCGTCGGCTGCGCCCGCTGCTTCCCGCTCCGCACGGAGTGCCCCAAGCCGCACCCCGCACGCGTCCACGTCCTCCTCCCCTTCCTCCTCCTCCGCCATATCCTCCTCATCTTCGTCATCATCATCATCGTCCTCCAGCTCCACCACCTCCCCTGGACTCCGCCGCTGTTGCTGCGGCGGCGCCGCCGCCGCCGCCGCGGCGCCGCGAGGCAGGCCTGCTTCTTCTGGGTTGGTGTGCGTGACGATGAGGGAGATGGTGGTGACGGTCTTGCCCAGACCTTGGTCGTCCGCCAGGATGCCGCCACGTGGCTCAGAGCCGGTCTCTCTTCGGATCATCCAGGCCAGTGCCATGCGCTGGTGCCGGAGAACTGTAACCTGAAGGCTCCTCTGCAGGCGGCCACGGCGGCAATAAAGGGGGTTTAAGAAGTTTTGGGACGTGGCCCATCACGGTGAGGAAGCACAAAAAGCACAGAGGCACAGCCAGAGGGAGGAAGAGAGAGAGAGGGAGAAGTCACACGCAGGCCGTGCACGGAGAAGGACAGGTGTAGAAAGAGACAAACAAATACCCTTTAAAGAAATACATGTATACAGATAGACAGACAGACACATGCAAACATACATGCATACCCGCTTGCATGAAACTACGGGAGCCGTTCCCCTTTAGGGGATGAAGAAGACGACGACAACCGTAATCCGGACGTGAACCCCAACACCCGGACGGTCCAGAGAGCGAGGGCTCCCGCGCTCTCATCCCTACGGGTCCTGCTTGCAACCCTGTTTATTAACCATTCACAGCTGGTTCACATAGGCACATATAGAGGTAAGAGGCCCCTCTTACCTCTGTATATATACATGCGCGTAACTCTTGGTATTGGGTCCCCCTCAAGCCCCCGTTCTCTTTGTGTTAAGATCCTTTCCCCTCAACTTTTCCCAGGTCCTCACCGGTGGCGGCTCCAGCTCCTCGCTCCCAGAGACCTGGAGGCTCTCAATGACAGCCCGGAGCGCCTGCTGGTGCTCCGTGACTACACAACATCGACGAAGAGAGGGGAACCCGCAGGCGGAGCAAGAGTAGGAGGGAAGCGAATGAGAAAGCATGCGCGGTAACATCTGCCAAAACCCAAAACAGCTGCGGACGTTAAGCAGCGAAGTAGCAGCAGAAACCGGGCAGCAACAGGCGCCAGGAGATACCGGGCGCTAGATGCAACCTCTGTTTAAGGAGATGGAGGCAACGAGGAGGCGAAGGAACATGCAAGGCAGGCGGTAAGGGAAGGGCTTCCCACGGCACACGCCGCTGCGGACCAGGAACCGATAATCCCTCCCCTTCTACAGGTTTCGTGCGACCGGTCGGCAACGTACGACAACCATAACCCACCTACCACCACCCTGCAACGGCGAGACAGGGACAACCGAAGTGTGGGCCCAACACCTCCAATTAAGTAGAACAACAGACCCGAATATCAACCCGTCATCTCCGACAGACCACCCGTCTCCTGCACCGCGTCACTCGCCCTGATTCAGCATATCCGCGTTCCTTTAACTCGCTTCTGGTTCCTCCCATAGTTTCCACAGTTCTGTCTAGACACGTCGTCCCGAGACGGGACGTGTCTTAAAAGGATCCCCCTTTTGGCACTTTGTTGACCCTCCCATCGCACCGCGGCTCTGGGGCGGCTCTTTCGGGCTGGATCCCGGCGCCGGCAGCGCCCTCGCCACCGTGACCGTCGTCGGCGCCAATGCGGCGCTGCCGCTGCCGCTGGCAGTGCCGCCACCACCACTGCCGCCAGCCCCGACGGCAATCAAGGGCAGCGGCGGCAGCGACCCCTTGGGCAGCGTGATCCCATTGGCCGCACCGCGCAACCGGTCCTGCAGCCCAGGAAACCAACGGAAATATGTGGATGGCGTGCATGTATGGTGATAGTATGTGACATGAGGCGCGTTGAGGAGGTTTCCTGAAGGGGAAGCGAGCAATCCTAGGGCACCTGCCCTGTGCTGTGCTGCATTTTGACTCTTCGGCAATGCTCCCCTCCTGCATGCGCCGCGTGTTCCTGCCCTCCCGGCCCCCTCTCGCGTACGGTTCCCATAAACCCTGCCTTGACAGTACCTACCGGCATGCCCGTCGTGATCGGTGGCGCCCCCATCACCACCCGCTGCGGCAGCTGCGGTTGCGGCTGCTGTGCCGCGGCTGCTGCAGCCACCCACGACACGTGCGGATGCTGTTGCTGCATCGCCAGCAACAGCTTTCGCCGTTCTTGCTGCAGGCCCTCGATTTGACGCTGCAGCTTGTGCGCTGCTTCCTCGAAGCGCTGCCGCTCCCCACCAGTCATAGGTCGCATTTCCTTGCTGCCGCGACCCACCGGCACCGTGCCCTCCCTCAACCGCGCCTGGACCACCTCTAAATGCAGCGCGAACTGCTGCTCTCGCGCATTCGGCCTCCGTGGATCCTCAACTTGTCCTTGTTGCTCCTGCTGCTGCGGTTGCTGGTGCTCATGCAGTTGCGATAGCCGATGAATCGCATGGCTAGAGGCGTCGGCCGCAGCTGTCAACAAGGAAGCCGGCATTCTGCGTCTCTGCGGGGCCGTTAATTCTACATCAGGCATCGTGCCACTGCCGCTGCCGCCAAGGGACAGCTCGACGACTGGGCCGGGGGCTGGACGCTTTGATGCAGCTCCCCCTCCTGCAACGCCACGTCACGGCCATTCGAAAGCATCGCAGTTAAGAAGCGATCTCTTTCTTAATCAGGCACCGGACACACACACCCTGGGGCATAATGCGGCTGTCGCGGTCGTGTGGCCTGTACCATGCACCCGCAAACGGCCCTAGCAGCCTCCACCAAGATATGCCGGCCCCTGCTCGCCCAGTCAGCAGCGCCAATGTTCTGGTCGGCCGAAGTTCGCAAGCGCCCCGTCACGGACACTGGCCCCTAACGTTGTCGCCAACTGTTCTTCTAAGCTCAAGGGACTTCACATCTGTTATAGTTGTCCTCAGTGGAAACCCTCGTGCATGGCGGCAAAGACTGAAAGCAATGGCAGCGGTTCATGTCCTTTCTCCACTAACCTTTCAGGAAGGAAGCGGGCAAACGGCGCTTCACGCCGGCAAGCGCGGTGCCGGGGTCGTCATCGTTGGTCAAGTCCACAACGCCAAGCTGGGCGCTCTCGCGCCTGGTGCCCTGCTCCCATTGCCCGCCCGGCAGCTGCAGGCCCTCCTGCTGCTGCGGTGGCGCCGGTTGCTGCTCGTGCTGCGCCGCAGGGTCATGCTCATGCGGCCTCCTACGGCTCTGCAGCATGTCTGCAACCGCTGAGCTTAGTCCAATGGCCCCGCTGCCGCCGTGCAACTGCAGCTGAGCCGGCGTCACTTTGCCCAGCCGCTGCTGATGTAGTAGCAACAGGAGCTGCTCCTGTTGTTGATATTGCTGCTGCCAGCTTAGCCCATGCCGCCCGGCCTCCAGGTCATCTGTTGACGCCGGTTGTTGCGCCTGCCCGGGGCTGTCCAAGATCAGTGCATTATCTAGTGGGAGCCTTTCCACTGCTCTGTCGCTGGGGCCATTGCTGAGATCTAACACAAGCGGCTGCCTGAACCCCTGCACCTCCATCGCCCGAAGCGGTAGCACACCCGGCGATGGCGCGAGCTGTAGGGCCTGTTGCTGGTGGTTCAAATGGTGCTGCTGCTGATGGGGATATTGGGGCTGCAGTTCTTCCGGCTGTTGCTTCCGCTCCAATGAAAGGCCATCAGAGTTCTGCAATAGCCGCAGCTCCGGACCCATCTCCTGTCGGATGCCTGTTAGCTGAGACGTCAAGTCCAAGTCGGCTGCCGGTGCTCTGTGAGATACTTCCTCACTGGGCCCCGCCCGGATGCCCACCCTTTGCATGACTTGCAGCTCGAAAGGCTCTGCGCGAGGTGCTGTCGCTAGGCTTTCTCTCGTCGCTGCTTGACCTTGCGCTGGAATCGAAGTCTGATGCGTTTGATCCTGCTGCTGCAGCGGTGTCTGCTGCACCTGTCGTTGGGGTTGTTGCTGTGGCTTCAAAGGTGCGTGCTGCACGCGCTGTTGTGCAGCCCGTTCATGCGCCTGGGTTGCACAGCAGGCAGGCACCAGAATCTGAAAAGAAATATGCGTGTTCTTAGAGCTTTTGGAAGGATTTCAGCTCCTTTTGCGGTAGGATGGCATGGTGGGCGTGCACTTGGGCCGGTGACAGGCGTTGGCAGCTTGCTGCGCGTGCTATGAGCTTGTTGACAACGTGCCCAACTTCTCGGTGACCCCAGATTGCGCGACAAACGGGCAGCGCCCCCGGTAACGAGTATCAGATCTCAAATCTACGTGACTGCGAAAGCCTGTATCGGTTCTGTTACCTGAGGTGGTACACCGCCAGACAGTTGGGCTTGACTCGGCCCAGCTTCATGAGCGCGAGCGCGAGCCATCTGCATGGCTCGCAGCATATCTTGGTATCTGCAGGTTAAACAGCTGGATATTAATCATTCACATTTGTCGTGACGCACACGTCGAGCCGACCAACGCGCCTACCTTTCGTCCATTGTTTCTTGCTTCTAGTACTCATGTAGCATAGTTGGTGCGGAGTATGCGGCACGCACGCTGTAGAACCTCCCCTTGCTACTTGACAAAGACACCTTTAGCTGAGTGCTACTTGCTGCCCCTACAAGGTCAGCGCATAGACATTACAAAGACAGCTCAACCTTGAAGACTATGACACGAAGTCTATCGAGGTGTAAGGAGATGGGAGGGTGGGCTGTACGGGTTCGGGCTTCGGGGCCCATTTTCCGTTGTAAATCATAATGGTCCTCGCTTGTGTATTTGTTGTAAGATATACCTCGTTGTGCTTTTGTATTGAAAAGAGAGGGACGCGTTGACCATCCGCGTATGCGGGCTTTATTTAGCTTATCAGAAAGGGCCTGGTAACATGGAATATATTTTCGATTACGCAGCAACTGACTAAATCTTTGTTTTGACACGTTTTTTTAGTTGGAGTCGATGCCCGTAAAAGCCTGACCAGGGCCATGTGGCAGTCACTGGGGAACTTTGCGGGCGTCGAGCTAGAGGTTAATGCAGATGGTGCCAAGAGGAGCTATGATAGACTTGCAAGGGCCACACTGGAGCTCCAGAAGCATGTCAAGGTTAGATGTCGAGGTCGAAGCCTTTCCCCTCTTCCCAATTACGGCCACGGAACACCAGAGCGCGTACATCACGCGATGCCTCATATACCCCCTCTCGGAGGCTTGGTCTAGCTGCTGACATGTTGCGTCCTGCGGTTGCGTAGGAGCTCCTATGCGACTACCCGGGTGAATCGGTGGAGCCTACCATTCTCCCTATGGCAGCGCAGATTGGCCGGGAAGGGGACGTCATGGCACACACTGCACGCTTGCTAAGCTCATTATGTGCCCAGCCAGGACGGGGTGATTCTTGTAGTGCGCCTGGGGCAATTTATACCCCCAGGGCTGACCCCCGGCAGCGTGTCCCAACGGACGCCGGCCCAGGCGTACTGGAAGGCGCGGACGCAATGAAGGCGTTTTTGTCGGTAGGTCTCTAGTTCAATACACAAAGATTTATTAACAGCCGAACTGTGATAAGGCTTGGTGTTATGCAACACGCCCGAGCCGGGCTATGGTGAATTCGGCTAGACAAACTAGACAGCCTAAGTACACAGGGCACCTTACGCAAGCTAGGTCTTGCTACGTGGCAATGACATGGACAAGGGTGTTCTCCGCCAGAGCTTGCGGCGCCGCCAGAGCGTGGCAAGCCGCGGCACGTGCACGTGTGCACGTGGCCTATGTGTCTTGCACACGCGTGTTATCTCCTGTTTATTCCCAAGCTGGCTGCTTGCACCACACACGGTTGCAGGCCGACGTACCATCTGTAAGGTGGGATGCGGTGGATGCCGCGGGGCCGGAAGCTGGCAGGAGGCTGCGCCAGATGGGCTCAGCGCCGGGCCGTGGGGCCAATGGCCAACGCCCCATCCATTCGTTGCTGCGCGTCCGGGTGGATGGGACGGCTGGAGGAGCGGACAGGCAAAGCATCTTGGAGGTGAGCTAGACGGTAGACAACAAGTAACAGGGGCAGGGGGCCACCTCGCCTTCTGTCCATGTCCAACTTCGTAGGGCCGCTGCGGCACGTTCCGACCGGAGTTGGGAGCCCAGAGCACGGAGCAGGCACCGCTGAAGACGATTGGCTGGAAGGGGGTCAAGTAGTACAGAGCAATAATAATGTAGTATCACTATCTGTCCTGACCCATTGCTGGATACCAACATTTTTGAGTAATATTACCTGAAGCTGAGCTATGCAGCTTAATTGTTTCCATGTCCTATAACCGGCAAGCAAAAAAACCGTTTTCTGTGTGCAGAAGGACCGCGAGCAGCTGCGAACATGGGCGCTCGGGGTGCTTCGGGAGCTTCATGCTAACGTGACCCTGGAGGAGCTCCACGCAGCGCTGCTTCGGAACGCTGTACAGTGCGGTGCTGTCCCGGCGCGTGAGGGAGCCGCCTGGTTCAAGTTGTATCCTTACATCAACAACGATGATATCGTGGTACGGAGCGGCCCGGCCTGCGCGTCGGGGCAATCTGGAGAACAGTTGCCGTACCCTGATGTGGGCTCAGGCCATGCGTCTCAAAACCATGCGTCCTCTCTGCGGCGTCCTGCCTGTCCTACGCCCCATGTGGTGAATCCCACAGTTTCACACACAGATTTTCACATTTCGGTCGTGTGCAACACCCTCCATCTACGTTCTGTCATGTTCTGTCAGCTGACAGAACATGACAGCAAGGGCAGGAGGCGGGAGGACGTCTTTTGGGGACATTATCTGCAATATATAATATCCTATCTGGGGATCGTGGTTCGCTGTGAAAGGTTCGTTGTGATTTCCTCGCCCTTTGCTTCCCCGTCTGCCCTCCCGGCAACAGGTGCGGTCCCGGCAGCTGCTGGCCGTTTTGATGCACAGCAGCAGGAGCTCGCAGGAAGCCTGGGCAGCGGTCACGCAGGCCTTCTTGCACAGCCTCGTTCAGCCGGACAACGAAGCGGCGCGTGTGATGGCGGAGATGTGGAGCGGCGGCGAAGCCCACGGAAGGTCAGTGGCCCAGCCATTGCACCATCCTGCCGGAGGGAGGACCGTGGGGGAAAAGACCCAATAAGTTGCCTACTAAGGCCTACCAAGTTGCCTATCATAGAAGCATAGGGCATCGGAATAGGGAATAGTGTTTGAACGGACTGAGCCGCGAGGAATAGTGGTGGTGGGTATTCAAGGACGCGTGAGCGGGCGCCGCATCCAGCAGCATTGACTGTAAACCCAACCAACTGGTAATAGCCCCAGGCCACCACGCCCCCGCGGCTTGCCCGCTTGCAGCCAAGCCTTCGAGGTCACGCCCGAGTCTTATCAGTCTTACGTCAGAAATCTGCAGGACAAGATGGATCAGTTGCTTGGAGGGCTGCTCCAGGAAGGACTAGAGGTGAGGGCCCTAGCTGTTAGTTTGCCCTTGCCTTAACACTAACACGCACTACCTCCTGAGGACTGCGGGCGCACGGATAAAAGCGTGTGTGGGAGCATGAGAATGTGGGCGCATGTCCGTATGGAAGCTTGAGGGCGTGGGCTTGTGTCCGTGTCGAGTTGTGGATCTATCAGCATGTTTACTCTGTACGGGCATGTATGACGTGCCCGCGTGGGACGAAACTCCTGGGTGTGCTCGCGTGCAGGATGGCGGCAGTCCGCGGGCGGGGCGGAGCTTGTCCGAAAAGGACTTGGCGGCATATAGACTCGCAATGACACCACGTTCTTACCTGCAGGTGCGGTTTATTATCCTTCTCAGCTGCCTTCGCACGCCTACGTTAAGATAGAGTTATCCTATAAGGCAGCGGCTGCTTCCTGGCGGTCGTGAAGGACAATCGCCGCTGTTTGTAGTGTTTCTTAGGACTGTCATTGCCTACCGGCATTGGGCAGTGGCTATCAAGCGCGGACGTCGACTGCTGGGCTCCGATGGGCTTTTACGAGATCCTCGACTATCGCTCCCCCCAGCTTTTGACCCCCTGATTCTAATTTAGGCACAGCATAGGCTGGTTTGGGGCCATCGAGCGGGACACAATTTGCTGTGTCCCGCTCTGAATGACTTAAATTCTGCATGCATTATTGGACTCGGCTCCCCGTAGTGAAGACCGTTCCTCCATGGCTGCGGTGTCTGCAGGCTGCGGGTCAGAAGCTGCTTTATCACGCTGCACTTCAGGTGTGTGTGTGTGTGTGTGTGTGTGTGTGTTACTGGGCTTGTTGTGGGTTGAGATGTTGGAGAATGTTGCCCTGTCATGAGGCACCTGTCAAGGATGTCGAGAACCGGAGGGAAACTGGACCCTGTGGAGAACACCACAACAGCAGGGCCGCGCTTACTGCCCTTTGCATGCCGTTTGTCGCATGCTCACGTCAATCCTAACCGATATACATCATCACGCGCGGGGTCAGACCAACTGGCACCCGTCTCTCTTCCACCTACCCTCGTTACAGATTCCATGCATGGCGGAGCTCCCGGAGCGTATCCCTAACTGGACGCTCCGAAACCTGTACGGCAGGCCGTTTGCAGAGGCCATCAAGCTGGTGAGTAGCCACTCTGGCCAAGCTGCTGTGCCCAAGGCAGTGCAATTAATTTTACACTCGGCGCCGGCATGGCGAGTCAAGTGTTTTTAAGTTGTGCGCATACATACACCTCTTGTGCAGTGGGATCTTCATCATCAGGGATCAACGGCTTGAGTATTGGGTCTACCGCACGATCGTGGGGGCGCTATAGGGGCTACTGGGGCCGCTAGCATGTGGATGCTCTGGCGTAGGGCTTTCTTCACGTACGCATGGGAACATAGCTCTCTCATAGCTCTCAGGCCCCCATTGGGGTTAAGGAGTCCCGGTTGCGGTCGCAGTCTCTTCCTGTCCGTCAATCGTCGTGTGCATCCTGCAGGCACTTCAGCATGGCATGGCAGCCATTAAAGAGGCCTTCGGCCCGAGTGGCGAGGGGCCTGACGAGCGCGTACGAGGCGGAAAGCTGGCCCACTCCTTGCTGCAATCCGGGTAGGTACGACAGCATGCAGGTGGAAATGGCAATAGCTGCAACAGTGTCGGAAATGCAAGCACCGTTTTGGTAAGAAACGCACTGTCTCCTTGTTGCTCTATTTGCGTGAGAGGGCTTAGGGACCCTTCGGAGTGGCCAACTTTACATGGACACATCGGGCGTGCACAAGTGCAGCCTGAATAGCCTCGACCAGCTTAATCGCCCGGTCAATAAAGTGTTTTTTTGCGCCTTATAACGATGGGTAAACATATTGTCTGGCGCTCTTTCCCGCCCCATGTGCATCCGTTACCCTACAATCGCCAGCCGCAAGGATGGCCCCCAAAAGTCTCAAGAACGGCAGCCGCCACCCCTGTCAAAGCGCGCGGCAGCTGCGGCTGCCCGCTTGAGCTGCGGATGGCGGACGGCTGCTGGCGGTGGCAACTCAGGTTCCGCCGACGGCACCGGTGGCGTGGGCAAAGGCGATGCCTGCCAGCGGGCATTAAGCCGCGCGCGAACTGCAGTGGAGTTCTTTGCCGAAGTGGAGAGGTGTGTCAGAATCTTACTTCTCCTATCTCCATCCTCCTCCGACACCCTGTCCCCGCACCCCCTCATATCCCCTTGCCTCCCCTTGCCGCATACCCTTCACTCTTCTGCTCACGTACCGCTTGCCTCCTCCTCACTTACTCTGCCTCCTGCCGCGACAGGGACATACGGGGTTTCAAGGAGGGGTTCACAGCTATCATTCTTAAGAGCAGCGGCGCCCCTGGTGGGGCCCTCCTGCGGCCGGGGTCTTACAGGGGCCTGCAGCAGCAGCAGCAGCCGTTGCAGCCCCACTGCGCCATAGCCTATTTGTCGGTTCTGCGAGAAGACGTAGCATGGGCGTTCCGCGAGTGGAGTAGCTCCCTGCGGACCTTCCTGTATGGCAGCGTCACTTCGGCAGTGCAGGTGCGTGTGGGGCGGGGAGAAATGTAAACTCCCGCATGGCTTCACCACGACCCGTCCCGGGAGCCATTGAAGGACGGAAATGGGGGGCCGGGGGCCACGAAGGCACCTTTGGATTCCCGGAGTGCATTGCGACGTCGTGTGTCCCTCATGCTTGGGTAATCGCTGTATGCCCATCTGTTCACTCGCTAAATGGGCTGCCGGGACGGCATCAAGTTGATATATTAAGGCCAACTTAGGGTTCCTCCACATGCGCCTCGCCAGGCATGCCTCGCTGATGACGACCTGAACCAGCCTGTCGGCGCTGTGCCGCTGTCGCCTGTCACGTGGCCGATGCTGGCGGACGTACGGCTGATCCCGGACTGTCCCTCCACCACACAGGTGTGATTGGCAAGGGGAGTGCAGGGGCTCAGGGTGCAAGGGTAGTGATGCTGTGTGTGTGTGTGTGTGTGAGCTGGTAAAGCCTTGTACCATGGTGTCATTGGTTCGACCGAGGAGATTTCCTTCCTTGTCCCTATATGCGTCTTGCTGACGCGCAACGTGCACGGCATGAGCATGGGACACGGCACGGTCGCGCTTTGGGAACCCACCCCACCCTATACGCCACTGGCGCGGATACCTTTCGTCGTTCTGCCCTTAAGGTAATTCAAAACCTCCCACACGGGCTGTGCGTGCTCCCGTATAAACGGGGTCTCTCTTTTCCACATGTACGACCTTCGTAGATGTGTCCTGGGGCTCCCTACCGGGCCCTGCATGTCTGTGGTGTTTCCGACATGCAGAGGCGGACCGACACAGCAGCCAGCAGCAATTCCGCGGCTATGCCACTCAGGAGCAGTAGCAGCAGCGGCGGCCTGAGCTGCCAGGACGAGGGGACCAAAGGTGGGGGCGAGCGCGCTGCTGCCCATCGTGGCGATGGCGGCGATGCTGTCTTCCTCCATCGCGGCGAGCTGGCTGGGGAAAGGGCAGAATGCAACCGGAGGGCGCCCCTGTTGATCGACGCGGTATCGCACCAGGTTCTTGAGTTCGCGTCGTGGCTGCTCAGTCGTCTGCCAGAGCTACCGGAAACGCTCCAGGTATGTGAGCTGCGTGTGCGTTCTTTTTGAAAGGACGTCGTCGGTCTGGTCGAAGCGCTCAGCGCGTGATTAGAGAGAACGATTACGGTTGGCGATTGAGCGTGTGTTACAGATTGCAGGTACCAAACAAATTGCACCTGTTCTGGATTGTGACAGCAAAAAGCAGCTGGATAGGTCAGCCGTTGCCCTCAGTTAAGCTGCAGATACATGCCATACTGCAATTCCTCTACTCCGTTTGCCGAATGCCTGGGTTCTTGTGTGTCGTCCTTCCATTTCCCTACGCCCTTTAGTCTGATACATTCATTTCTCACACATGTAGAGAATTTGTCTCCTTCCTGTCACGCAGCCTGTTCTTGCTGGAGCAGTGGTGGAGTGTCTAAGCATGCTAATGGACCGCCTGTCGCTGGTCTGCACCAGCCTAACAGACATGCCCGGCAGTCGCCCTCTGTCGCTGTTGCTGCTCTTTCACTCGGCCGCCTGCTGTGTACGGCGCCGACTGGAGGCCATGCAGCCCGGGCTAGGCGGCACGGCGGCGACGGCGATGGGGTATTGTCCGTACGACGGCGGGCAGGATGTGGATCTGGCCCGACAGCACGGCGAAGCGCTGGTGCAGGTATGGGGGATTATACGCTTTGGGGGTAATGACACACCACAAGAGTAGGAAACTCGCAAACAGCTAACCATTTTCTACGTCCCTCCTTCCAGGCCGACGAGCTTGTGACGAGCATCCAGCAACACACCGTCCTGGCGTTTATGCAAGCTGTGTACGATGTCGTACTCTCCTCCCTGGACCGGACCAACTGGTGTGCCTTCCGACCCGAGGTGATGCGGGGCCAGAGCGCGGGTCCGGCAGTGCGCGTGTGGCACTCGATGCTGCTGCGCATGCTGCGCGCAGCGGCCCAGCATGCTGCACCCGATGCTGCTGAGTGGCTTCTGGGGCAGGTGCGTTCTCTCCAGGACGATCCGCAGTGCCTGCATTTAAAAACATTATTGGAAGGTTTTATCGGAAGCATTTTAAGAGAAACATATTACTCCGAAGCATGTGCCTGCGTGCTTTCATTTCTCTTACCTTGAAAGCAATGGGTGTAGCAATTCAGATTGAAAGCAATGGGTGTAGCAATTCAGATTAAATAAGGCAATGGGGACCAAAGGCATTGCACGCTCGGGGCTTGGCTCGCTTTTTACGATACGATAAAAAGGTTTGGGTTTTATTTCCCAAACCTTCCCCCCACAGGTCCTTTTAGAGAGCGCGAGCTGCCTGACGCAGCGGTATCTTCAGGTCGGACCCACCGTCCAGATGCTTCGGGAGTTTGTCGCCGACGCGGTGCACCTGACGGCGTCGGTGTTCCTCTTCTGTCAGCCCATACCCGTCAGGAGAAGGGCGCACGTACCTCGCGGCGGCGACAGCGGCGGCGGCGGCTGGGGTGGACCCGCCACGGGACACGGCGTGGGTTGGGAAGCGCAGCTGCAAGACAGCGCCACCGACGGCCACGACGCCATGAAGGTATGGTGGCTGGCACACTGGCGTCCGTACTAGTATTCCCACTTATGTGAAAAATGTAAAGTAGTTTGTCGCGTGCATATGTGCTATGGGATATTGCCTAGGGTGGCGACCTTGGGTTGGGAAAAGTCACCCGGGTCATGCGTATTGCCGCCTTTCAACGTACCACTTCCTTGAGGTCATTGATACCTTGGCCACGTGGCGATGGCCTCGCTCACCGTCTGTTGCCTCATCTATGGTGCGCACGCAGGTGGCGTTTTGGCTGCGGTTACCCTTCCCTACAGCCCGCGCGCTGTCGGAAGCAGCACGGGAGCTGCTCACCCGTGCCGCGCTGTTGCATATCCCCGGCAGGCAGCTGGAAAACATCGCGCGCGAGGCGGGCCTCTTGGTGACTGGACCCGCCAAGGAAAGACCCGAATGTGCACCTAGCAGACCTAACGCTGCTGCTGCGGCAGGCGTAACCGTGGCTGGGGCTGCGCCAACCCTGCCAGCGAGAACCGGCACCACCGGTGACGAAGCCGCATCAGCCGCGTCTGCGATGATGGGCTCAACTGACCCGTGGGTCGCCAATTCCGCGGGTGCTGCTGCCGCCGCAGCCGGGGTGGTGAACCTGGCGGCGGCTTCGGATGAGGAACGGCTGGCGCTATGGACCACCTGGTTGCCCAGCGACGTGGTGCGCGTCTTGACGGACCCGGGGGAAGCGATTGGGCTGCGCCTCGGCGGTGTAGGTGGCGATGGCGGCAGTGACGCCGTCGACCAGCTGCTTATTCCGTTGGCGAATAGGATGGCTGATGCTGCACCGGAAGTCCGGCATGCTTCCAAGGTGAGAAGGCTTGTTGGCTCGGTCCAGATTGCAGGGGCGACAGGTATCACGGATGCAGATGCCATGGCCCGCAACCCCTGGTCACAGGTGCCACAAGGCAGGCACCACGCCCCACAGCCCACCGACAGATGCCATGTAGCAGGCTTTAAGGGTTGAAATGATCTTTACCAAAGGGCGGGCATGCGATCGAGGTGCTGCCGCTGGTTAAACCTAGGATCTGCCGCCCTTGAGAAGCGCGGTGTGCTGCGTGCAGTCCATGTCGCCCATGCACCCCCTCCTCCCATCCGCCTTCCTTCTTTGGTAACTTCCTATGTTTGTGAGTGGCGCTTTGATTTGCTTTGTTTTGCAGGAGCCTGAAGGCCCTATGTGGCGCGCTTGCCTCGAGCACCTGGCACAGCGAGCGAATGCAGAGGAGGTGATGCTGGCGCTGGCACGGCGGCACGAGCTGCACGCTGCCGTGGGGACAGAACCGCCCGGTTACGCGGAAAGCCGCCCCGTGGTGCGCAGCATGGCGCGGCGACTGGGGCTCGTAGCGGCAGAAGAAGCGGACGACGGATAGGGGACGCCACGTTCAATTGCAGCGTCGCACACATATGCATGAAGGTGGAGGTTTGGATGCAAGTTGCTTCGTAATCAATTTGAAAAGGACAAAGATGATCCACGGTTGTTCGCTGGAGTAGGCAGTGCTTGAATGTTGGCTGCGGCGCGGATCCACTGCCGCACTCCACCTCCATGCATATATGCGCGACGCTGCAATTGAACGTGGCGTTCCCTATCCGTCGTCCGCTTCTTCTGCCGCTACGAGCCCCAGTCGCCGCGCCATGCTGCGCATATTGAGGCAGCCTCAATATGAACTGGCGGCAGGGCTGATGTCTGGGGTCATGCTTGGGTACAGATTCAATGTCACTAGGAAGTTATTAACAGATGTAGCTGTTCTTGAGAAGCTATCACGATTAAGGTGCCACTGCCGTTTGACGTCCGTAGTCTCTGGTTACTGCACCAAGTAAACACAACGCGTTAGGCTCACACAAATGTTTATACGATTCCGGCTGGAAGCTTGGTTTGTACCAATGTCAAAGGGCTACATGGCCTTGTCTGTATGCGGAATCCCCCAAGCACTTGAGTTGGTCGGAACAGTTTCACTCCCGCGTAAGCGGTGGGCGTGGGGGTTATGAGTGGCGATTTGCCTGGCATACCAAGGCTAGGGCGTGGGTAATGGAGCATAGCAGGCCGTAAAACATGAGGTGAGCAGCGTTAGAGCAAAAACATGTGTGCGATACGGTCGTCGATACGGTCGATACTGCGAGACTTGTATGTATGCGCAGACTGTCATGGTAATACAATTGCATCATGTATGGCGATTGAGGTATTGTGCTTGCATGCGGCATGTATTTAAAGGCCGCTGTGGCCCAGACAGAGGCCAGAGCGGAGTCCTCGAAAGCGCTAATTTTTGCACGACGCCAGTGTTTCTGATGTCTATGGTGATGTCATATGTTGAACAGTCAAGTTACGCGGAGGCAGCAATCTACTCGAAGAGCGACGTCTCCGTACTTTGCGTGTTACGTTTGCGTTGTAACTGACGCGAACATGTACTCACAAGAAGTGGACATACATATACACGTTTGCATTACAGCGCCTAGCACGAGAACTGTGTAAAGCGTCCCAGTCTGTCGCGTTGAGTTGACGCTTAGTCTAGCTTTAATTGGGCAGGCGTCCTTCTACCGCTGGCCTGCACCGTTTCGGTCTCCTTTTATCTTTCCTAAATTGAATTCCCGCGGCCTGAGCAGCCTCCATTGAGGAACGAGCTGGTCAAGCAACCTTTAAGGGCCTGGGTGGCATAGGCCTGCCCTGAAATGTGGAGCGGTCGCAAGCTGAAGCCTTCTTCTGTAGAAATGCAATATCACTGCATTTAACAGTTGGACATGAACATCTTTTGCTCGTTCTTGCGTTGCCTAGGAGGCAAGGGTAGGTCCTGTAAGCCGTCTTTCCGAAGGCATTACTGTTACCTTTGGATTGTTGTTGTGCAATAAGCTTAAACAGCTGCCTGTGCTGCAGGCGAGGCGAGGGTTGCCGAACAGGTCGGTCCCTTTGCGAAGGAGAAGGATGAAGTCTTGTTTGCTGATGGAGATGTCCAAGTAAAGCGGACTAATGGTGGAAAGCAGAGGTGTGGCTGCTGAACGTCGCGTCGGGGACCTTCGCTCTCTATCTCAGCTCGTATCCCGAAATCTACTGACGATATTGTCTTCCTTACGATTCATATAGGTTATCTTCTGAAAATATTTTTGAGAGTCAAGGCAAGGCTGCATGGTGCTCCTCGAGTTTTGGGGTGGCCAAGGGTTGTGAAACCGGAGCTGGCAGGTCGCCAGCTCTGACCGAGGAGCAGGGCAGAGACAAGCGGCAGTCGTTCTTGGCAGGCGACCTACATAATGAACGTACGCTTCGAGCGCTCCTACAGAAGGCCAAAGCAAGGCTATCGGAGCAGACTCAAGCCTTTGCCCTTGAGCTTCAGTCAAACAGCCCACCCGCAGACAGCTGCCGCTCTGGCTTTACTCTAGACCCTGAGCTTAGGCGTTTTAACACGCAGCTACTGGAGACGTGCTGCGTTGCGAAGCCTGGTAAGACAAGCCCTTCTCGGTGCAAGTCGCCCTAGCCTTTCATGCCTTGCATTAGGCGCGGTCACACTTCATGGTCTCAGGTTGTCCTGCTGACTTCCACACCCGCAATTGTAAGCACCCCCTCCAAAAAGGCACGTACAATGGTTATGCTGCTGCGGCAAGCATGCTGCGGCCTTGCCGAGGTCATTGTTGGATCTTCAAAGCATATCTCATGCGACTGCCGCACGTTCCCCTCCGCAGTAATGTCCCCCATGCCATGCTCTTGGACCTGGTAATGGTGCCGCGCTATTTGTTTATGCCCCAGCTCACCACCCGCTATACGCCTCTGCCTTCTTGCGAACAGATGCACGAGCTCTCCTACGCGTAGAGCTGCTCTTGGGTGAGGTTCGCCGCTGGCTAGCGGCACGGCCCTGCCCAGCCGCCGCCACTGCCGTGTTGTACGCTGCGGGTGACGGTCTGGTCCACGCGGAGCATGCTGTGCGTTCCGTGGGGCTCGTCCGCTTCTGGCAACCTGAGAATGCCTCAGTCTTCCTGGCTTTGCTGCAGCTGTACGCCGATGTGCTCGTGCAGGCGACCCGTGCCGCACACATGAACCACCGCCAGCAACAACAGCAGCGAAACCCGGAGGACTTGAAACCGGCCCCGCAGCAGCAGGAACGTGAGAAGGGAGATGCGCATCAGCAGCAGCAACAACAACAACAACAACAACAGCGGCAGAGCAGTTGCAGTGACGTTGTGGTTCTGGCCTCTGATCAAGAGCAACAACAACGTCAGCAGCAGCAGGCGCGTGGCCTAGCCGCGGAGAAGCTGATCCCACAGCTCTCGGAGGTGTCTATGGAGTGTGGCGAATCGGCCTTGCAGCCGGGGCGTAGCCCGCAGCCGAAGCAGCACCAGCAGGTGCCGCTGACTTTTGCCGCGGCGGCGCTGCTGCTGCGGCCGGATTGGCTGGACATGCTCGCAGAGGCGTTGGAGCTGCTTCACTTCAATGAGGAGTTCCGTCTGGCGGCTGCTAGGGCAGGTTGGGAGCCGCAGGAGGCGCTTTCCAAGGCCCTGCAGCTGTGGTGCTTCCTGACCCAGCTCGTGAGGTTCGCTGCTGCACATGCGGACAGTGTGAAACGTAAGTCATGGTGGTCGGTGTGCGTCTCCTGAGCTATCATGTGTTGCACGCCGTGGCGATGTTGTGCGTCGTGCTGGGCCCTTGTCGCCAAATTCCCATGGGCGAGGCAAGGTTGTGGCTTGCGGGTTGCCAATCCACCTCCTCGACACCAGTTGAGCGGGGAAGATTTTGGCACATGCTAAGCGACTTGCTGAACTGCACTGCGAGGATTTCGCCTTGCCAACGGAGTGGATTGTGTGGTGACCAGATGATGTGATTTTTCTCCGGTAATACTGCGTCGCATATCGGCTTTGGTGCAGGCATGGAGCCTTGCCTGCAGCGCTTGGGTGCACTGCTGGCGCCTCCCTCCGGCACCGTACCACACCTTTTGGATCTGCCCCTCGCGGAGGACACACTGGTGGCGCAGCTCCACGCCCTGTGGCTGCTACAGGTGAGCCTTGGCAAGGGATACGAAGACGCACATTGACACCAGCGCTGATCGTGATGCCGCGCTGCAATGTGGCCTATCGCTGTCGATGAGCCTTGTCTCATCGTAGATTACAAACCTAACGGCGAGACTCGGGGCAGTGGCCGAAAGCCCGGGAAATACAAAGGGAGGAAACATAGAGAATATCCTTGCGAGATTCGGGCGTCTTGTGCTAATTTGGGATCTGCGCCGAGCGGTATACTCCGGGCGGTGTGCTGCGTGCTCTTCCCTGGGATTTCAGGTACTGTACGATATGCCGGATGCCAAGGTGCTGTACTCAGCACAGCTGGCGGAATACTACGTGGCCCTGCACCACAACGCCATGGTGCAGAGCTATGAGGTACGCGTGTGGGTGCTTAGGGCTTGCGTAACCGTAATTGCTACGTGCATAGGTACTTGCGTATGTATATTACATTACATACTTGGCGTACTGGACCTTACAGCGGCCATGATGCGTTTTTTCAGTATTGTTTACTAGCAGGGGATTGCTTCTTGCGTTGGTAGGATGAGGGCTCTGCTCAGTCATCAATCGGAAACCAACCAACCTCTGTCGCTGCGCCGCCCTGCCCTGCGTTGTGAAACAAAAATCCGCATGTAGCTTTGGCCCGTATCTTGTTTGTTTGCTTGCCCTGTTCCTCCCAACCTCCGTGGTCTGTTCATTCTGTGACAGGCGTCGGCAGCGGACCCCAAATCAGCCGCAGCAGAGCTCTGCCGCATCCATGCCACGTTGCTGCGCAGCCTGGCGCGACATCCCGGCGCGCCCGTGCGCAATGCCTTTGCCCGTGTGAAGACCGTGGACTGGATTCTCGAGGAGCTGTCACTGGAATGCCAGCTGCTGCCCGCGGCCCAGCAGGACGGCGAAGCCGAGGATCCGGACTCAGAAGACTCCAGCAGCGACTCGGACATTACGGTAACGGATGATGAGGACGCCGCTACGGGCGGCGGCATAGGCGGTAGTGGTGATGGTAATGGCGAGGTTGCAGCAGAGCAGTCGCTGCCTTCTTGCAGCGCCAGGACGCGACTGTTGAGCCCCGTCGCTCCGACGGAAGCAGACTTGCAGGAGAAGGAGGCGGCGGTGGCGGCTGGGTCATGTCCAGCGGCTGAAGCTGAGGCTTCCCGCAAAGAGAGTAAGGGCTTTTCCTTCACGTACGACCTGAATGAGGACGTAGAACGGCTCATTGCGCTGGAAGACGAGCTGGGCCGTGAGATGGAGCTAGATGGGTTGGATTACGATGACGAGGGGAAACAGCTCAAGGCTCGAAGCGACGCTCGGATGGCGGAGGCGCTTGCGGCGGAGGCTGCTGCTGCAGCGGAGGCTGCCACAGCGGCGGCGGCGGCAGAGGCAGGGGAGCTGCAACCGGCGTCACCAGCGCCAGTAGGGGAATACAGTCCCGGAGCTCAAGCGCTGCAGCAGCAGCAAATGCAGGCTGGCCCGCGGGATCTGCAGTCGCATGGCAGTTTCGGCGCCAGTAGCCGGCCCTCCGGCAGCATCCCGCGGCTGGCGTTGGTCGGGTTGCGCAGCGTGTCCATAAGTTCCCTGGCGGCTCAGTCACCCGCTGGCAAGCGCCCCTCTGGACACGGTGCCCGCGCGAGCCGTACTGGCAACAGCAGTGGTGTCCTCTCTGTACATGAGGGTGAGGACGGCGCTGGGGAGGAGCCCTTGTCTGGAGACGCTTGCTGTACGCCGTCGATAAGCGCCGCCGCGACGGCGGCGGAGCGCGTAGCTGCCTGGTCCTCGAACCTCATGGACGCCTACGCGGCGGCGAACGCCGGCGACGACAGCAAGCTGCCGTACCCGCCGCCGCGGAGGAGGTCCAGGGGCAGTGGCAGCCTTGACCGCGGGTCCTCGCCAGCGGCACCCCAGACTCCTCCTTGGGATGGGGATACTATCAACGAACAGCCCCCGCCCCCTCCACATCAACAGCAGCAGCAGCAGCAGCAGCAACAACAAGATGACCAGCTGCAGCCGGCAACCGGTGAGGCCGGCGCCGTTGTTCCCGCTTCCGCGGCCGACGAGCCGATCATGGCTGGCCCGGTCCGTCCACGGGAGCTTACGAGCGGTTGCCCCATCCATCCCGGCCCGCTAGGGGAGCTGCACCTGATGGTGCACACCACAGGGACGGGTCGCACTACACAGCCGTCCAGTACCACTTCGGTTGCTCACGGGAGGCCGCCCCTGCCAACCAAGCCGTCTCTGCCGCCGTTGAGGATGGTCTTCGGGGCATCCACGGAGGCAGGGACGGCGGCGACGGCTCCGGCGGCACCGGTGTCGTCGTCGTCACCGTCTGTGTCGGCCCGTGCACATCCGCCGGGTAGCTCGCGCGCCATGGTGCTGCTGTCTGCATCCAATCGTGTGAACAACGCGGGCTTGCACGCAGCTTCCCCAAACGCTGCATCTCAACAGCAGCACCAAGCTCAGCAGGGCCAGGCGCCATGGGCGCAAGGCCCGCACTCCACTATGGTTGCTCTCGGCGCGTCGCCGATCCGTGATACAAGCCGCCAGTTCTACGCCTCAAACGAAGGCTGCTCCTCCTCCACAACATCCGCCCCTCCGCAGCCGCCATCCGATCGGCCAACGCAGCCGCTCATCCCCGCGCTCAACCTGAAGTCCTTGCGGCGGCGTGACGGCGGCGGCGGCAGTACCGCGCCACCCACCGACACGGGCCGTACCGTGCCGCTGAGCTCCATGCTCCGCTTTACGAACGCCGGCAGCTTGTCCAACTGCAGCGGCAGGGACTCCGCCAACACGCTGCTTCGCTCCGGCGGCACCGCCACCACGCCTGTCAGCAGCAATATTAACGCGCACACCCACAGCCACGGGGCTAGTAATCTCGGCAACGGATTGGTGGCATCAGGCGCGCTGCGCCGCATCACCGAGACGGAGCAAAAGCCGCCGGAGGCAACCTACCAGGAACTCGCCTGCCAGCGGCTGCTATACCAGGACCGCGCGACCCACATCCTGCTCCTCAAGGTGGTGGTTGACCTGCTGGTAGCGCCAACGGCTACGCTGGACCCCGCCTACGTGCCGCAGTATCCCGTGCATAGCGGCGTGCCCCACGCCGAGTTTATCTTGTTGTGGCACCTTAACGCGCCGCGCAATGCCGGCGTCGTGCATGACTTGTGTCGCGGCGCGCAGCACCGCGCCCGCCAGGCCGCCGCCACGGCGGTGCGCCGTGCCGCAGAAGCGGCCGCCGCTGCGGTCTCCTCTCAGCCCCTTGGGCGTTCACCGCGGCTTTCGGACCCTGCCAGTTCTGAGCTGACGACGACGACGACCCAGCAGGGACCCTCGGACTCGGCTCGCGACTACTCGCCCTCGCTAAACAATGCTGCGACCTCACACCAGTCCTCCTCGCCGTTATCGGTGGGAAGGACGGCACCCGCGGGCCCCGCAGCAGCACCGTCAGGTGCTACTCCCAGAGCCGACGTCGCGGCACCCACCCGCGCTGGTGCCGTTACTCGCACGTTGCAGCTCCTCAGCCGGCCGCTGTTTGACGCGAGCCGGTACACCAATCTGCAGTTTGTGGCCCGCGGCACGTTTGGCGACATCTACCGCGCTCGCATGGAGCCGCCGCGCGCGTTGGCTTGGCCGTCGCCGGTGTCGCAGGGCGAGGCAGCGGCGGCGGTAGCGGCGGCCGCGGCGCCTATGCAAGTCGTTATCAAGACCATCCAGCTACCGTCCTCCTCTCACGACCCGTGCGTGCTGGCTGACGTATTCGGAGAGGTGTCCGTGATGGAGCGGTTTCGAGGTGGGGTTGCAATCCCATTCTGAAGGTTCCTGTTTAGCTATGTTGGCCTTAGGCAATTGGGCCGCTTGATATCCCACAGCGTAACAACAACTATAAGGAGTCTGGAGCCAGCCCAGCAATACCTATCCGCCATGTGTGTATATGTATTTATATATCTCACATCAGGGAGGAGGGATTTTTATTATGTTGGTTTTAGTATATGCTCCCATTGCCGGTTGTTATCCCTGTTTCCGTTGTATACGCGTGGCCGCCGTCGTCCTCCCCGCACGCTCCCCGCCATGTACGCAATCCTGCTTCTGCCCCTGCGCAACCCGTCCCGATTCGCTCGCCTCAGGTCACGAGTGTATCTGCCAGCTGCTTGACTACGGCATGCACAACGATGCCTACTGGTTGGTCATGCGCCGCTACCGATGCTCGCTGGCGGAGTGGCGCGGCCGACAGAAGCCTCTGGACGAACCCGCAGCTGCAGCGGCGGCGGCGGCGGCGGCGCGGGTATACCTCTCCGCTCTGAGCCAGGTGGTGGATGCGCTGCGCCTGCTGGCATCCCATCACGTAGTACATTTTGACCTCAAGTGCTCCAACGTGTTGATTGAGCCGCTGCCCGGTATACGTGACGGTGAGCTTTGGGCGCCAGCTGGAGGTAGTAGCAGCACAAGCAACAACACCAACAGCAGCACCGGCGGCAACAGCGATAGCAGTAGCACCGGTAGCAGCACCCAGCACCGCGCGCCGTTTCGTTGCGTGCTGGCTGACTTTGGTGAGGCCCGTGCGTACCGTTGTGCTGAGGAGGCCTTTACAGCGCGCAACCGCGGCACGGAGGTGTTCAAGAGCCCCGAGATGCTGTTGCTGAACGCCGTAGGCTCGCGGGCCAACGGCGCCGCCAAGTCCACGGCGCCGCCACCACCGCAGCCATGGACTCAGCCTCCAGCAACGGCGGCGGCGACGGCACAGGAGTCGGCGCCACGGTCACCTTCTCGCTCCGCCACGGGAGGCGACGGGGCCCCTGCACCGTCATCGCCTACGGCAACAGCCCGCGCGACGATCAAGATGACATCGTCAATGGGCACCGCTGAAGATGCCAAACGGACGACTCGGCAGGGTTTGGCGGGGGCGGGTCTGGCCTCGGATGTGTGGTCCCTGGGTTGTTTGGCCTACGAGCTGCTGTCAGGGACGGTGCTGTTTGGAGGCGACTATGCATCGGTGACGCACCGCGTGGCATTCGGCACTGGGGAGCACCTCACTCTGACGGAGGTGGAGCGCGGCCGGCTGGCTAACCTGCAGGAGCTGGTGGGTCTGGTGGAGTGGATCCTGGTGCGCGACCCGGCAAAACGCCCTTCCCTGGACCGCATCGCGGAGCGGATTGAGCAGGTCCGAGCTGCCCTGGCAGCTAACGGCTTATTAGCGTGAGGAACGGGTGCTGTTGCGGTACGGGGTGTTTGTGTGTATAGACCTTTGTTTGTTACCTTGAGGTTGTTGTTTGATGTCCGCGTATTTGGGTTAGGTTATGCCTGCGCACATCTGTGCCTCTACCCTGGTTTGCCGCGCTTCCCTTGAGGCATGTGAACTTGCGTGAGAGCTTGGCGGCGTGAGTTTTACAGGGTGGAAGTTGGGGAGGAGAAGCGCTGCTGCTCTCTGGTTATGCAGCGTGGATCTTGGCGCGACCGAGAAGAGGCGGAGGGGTTAAGCATATGAAATGGTTGCCGTGGGTTTTTCCAAGGACTGATTGACTGGGCGGGTAGGTTGTCTCGGAAGCACTCCAAAAAAAGGGGAAAGGTTGGAGAACAGGCACTGTGCCGCTGTGAGGAAATTGATCGGGGCGAGGGCTGGCTGGCTTTTGTCCGCCCCTTCTTTCTGGCCTAGGGGTTAGAAGCCCCGATCCACGTCATGAAGCACACTGCTCAGGCTTGAATTTAAAAACGCATCAAACCAGGCAAGTATGCGGAATAGCCAGCGGCTGGTGAGGTTGAAGACGACGAGAGTGAGTTGACAAGTTGGGGTTGGTTGAGTGCGTGACCAGAGAACCTGAGAGGCTTCTTTACTGTGGTAGTCTTGATTCAAGGCTACAAGGTATTAGAGAGGGCGCTGTGACGCATGGCCTGGACTTCCGTCTGGTGACTTCCTGGTGTTTCTCATTAAAGGACATTTTTAATTGGCTCGCAAGTAATTTTGCAGAAAAAACTCGAGAGGTGGAGAACTTGACTGCTTGCAATGTGGTGAACTGGCTCTGACTTGACGTGACATGACAACACGACAACATGACGTCACCGGGCGTTGACGGAGCAAGTATAGTTGACTTTGGTTTTCTGTGCAAGGTATGCTTGGAGTATTAGTGACGGGCAAGTAGCCATAGGTAGGAGCGGGCGCTTCTGGCGTGCGTTCATGAGAGTTGCTCTTGTGGTGGTTATGGTGGCGGTAGTAATGGTTGCCTTCGTGATCGTGTGGGTTGTTGCGTGCCGTTGATCCTGGAAACGTCTTGTCCTGAGCGCAATTTACTTGCTGGGGACATTTTCCCATTTGCGATTCTCCCCAGTGATTTCGCTGCTGCGCGGTTTGCGCTGTACTTCCGCGATCTGCACATAACTTATTGCTGTTTTTGCTAAAGCAAAGCAAAGCTTGCTAGCTTCAATACTGTTGGCTCTGCTTCCAGCATCATCACCCGTGAACCGAAGCGACCATGAAGCACCCACCCCGGTGATGCCCGCTGTGTTTTTGCGTCTTGACCACCTGACACATTTGTGGTTTTGTGTCGCTGACGCCTGACCCATTGACCAATTGTTGACTCCTTGGTGCCATCGCATATGGAGCACTGCACTGAGCGTACTAGAGGGGCTGGCATTAGCATTACCCCTGCGCGGTCACAATCCGTGATGCCACGATCGCTGTCTGCTCATCCTTTTTTCCCATGTCGGACGTCCTCAGTCATCCACAGTCCGCTGTGGCTATAGCTGACAGGTGGAGGCTGGATGGGCTAGCTGACAGATGAGAGTGGAAGCACACATGATGCATCTCTTTAATTTGGACATTTGGTTTTGTCCGCCATGCGCTGCTGCGTGTCCCACTGCCTTTCTGTTGTGTAAGGCAAAAACGTGCATGGGGGTTAGGGTTGTGGCTGTGCGGGGGTGGTGACGAAGGGGGGGAAGGATAGGCTGCTGGTGCGGTGGCCTCACTGCTATACTGCCGTCAGCCTCCAATGCGTTGGCCCCCCTGCCTTCGTTTGGGGTGTCCACGCGCAATCCATGCACACACGCGTGCGCGCACTTACCACCCCATGAAGGTACCTGACATGATGCATGCTCATGTTTAAGACGGCATTCTGACGTTACGCTACGTACGTAATTTGACCTATTGAACATGATGACCGTAAGGACTGGCGATTCCAGCTGACGATGAGGACTGAACGCGACTCTGTTGACGATCCTGCAATTACATACATTTTGTGTACGTATAAATGTACTTGCAAGCAAGGTGGTGGCCCACCCACCTATTTACCATGCTTGAAATGACCGCTAAACTACCTTCCAACGTAGTGGCATCATAATAAAGCTCTGCGATAGGGAGTTTTTCTTTTCCGCAGGGCGGTTGTTTTTTCGCCTGCCAGCGTTGTCTTGTTGCATGTGCTGCTGTGCAAGAGAATATCATGCGAGGGAGCATACGCGCGCCGGAAAATAAGCAAACTGGCTGTGTCATGCTGCTGCTGGCGTCCTGCGCTGGCCATGCGACCATGCTACAACCTACTGCTTAGACAAGCTGTGTGCACCCTGGTGTAAGGGTGGCGATTGTACAGAGGCACGTGGGAGACACGTGTGTGTGTGTGTGTGTGTGTGTGTGCGGGGTTAGCCGCGTTTGCGCCGCATAGGCCCCCGCAGCCGGACCAGGCGTTTTTCCGCACCTGGTGCGTGCCTGCGTGTGGATTTAGCAACACTGCCCAAATGTCTGCATACATGCGGCGGCTTGGCTTGACCTTGACTCCTGTCAGGGGGCTGAGAGCAAGTCCCGGTCAGTTTTCAGAGCGACGCAGTATGATGTTGCGTGGGTGCTACTTCTTGGGGTGTCAAGGGGCTCTTAGAAAGCGGTACTTAGACATCTACAAGACCTTTCGGGTTGAGTACGGCGGAATCCGATGTTTTACAGCTGCGAGTTTGGCTGTAACGTTGTGATCGTACGCTAGTTGTTATCATCGGATTAAATGGTCTTATATATTGTCTTAAAGTCGGCGGGCTAACTGCACTGCTGTGCCAGAAAGGTACTGACAGCTTGTTGCGTACAGTTGCTGGGCTGCCGGGCTCCGATGTCTCTAATGCCCATGTAACACCATCACGCAAGGCTCGAGAAGATGATCGTTATTAGGCGGGAAAACGTTATCGTTATCCGGTCTGGAAAGGCGGACCAGAGTGTGGATAGGTGGGTAGAAGCACAGAAGAGCCGGCTAGGCGGCTAAGCGCCAGAGCAGACCAAGGCTCCGGAACACCCTGGGACGGCCTCCCGGGACACCTCATGGGACGAAAAGCAGCCTGCAGCACAGTGTTGTGCGGGAGGCGTTCCTAGGGGCGCTGCACTCGACCCGTTCGGGGTCCACTGTAACAATCGCATTCTGCAGCACTGGCGCGCTCTACCACGTAACTTAGCTAAGTTCAACACGAGACCGTAAGGAAAATGAATGGCCCGTTTCTTTTTGGCCGTTACACGTGCGAAGACTTCGTTCGGGCCATGCGCAAAGACGCATAAAGGCACGTTTGGAACGGAAACCGCTGTCGTACACGCCGATGCCGCAGGGTACTCAAAGGATGTCACAAACTCATTGCTGATGCATGCATGAGCGTCAATTTGAAACATAGCCAAGACCACATTCGTCATTTGATTCTGGGTCTGGGCGTTTATGTTGACGCACACATCGTGCGATTATACAGCGTGACTACGGCAATGGCCACTCACCCTAAACTTTAATGTTTATTTAAGAACTAGCTTGAGCCAATGTTGGCGCGAGTGGTGGCCGGCGCTGCTGCAGGCCACCGGGACATCACGTTAACGACAACTTTTAGCTTGTCTGGGCGGAACGCATTTTCCTTGTCCCTAACGCATATAGCAGCTGTTTTCAACCGCTTTTGTACCACCCACATCAACAGACCATGCTCACCCGCTGGCCAACCCACGGCAGCAACCCATCCCGAGGTATGCCGGTGGCGTCAGGCTTCGTGCTCTGCATGAAAGTCTCTCTCTAGTCCCCTTACTATAGGCTGCAATTGCGCACATCCCGGCGCTAGCACAGTGGTTTGGGACTCAGAACCCACCACCAAAATGTCCTTCCCAGTGTGGCTTTTTCCACTACCTCGTGTCTTTCGAAGCAGTGGCCGTGTGGGACGCGACGTTACCTCAACTTGCTCAACTCCGTCAGGAAGATCGGGGGGCCTGAGGGATGGACAACAGAGCAGCCGACAGTCAGTCATTGAGGAAGGCCTTTCCAATCTCTCCTCGTGCTTACTCCGCATCTTCGTGCGGACCACACTCGGAAATCCTTCGCCAAGTTGTAATTCAATCCTTGGGAAAATGTCCTTGTAATTGTAATACACCCCTCTTACATTTATTCTGTGACATCATTTCGGCCCACAGCTCCTTGCACCGCGTGAGCTGACCCCCGGCATAGAGGCGTCCGAGTACCGAGCGCGGCGCCACCGGCTGAGTCAGCTGCTGCCGCCCGGCGGCTCTGCGGTACTGCCCGCCGCGGCCACGACGTACATGTCCGGCGTCATCCCATGGCCGTACCGCCAGGTACGACAATACAGCCAGGAGTCAGGTCGCTAGTCGCCGCGCCTGCTTTCGGTCTGCTGGAAACGGGGCGCGGGAGCTGGTCCTTTTCTCCTTGCCGGACTTTGTGGGGGCATCGGTTCAACCAATGACCCACGGGTCAGGAGCACGCCGGCATAGCATCAAGTGTGATGGTATTACAACGGAGGCTCCCCGCCCAACCCGTAGCGATGCTGAGGAGGGCCATGCTTGGAGAATGCAGGAACGAGATGCCGTACCCATCCCTTGCACAAAAATGCCATGCACTGCCTGCGCGGGGAAGCTGTCAAAAATGTCCCTAATGCTGTTGGGTCGGGGGCCGAGTTGGGTGCGGGACCTCACTCTCGTTGGGAGCTGCATGGCCATATCCTTCTCCTTCCTGGCTTTTAACCCCCTCCACATCTCTGGCTATCCTTCAAATAACCTTCTCCTTGGCTCTGAGTTCACCCTTTAGCCTTTCAAACGTATATTAAACCTTCGGCTCTGAAAATCAAAAATCCAAATTTTTACACCTTTATGGTCACCAAGGTGTTGTAAGTTATATGTTCCTTTTTAACTGTGGTATATTGGAATCGCCCCGGGCCCCAGGACCCGGACTTTTTCTACCTAACGGGCCTTATGCAGCACGGGCTAGCCGTGCTTACAGCACCGGCACCGGGTAAGGTTGATGCAGAATGAGCGTAAGGTGTGGGATGCCTTTCCTCCTCATGGGTGAGAAGGATCGCGATGCGTCCATTTGAGGCTGATGCGGAGCTGTCTTATCTCCCCATTCGCCGAGGAGAAGGAGGAAGGGAGCGGGGGAGGAGAATGAGGAAGGGGGAGGGGGAGGAGGAGGAGGAAGGGGGAGGAGGAGGAGGAAGGGGGAGGAGGAGGAGGAAGGGGGAGGAGGAGGAGGAAGGGGGAGGAGGAGGAGGAGGAGGAGGAGGAAGGGGGAGGAGGAGGAGGAAGGAGGAGGGGGAGGAGGAGGAGGAAGGGGGAGGAGGGGTTTCCCCCTGTTTAGGTGTATGGCTCCCACGCATCAGGCTTACAGGCATCCATTCAAACCCACGTAAGCCTGCTGGGCTATCCAAGTCCAAATCAGGTGAAAACGCTCCGTCCATGCCCCACGTCTCCCCCATCCATTCTCTGATGGGGGGGAGGAGTTGGCCGCTGTTCATTGCCGTCGTCGCTGTCCTCCGCTTTGTACTGCTGCAGGATCGATGCAGGACCCCCGCTTCACGCTCTTCATCGACGCCCCTAGCGCCCACGTGCGTCAGTTCCTGTTCTGTCTGGCGCACTTTTGAGCCCCGCGGTCGGAAGGGGGGAATTGAAGGATGTGCAGAGAAAGCAAAGGGTCGGCAAGAGGGCCATGGAAAGATTCGTGCGAGAAGGCTGCTGGAGGGGATCCGGGTATTTAGATAAACTGGAGGAGAGAGGGTATCGAACAGGGGCCATGTACCGCGGAGTGTATATGAATCATATGGGGAGCGTTGAGCACCGTTGCTTTTTTTCCCTGCATGTTCGCGCAATATTTTGTATTTGATAATGTTGCAGGAATCTTAGATTCCTGAAGCTGTTCCCCACGTGGACGTGAAGCCCACGCGTTGGCCCTGAAACCCGCACGCTGTTGTCTGTCCCCCCTTGGACTCTCACGGGGGCATCTCCCAACCCGGCCTTTGAATTTCCTCCCCAATGCCCGCACCAACTCCCAAACCCCTCTAAAGCCCCTCTAATGGCATCCATTCGCAGCGAGAGAGGTGGGATGGCGCCAGCATCGGGCGGGAAGCTGCGCTGCGAATATTTGGCGCTGATGAGGTTTATTGGATGCACGAGGTGAGGTGCAGGGTGGAGAGGAAATGTACGGAATCGGGCGCTGCAGTTATTGAGCCAGGGTCGCAGATGCGGTATAGCCTAATCAGAGACACCAGCGAACCCCAGGAGCGCTCGCCCCGAAGGGCGGGCTCAGTGACACCTGCTGTTTCGTAAGGTACAGCACAGCACAGCGCACGACATGACGGTGGGAAATTGTACGGCATTCGTACGACAGTAGGATGGCCGTATGGCAGACTCTGATCGGCAAACGTACACACCCGCATGCCGTTCCTCGTTTCGTTGGCTCGAGCTCTCCAATCACACGTGATTTTTCGTGCGTCGTCGTCCTTCCTTGCGAGAATTCATCCTCATGGACTTCCCGAATCTTCGTGGACAGATGCCTCGGAAGTTACAAGAGCTGGTCAAGTCCTCCGAACCCATCTTGTACGACACGGATCGGGTGGGAGCTTACCACCATTCGGCCCTCACCGTTGCGCTTCGCCCGGCGCTCGAGCAGCCGGGTCGCGTCGCGCCGCTGCGGCCCTTGCTCCAGTCCTTGAGGCTCGTGAAGAGCCCGGCTGAGGCGGCGCTGATGCGCACGTCGGCGGCAGTCGCCTCCGCCGCGGTACGGCACTGCATGGCGGTGACGGCACCTGGCACGACGGAGTACGGCCTGGCGGCAGCGTTTGAGTACGGCATCAAGTCTGCGGGCGCGCAGCGACTTGCGTATCCTACGGTGGTCGCCGGTAAGACGGAGCAAACTAGGTGCCGGGGGATTGCTCCGTCGCAGCAAAGTTCCATTTCTCTTGCACCCGCACCGTTGTTAAAAATTACCACTCTTTCCTGCCACTCGCCTCCCATCACTCACTCTTTTCCTTTCACTCTTTCTGCCACTACGGGCTCTTCCCCCTCTATATCCGCCCACATCATATCATTTAACTCACTCCAGCGTTGTGTTCGTTGTGTTCGTCACGCAGCCCATTTCACCACACACCCACGCCCATACCGCACACACCCTAGCGAACACTAGCCGGTAACCACACCGCACCTCAGCACACAATACTGCTGTGTGACGTGTTATAAAAAACGTATACTTGGCAACCTTGTGCGGTTTAGCCAACCGTAACCAACCGCAACCAACCACAACCCAACCACCGCAACCCAACCCCCCAATCCCCCAAACTGCCACTCTAGGAGGCCCCGACGCGTGCACCATCCACTACGGGCGCAACGACAAGGTGCTCCAGGGTGGCCAACTTGTGTTGATGGACGCGGGGGCCGAGTACTGGGGCTACGTGTCCGACGTGTCGAGGACTTGGCCTGTAAGCGGGACCTTCAGCGGTCCGCAACGTGACGTGTATGCTGTCGTACTGGAGGCGCACCAACGGTGTGACGGGGGCTCTTGAGGAGTAGGGGAGGGAGGGGAGTCACGCGCGGCTGGGACGACGCCTCGGGGGGAATTGGGGAGTGGAGTGGGAAGGCAAAAGAGTAGGGAGGAGTATGAGAAATGGGGCTGGAAGGGACTTGCGAATGTATACCCGCCGGTGGGTTAGTCCTTGATGGCACGAGCGCCGTACACATTGCAACAAAGGTAGAATGCAAGCAATAGCAACAACAACAACAATCATATCCGAAACGCCCTTTTCTCAACGCCCTCACACACAAAGACGGCCCTTTTTTCTCCATGGCATGATATGGCCTCATCCGCGGCCTGGGGGGGCCCCCATCCCGCATCCGCAGCTGTCTGGCCGCCTGCCGCCCGGGCTCCTCCATCCGAGAGCTTCATGCTCTTTCCATCGACATCTTGTCGGAGGGTCTGCTGGATCTGAAGCTGCTGCCCCGGGCATCCTTGGCGGAGATACGCAACCACCTGTACCGGTGGGTGCTGCGGGGATGGGTGGCCTGCCAGTCGGGGTGGTGATGGTTTAGCCCCTTTGATTTTCGGGCATGTTTTTATCCCAACGGGCCTTTTTTGCCCCTCTTTGCGCCTCCTCCTCCGCCTCCTCCTCCTCCCCATCGTCACCATCCTCCTCCTCATCAAGATCACCATTATTACCGACCACCCTGGCACCGGTTCAAAACTCGTTTCCCGCATGTCTCGTACTCATCCTTCAAGACCTTCCCCTCGTGCGCCCCCTCCGTACCTCCCCTCCGTACCTCCCCTCCCCTTCCCTTCCCTCCCCGGTATGGTGTCCCCACCCCCCAGTGACTTCTATTGGCACAGCCTGGGCCACTACCTGGGCCTGGACACCCACGACACCCCTCTCATAGGACATGACCGCCAGCTGGAGCCGGGGACGACCATCACCGTGGAGCCCGGTGGGGGGGATGGGGGGGAAATGGGGGGGAATAGGGGGGATGGGGGGGAATAGGGGGGATGGGGGGGAAATGGGGGGGAATAGGGGGCGGAGAGGGGCCCAATCAGGCTGTGAAGCTGTGCCTGTTTCTGCGCATGTGCGAATGCAGCGGGGCGGGGGGGAGGAATGGAGGGAAACTGGATGGAATAGAGGAATGATGCGAACGCGACCCCCCCACGTCGACGGATTGGAGGGGTGGGATGAGCGTGCGTGTGGCGTCTTGTGCGTGTTTTTTATAGCGCTAACAACCCGGCGGTGACCTGGGGGTTAAGAAGCCCTCTTGGTGCGCTTTAGTCCCTGTGGTCAGGACTTCACCCTCTCCCATGTTATATTGGAGCGTGTTGCTGGATCATCAGGATATATTGACATGCTGGCTCAGTGACCGTGTGTGCGTATGTATGTGTGTGTGTGTGTCTCTCCGTGCCGGTGTCTCAATGTGTTATTTGCTGTACAGGGTTGTACATTCCCGACCTGCCTCAGTTCGGGGTTTTCCGTGGCATCGGTGTGCGCATCGAGGACGACGTGCTGGTGACGTCATCTGGTTGTCGTGTGCTCAGCGATCAGGTGGGGCACTGTAATTGTACGGCATCGTACGGGATAGTACGGGATTAATAGGTTCCCCGAAGGGAAAGGTGGCAACCCGAGGGTGACGGGGCTTGTTACCTCCTATGTATACACAGATATACGCAACGATGAATATGTGAATTCAAAGTCCCATACTGTTTATAAAGTACTACATGTATGGCGAGTTGGGGTTATGGATTCAGGTTTCGCTGTGCCTCCCGCTCCTCCCCCCTCCTGCAACCCCACTCATGCTGCTGACCCCGCGGGTAACTGAAGTCCGCTTCACTTCCTCGGCGGTTTCCTCGCTGCTACCGCTACCGCTATTGCTGCTGCTATTGTTGTTCCTTGCTACTGCTACTGCTAATGCTAATGCTGGACGACCCGCAGGCGCCTGTTTCCATTCCCGAGGTGGAGGAGCTCGCGGGCTCAGCCATCCAGTCGCTGCAATCTTCATCGCCCTCCTCCTCCCCTTCGTGGGCCCCCCCCGCGGCGGCGGCGGGTGTGATGCCGCGTCCGCCGAGGGCGCACACGGCGCCGCACCGGCTGTTCGCGGCGGCGGGGGAGCTCCTAGGGCGGGCGCCAGCCGCGGCCGCGGCCGCCATTCCAGAGCCGTCGGAAGCGCGGCAACAAGTCCGGAGGTTTGACGTATAGAAGCAGTTTCTTTAGTCGTGGCGGGCAGCTGCGGGGAGTTCCGGATGTTGGGATGGATGATAAGACGTTCAACAGCACGCAGGCTGGGTGCGCGTGGGAGGCTGAAGTCGCATAGTGATGATGAGGATGAGGATGAGGATGATGCTGTTGCTGTTAATGCGGAAAAGGGTGAGGATGTGACAGTCGTCATCGGGCGCTGCGGGGTAGGAGACCTTAACTTGGGCCAAACTGAGGCGCGCGTATGAGGGTCGCGGGCAAAGAGCGCCTCGCGAGTGTTAAAAAGCGCCTCCCAGTTGGTGGTTGTGTTTCACTGATTGGTGTTGAGGAAGTGAGGAAGTGAGGGTGAGGGCGGGGAGGAGTAGGGTGGTTTCTTCCTAGGGACATTCATTCATGCAAGGGGTAAGGGGGAGTTGGGATTGAGGAGGCTGCGGGCGAACTGGTAGGGCAGAGAGAGAGAGAGGAGAGGAGAGGGAGAGGGTGCCAGGAAGAGCGCCAGAACGGGTCTGAAGCACGTGTAGGTAGGTAGTGCACGTCTGAGCGAGGAGGGTTAGGCTGTGGAAGGGGGGTAGTGTGAAGCTCAAAGGCGAACGATGTCAGATTAGATAGTTGGGGGGTATAGTTGGTAGAGGGTCGTACTCAACAACTAACTGCGAGTGTGGATCAGGGCACTCACCAGTGGATACCCGGAGGGCTAGGGCCCTATATGCCGTACACACCTGCTACTGCTATTGCTACTGCTGCTACTCCTGCTACTGCTACTGCTGCTACTGCTATTGCTGCTGCTGCAGCTGGGGACCACATGTGCGTCATCAGCTCAGCTGGTGCAACAGCGGCAGTAGCAGCGGCAGTAGCCGGAGCATTGCATTCACACGCGCTTGGCAGTACAGCCAGTGCTCTAGGTCAGCAGCAGCAGCAGTTGCAGTGCAGTGGTGGGCGCTGGTGCCGTACTGTGTTTGTGGCGGCTGCAGCCGGGCACAAGGGTCTTATGCCGCGGCTGCGGTTCCACTGGTGCTTTTAATGGGCTATGTGGCTTGTGTGCTCTCTTCATAGTATCCTCAGAAACGGCAGGCATATGCACACAACGGTGAATGGATGCGGGTGGGGTTACGGAGCGGGCGCAAATGAGAGGCGGGCATTCCGTACAATTCCGTACATTCCGTATAATGCTGTCCTACAGCGTACATGAGCGACATATGTTCTACCCAGCACGATGCGGTAGGATGCGGAGGTGAGGTGGCGTGCTGATTCAGTTTTGATGGCAATCAGGCAAAGGCAGCCGTTAGAGAGGTCCTGAATGGTGCCTGGCATCCAATATCCGAGGTTTGGTGCACCCGCCTGGTGGCGGGAAAATTTACTGATCAAGGGGGGGGCACTTTACTACTTCATGTGTGTGTTTTGAGGATGGCATTCGGCACTGGCGTTCAAATCCTCAAGCACTCACCAATTGTGTCGCTCAAGGAGTGCGTGCGGCATTCCGCCACAGAAGGCCAACACAGCTTTAATGCCGATAAGTCACTAGCGGCAGTAGTGGCTGGGCTGGGCTGTAGGCATGGAGGCGGTGCGGCAAGTGCAGGAATGGTATGATGGATCACCTTCTTTTGCCAAGATGGAGGAAGTACCATATACATATAAATACATACGTACATACATTTGCAGGGAGATGTGTGCCGTTGCCTCGGGAAGCCTCTCTGACCGGCAGACGGGCGTGCGCATCCCATAGGCGCACACCAGCACGTCTAGCTGCGTAAATGATGCTGGTACTACATGCATGGGCGCACTCACACGTTTTTGTGTTGCCGTTGCAACTGTTGGATCTAAACGAATGGAATTGGCTTTAGGGGGATACAGTTTCCGAGCGTTTACGGCGGATATACCGCTTCTTGTACTCTGCTCACCGGCGTGGCAGCCCTTGATGACCAAACTACCCAAAAGGAGCGCCTTGTTGCTGAAGTGGAGATGCATGGAGAGATGCATTTGCCACGATGATGAGGAAGAGTTTACACACAGAGCATGCATTCTTGAAATATTCGATAGCTTTTGTTGACTGATTATTGCTGGAATGGATAAAAGATGCGCAGTCCTGGGAGGCTATGATGTGGGAAGATGAGGACCAGCAGCTAGCCTCGGCCTTCACTTGCTGGCGGGTAGGTCTTCTAGGTAGCGACCCGTTGAGAGACGGCATGTGTTGATAATAGTGCAAAAACATGCATGTTAATTTGACAATTGTGCGAAGACACGATTGGTAGTGATGTCCTCGCGGGGAACATTTTTTGGGTAAAAAAACGACATGCAGACATTTGCAAATCCCGGGTTGCCACGACGATTTGCAAGCAGAGCTATAACCTGTTGTAAAGGTAACAGTGCTGTTGCGTGAGCGCGTATTGCAAGCAAAACCTTAGCACGTCGTTCTGTTACAAGAATGAGAGAAGACCAAAAGCAGGAGACTGGAGATTCCGTGCAATCTGCCCAGCATGCCACCGAAACCAGTTCACTCAAGAGGGAGGACTGACCGTAACAAACGTAGTTCTACAATATCATCATCATCATGTACATCTGGTGGAAATTCATTTCAAGACTCAATAACTGCAGCAGTAGGTTTCAAATTCAAATCTATACAGCCGGGTCATTTAGACATGGGGCTCACAATCACCTCACAGGTTGTCCATCAAGACCGCAAATCCCAGGCGCAAAATCTCAAATACAGAACAGGCTTCGATGGCCGTAGGTTGCTGTTTGGGAAAAAAACAGGCCACGAAACGCAAGATCGCCGTGGCACGGGACCATCATTATGACGACAAGTGTTTGTCAACCAATTGAACAGATGCATCAATCCATGCCTTACATCCAAGCAAATCTGAAAAACCCTAACCATCCGTACTCTTGTCATCGGCATGGCTAAATGTGCACTGTACCGCTACCCCCTCAAAAATGCCGTTTCACAAATACCAAGAAATCAAGAAACAAAAGGCACTGAACTTGTTGCTGTTAATACAAAGGTTATCATTCCGCATGATCATTCATTGCCGATGTCTATGCCTTATTTGTCAACAAAGCCCTACCGACATATTTAGCAGATGACGGATCTCAAGCTTGAAGGATCACTGCAAATGGGATACCACAGGTGCCAACATGCGTATCCGATGCCAAGTACAAAACCACCATCACAAGCCACCTGCCTTGTGAATGGAACAGCCAGGCTAACGGCGCAACCTACCGTCACCCGACTTTGAGGCAGGCACAGCTCTGTGCCTGCCCGAGGAAGCATTGAAATCTCAACACCTCGAAGCCATCCAGCTAGGCAATCTAACCTTATCAAACGCCACGATGCAGATGCAGAGCGGCAATGCGTAACAAAGTGTCCCGCTGCTAAGTAAAAGCGACCCAGGGGCATGTACAGGGCACGCGAGTCTGAAATTTCCAGAGTAACGAGTCACGTCATGCCACGTCATGCCAACGATGTGTCGGTACGGCACACAGTCTGGTCACAGGCAAAGGTTGGAATGAAATGGTCAAAGCGTGACTGGGTCCATCCACCGGCAGGTAGGGAGTTGTTTCTCAAGCAGTGCAGGGTCTGGCTTCCTCCCACGCCATGCAAGGTGCGAGATAACCCCATTCCTCCCCCACCCTGTCCCACTCATCCTCTCCAGACGCACAGCGGAAACAGCCTGTCGACTGCAACAAAGCATCATAAGACCATGGTAACAAAGGCCCTGTCTATCTGCCTGGAGGCGAGGAAGAGGACTGGGTTGACGGGGCGATCTGGGTTTCGCCAGTCATACACATTCCTAGTGAAAGAAAACCACGACTAGTTCAGCTCTCATTCCGCACCTTTCCTCACCTTCCCTTTGTTCCGCTCATTCTATTTACAGCTCTTCGCTTCACGCCGGCAAACGCTTCGCCACATTTGTAAACCGCTCCTTAGAGCTGCCGCTGCTGCCACTGCTGCGAGGCCGCATGCCGGTAATGTTTTTTGTGACGAGGGCTCCTGAGCGCGCAGCTGGGGCCGGCAGAATGCTGCCAGGAAAGGTGGCGCCGCCGCCGCCGCCGCCTCTGCTACTTCCTGCGCTGCCGCGTTTTGTGGCGGAGGCCTCCGCTGCTTGTTCGTTTTCCATCGCCTCCATGATCCCATCGAGGAAGAAGTGCAGGAACTCGTTCGTCACGTCCGCATAATCACGCATGAGGCGGTCTCGGCCCGCCACCCCGCAGCGCTCCTTGTCAATGTCGGCATTCAGCTCGTCGATCTGTGCATGTGCGTGTGGGTGTGTGAAGAGGAGGTCCGGCGATTGTAGCGTTCCTAGCTAGGAAGGAATTGGGTCACCATGATGGATTCCTTCTTGACATTTACAAGGATTGATGAGGTCGGCAAGGGGTGAGGCAACGTGGGTGGTACGGACATGCGGAGCGCAAACACGGAATGGGATGGCAAGCCAAAAACGTGGGGAAACTGCAAGACACGCGGGGAAGGGAATTTCTTGCTGGCATTAAAACCGGTTAGCAAACAAAACCTGTTTGGGACCTATTCTAGTTCCTCACAAACGAATTGTAGGGAGTTATGTAATTACCATGACGTCGAGCTCAACGATGAAACGTTGCATGTCCCCTTCTGACGCTCGGAGCTTGTCCATAATACGATCAAGTTGAAATGATAGCTTCTCAGGGTGTTGCTTGAAATAGCTAGAAAGCTCGGCCTGAGCCCAGTCGGTGTTGTCCACCACTGGACTGGACTGTATCTCCGAGACGCTACGCCTCACAGGCGCCGTAGTGATAGAACGCCGAAGAGGACCGTCCATTCTAACAATTAGTCTCTAACAGGTATCCAACAGATGAAAACACCAGGTTGGTGTCCCTTCACCGCGGCTTCCGCCTTGCAGGTTCAACTCGCTATGCGTCCAGGATACATACTTTGATGGTCATAATGCAGTAACGTCTCAAAATTCCTTATAGATATAAAACTTATTATCTAAAACAGCCGGAACTACCGCGGAATTCCTGAACGGAACTACCACCATCCCATTGAATTTTTGCCGTGACTTCTGCCCTTTAAAACGAATAGATCCTCCTTTAAACAATACTTATACAGCATTGCAGACGTTGGCTTTTGAGAATGCAATTCAGTTGGCGACCAAGTCCAAATTCTTGGACAGCCGGATATCCAACATATTGCGAAACCTATGCTTCATTGTGCTCAGCTGCTCTCAGTAGCAGCTTGATTTAGGAGGCTGCAGTTCAGCGCATCCGGCCATGCGCAGCGATATACTCGCGCGCTTGGGGGAATCAATTCGATTGCCGCCGTCCAAAGCACCAACTTGGGGGAAAGAAAGCCGCTAACCCTCTCAGCACACATGTAACGCATTATGTAAAGGCACGAGTGCATGGCAGGGAATGTTCAATACGACCAGTCAGCCGTTAATACGGTTATAACTAACTAATTATTACTTCTGAAGAACTCCTGCCGTCCTATCGTATGACTACTACTGTTACAAGTGAAGTGGTTTCAAAGAAACAGTTCTGGAGCAACCGGGTTGGGAACAGTGGCTGCAACCTGCTGCACCTTTCACCAAGCCGTAGCTGAGAGGATTGTTCGAGTAGTTCATCAGGACAATCACCGCATCCCCGGGCCCGGGCCCATATAGGCTGGCAGACACTTAAAGAACCTTAACATAATTTAAGACGCGTTCAGCGGGCATGTCCGTGCCTATCTAGTATGACACAACCACAAAAAGGTGGTATCGAAAGATATCGATTCAGACAAGTGATTTGATTAAGTCGTTGCAGGACTCCACTTGGGCCTCATGCCGTTAAATCCCCCAGTACGGCTGGGAGGCGCAATCTTCAGATGAACGTAATACAAACAGGAATTACTCTCGATCGATTGAACAGGGACGAACCAGGGATGCAGGTGCCAGCTTTACACAGATAAAGCCCCATGCCATACGCAAGTATATGGACTTCCGTAGCAGTGCGGCATTCGAATGGCGAACTCGACCAGCAGTAGTGGCAAGCCGCCGGCCAACTAAGATTCTTAGTCAGCAAATATGAACAGGTTTTAGTTAATTACAGCAGTGTTAAGTAAACCGAGCTGGAGGCACTTATAATCGACTATCCCTCTAGATGCGTCGTCCCTGTCGCATAGTGATCACCGTGTAAAACAAGGTTTTGACCACATCAGCTACCGCGCTACAACTTTAGACCGAGCCCGCAGACGAGCCGCGTCAAGCAACAGTTTCAGGTGAGGAGTGAAGTTGCGTGCCGGTTCCCATCGGCACCGACCCATGGGTCATCAAATGCGCGCCGGCAGGAAACTAGGCCTACAGCCGCCGAACGAGTGGATACTGAAGAGAAGACCGCCAGAGTGCCAGTCAGGTTGATGGAATCGACCTTGCCAATGCAATGCTTGGTGGCAATGCTATGTCATTGACAGCTGTGCGTGGACACCGCAACTCTCCCCTTCTCGTGTGTGGCATACTCCGGAGGTCCCTGGTTTCCTGACTCGCTGACGTGGTGGCAGGTAGGCAGCCGTAAATACTTCCAGACCGCCGCCCGCAAGCCTAAGCAAGGTTGCGGAAGCAAAAGTAACCTGCTGCTTGCTATTCTTTGACCCCACGTCGAAAATTTATATGATGCCATACTTCCAACTTCGCAGCTCGCACGTCCAAATTGATTACATGCATCTCGGCAGGCTGGACGCTGCCTCACATGCACCTTTATGATGAAGTTATGCCTTTGTTAAGCCTACCAGCGCACTTGTCGCAGCGCCAACAGCAAAAAAGATTTTCGCACGATCCAATTTTCCTGGTTATGCGCACGAGCCGCGAACCAGAGCTTTGCCGCGCCACTCTCTTATAACTCCTGTAAAGTTGGCGTTTTCCGCCTCCAGCCAACACCAAATCATATTCGATAGCCAAAAGCAGTGAATGACTTAGGACAGTCCACCACTGCGTTCCAAAATGACGGTACGCGCCACTGGGCATCAAGACGCTGTTTAGCGTAGTCGCCGTAAGCTAGGTAGCAACTGTTCTGTGTTTACCAGGAAAAGCAACATAGTGCAACGAAGGAGAGTCATGCATTCTCAAACGCCAAAATTATCCTTTTTATGGAATATTCTCGACATTCGGCTTTTTATTTTCTCTTTCAGCGTCCAGCAGAGGCACATCGCAAGCTGCCTGCCCTATTCTTCAGGAGCTGCGTTCCTCTCCACCCTCCTCTCCACTGCTCCTGTCCTCCTTCCCGGTGCCCTCCTCTCCTCCGCCCACGGCCTTGTGCGAGGCCTCGTCCACCTTGCCCGCCATCTCCTGGATGCGACCACCGCCCAAATGGCCGCCAACCTGCAGCACGAGGATCGACAGGAGGACGGAAAGCTGGGAGGGAGGAGACAGGCAACAGGCGGGGTTGTGGCATGACGGTGCGGGAGCCTGACGTGGCAACGAACACCTGCTGCCGTACTACCATGATGTAATGGTGAGACTTGCAATTGGTGGAGTTCAGAAATTTTGTGTCAGTAGAAAACGCCCCAAGGCATGGAAAATTGTCGTCACCAAATTGTTCCTCACGAATGTGCGGTACACCGAACACTCGGTCAAATCGATTTATAGCTGCAGCCCTTTTTTAAAGAGCCGTGCGGGCCGTTGCGGGCAGAGACGCGCGCGGACGGTCCCTGGAGGGCCATCAAATCTGTACCACAACTCTGCAGTAACTTGTCGCGGTCTTCACCAAAAACGCATGACACCAAATAATTTTCAAATATACCATTTTCAAGCCCTTGCTAAAAAGCTGTCGCAAATGTATCGTGGCAATACTGTACCCACACCTACTATGCACGCCTACTATGCACGCCATCTATCCACATCTATCCACATCTATCCACATCTATCCTATCCACATCTATCCTATCCACATCTATCCTATCCACATCTATCCACATCTATCCACACCTATCCACACCTATCCACACCTATCCACACCTATCCACACCTATCCACACCTATCCACACCTTTATCTATAGTTCCTTACCCTGACACGCTGTAGCATCGTAACGCGCGGCGGCAGGTGACGACCACCCGTCCATGCGCACCCGTTTCGTTTGCCCCGGAGCAGGCATTCATAAGAGGTGGATCCATACATGATGCGGTACAGGGACGGTACGGGACAGACTCAACTATGGTCTTAACGCGAAGGTATTCTCCAGGCAGGGAATTCCGAAACGGCAATTGAAGCTGGAGTTAAAAAGCAAATCATTAACGATCATCGCAAAAATGTAGTAGCTGGTACATAGGACGGCACACACATCAACTCCAGATAAGCATGAAGCGTTCGATCAGCATCTCGCGAGGGGCCTTTTCACAATTAGTATCGAGATCCCAAAAATTACGAGATCAGACAGCCATTGTTTTGTTTAATAGTTAGTGGCCAGTTTCATTTCACAGTTTCTGCTGTAGCTTCCATGCAGTACTGGACCTTTACCTAACAACTGAAATGTATAACCGCCAACCGCCAGTCAAGACCCATGGCCAACCTCCCATCTCACCTCCATAGAGTCGCACTCATCAAAGTTTTTACCAAACAGCTTCTATGGTGATGCACGTGGTGTACAAGTGCGAGCGAGCGATTGGGTGCAGGAAGGGGAGGACGAGCGTGAGATAGTTTGCACAGGCGCATTGGCACCGACCCACGGGTCAAAGGCCACGTTATGCCAAAGTCAAATTTGGACCCCAAATTTGGACCCTCAAAAGCCCCCAAACCCAAACCACAAATAGCAGTCACAGTTATTTTTTTAGGACTAACAGATTTATGCGCATTCGAAAATTGAGCTTTTGCTATGAGCTGGTTATGAGCTGGTTATGAGCTGCACTTGCCTGGGCCATCTCGTTTCGCTCCTCGGGGGTGGTAGGCATGTTGTTGGATGTGCGGAGGGCGCGGACAAAGAGTAAGGAAGAGGGGAGGCGGTGCTGCAATGGAATGCGACGGAGGTCAAGGAAGGCTGGAACTTTGCAAAATGATTCACCGGTAGAGCAAAAGGCAAAATGTCCCAGCAGGACAGGGTGCAGCTGCTCTAGTGTATCTTCACGAGGAGTGTGAAAGCTAGGGATATACCTACAAGATTGTCATGAGGAGTGCACAAAAGCCTTTTCGAGATTTGTGCGGACAGCCGCCCAGGAGGGCCCGATGTCCAAAGGGCAATACGCAGCGTACAGTCACAAGCGGAACCCTTTTAGGTGTGATATAGTTCCTTCACGTCTATCATAGCCAAGCATCCACTAGTAGTCGCGCTGTGACTGAATCCACAGTTTCAACACAAGCCGAAAGCACTAAGCAGAACACGTCCTCCCTTTTATATTCTGAAGAAAGGCCAGCAAGCGAAGCAGCTAAGATGTCGCAAGCACAAGAGCCCAGCGCTTCACAGCACGAGGTGCGGTCGATATCGGTTGTGGCTTCCTTCCGCTGTATCTCAGTCCCGTCTGTCGCGTTTAAAGTTGCGGTCTCGCTGATCGCCGCTGATCCTTCGTCCTGCTGCACGACCTTCTCCCTATGTGTGTGAAATCGGAAAACCTGATGCAGCCGTTCAGTCTCCTTTCTCATCAAGTCTCCTTTCTTAATTCCGTTGCAACGACGAATGGGGCACTGCTCCGTCGCTCTCCATCGATCGTTTCCTATTAAAGCTGACCCTTTGAACCTGCTCTCCGCTACTCCACTCTTCCTGGCAGGTTCAACAGCCCACTGATGAGCCCAAGGTCCTTGGCGGCGGCAACATGGACCCCACCAATCCGCTCGCAGGGCTGGAGAACCCCGAGGCGGAGGCCAAGGCCACAGAAATGGGTGAGCGCGGGTGCAGAGGACTGGGCTGGTAGTTTCTTTTGGGTTAAGGAAACAGGGCCTTTTTTAGGCCCTGTTTTCTCTCCTTGGTGTGCTGATGGTTGATGCTGCTAAGCCAACCGGGATGTGGGTTGTTGAAGGATTGCCAACTCGCCAACTGTCGTTGTGTTCTTAAAATAGGCCCCTGTTTCGCAGGAACCACCATTCCTAGCCAGGGCCCACCGCCGGAATTGAGCACGGATCCTGATAACGAGCCGACATGCGGCGGCGGCAGCCAGCCTGGCGAGTGCGTCAGCTTTCAGAAGGATTCCGGGGACACGGCACAGGCGGGCTCACAGCCGACGCCTAGCTCGCAGGCTTAAGGATGCCACTAGGGAAAAGGAGACTCCTTTACGTATTTGCAGATCAGTTCGCAACATGAGGACTTGCGTCCGTACCTGCTGGTCAAGCAAAATACGACATTAGCTTGTCTGTCATGCTGTTAAATGTGTCCTGTGCATATTCTATTCCGACATTGGTTCGGAGAAATCTTATGTACTCATCCGATCGCCTGTTGAGTTGGTACAAGAGGCGATGGACTTGCTGTTATCATGGGACTGTATTGCTTGATTTACATGAATTCATAGTTGCTGGCCTATTAGGTTGTTCGTGTAACTCCGCAATCACTTATCGCATCCAATCCACTTAACAAAGTTAAAAACGGCCACGATAAAGAAGTTAAAGCAAGTCCGAGGGATGTCATGCAGTCTGAACTTGCGGTTGGCGGTTGTCGATTTAGTAGTTAGGTACAGGTCCAGGACTGCATGGAAGCTATAGCGAAAAGTGAGAATTGAGACTAGTCACTAAGTGAAAGTGTTGGCTATCTGACGTGATAAATTCAGTCCATGCAAGTCATGCATGGCTGTGCAGCAACGTTGGCCTATAATAAAACAGTTCAGAAGTACTTAAACCAATAAAACAATGCGTACCCTGTTTCTTTACTTATATGCTGATACAGATCTCATGTGATCATGTCCAAAACGAACAGCGCTATCATGAGCCTCTTGAGCCGTACAAGCTCAAGAAGCTTGCAATTCAAAACGTGGCATTAAAACAACTCGACAGTTACGAGTTTGGGAGGATATTATTACAAGTGTATTCGACAAGTACTCCAAACGTAATTTGCAGGCTAGACGCATTATGCCCCAAGGGAACGGTCGCAAGTCGGCCAACAGGAATAAGGAAAACTGTGATGAGGTCATTGCTTCCAAGACGCACAAAGACAAAGGGGATAGGCCCAATCTTAGCAAACCGCCTGCAGCCGGTGACCATGTCGCGCTGCAGCCCGTTGACCTGGACCGGGAGCGCCTGGAACGCATGCAGCGCAACGAAAAGATATTGCAAGACCTTGGCTTGGTTCCTATGCTTCATTCTATAAAGTCGACCGTCATCGCCGCAGCTGAGGTAAAGAAAATTGCTGTGTCGAAGAAACGGAAACGCGACAGCAACAGCACTACGGGCGAGGAACGCGTGCTTCGGCGATCGCTGCGTACCAAGGGGGAAGAACCCGAGCTTCCTCCGCTGCTTAAGCCCCTCTTCCACAGGTATTGAGTTGGCGGGAGTTACATGCCAGCAAGTGGTCCACGGCAAAGCGCTTCCTGGGACGAGTGGGTAGATGCAACCTTTCGCGTTCACCAGCTGCTTGCCCCTGGAACTGACGATGGTAGTTGTGTCCCCCTTCGCATCTCTACCCTTGGACCTTGAACCATACTGCACGGGGCCTGGCTTGTCTGCCGTTGGGCCGATCATGAACACGGCGTAATCAGGCCGCCGGAAACACAGCAAACACCAATCACAACGGCCGCGAGCCCATGTCGTCAAACAAGAGATAGCTCTTCTTATTGACAGTCGGATGAAGTTGCTTTGCTTTGTGTTTTGGGTCACCGGTAGAAAGGTTGGTGCAAATGGAACCCCCCATACCCGGCGTTTCTCTCTGGTTCATCCTGCTGCTCTCCTCGCTACCAGGTCTAATACAGAGGAGCGGCCATATGGGGTGCCAGGCACCACGCTGCCAGCACGCAAGCCACGCGAGGCAGGAACCCAAGGCGGCGGCGATGCATCAAAATTCGACGCCCACAACCTTCACAGGCAAGGCCGCACAACTCTTGCATTCCCTGCTCCAACAAAACCGCTTCACTTTAACGAGGCAGACGCTTTGTCAGGAAAATAGAAGAAGAGGAGTTCGTGTGTGCCAGCAATGGAACTTTGGAAAAGGAGTGGCATGGTATTGAAATGAGTAAATGGCCCAATGAAACGGGTTACACTTGATGACTAGGCTTGTTATAATCCAATGTACGGTGGTGGCAAGACAACTACGAGGATGGCCCTATGCAACTGGCAATGCAACTACCAGTGTGTGCGGCCCGTGGGTCTGTCCTAGACCGAACGTCCCCCTGATCCACCATCCCCTCCATGTGCTGCCACAGGCTGCGCACCTTGTCGGACGAGGCCATGCGGAAGCGCATCCAAAAGATTACCAATACGCTAAAGCTGAAGTCCCTGGTTCAGGTACGGCCATACGACAGACGCGGGCAGGAGGGCCAAGGTCTCACCCTGTGCATGTGAGGGAGGGCGGTAGGGGTGAGGCTTGGTTTCACACTTCGCATTGAATTCAACGAACCACATGTAACTGCCCTGTTCAAACAGGCAATCACGCGGACTCTCAGCTCACCTTCTCCCTTCCCTGTCTTTCCCTGTGCTCATTCATTTCATTTGGTTACGGATTCCCCTCCCACGTGCTCTCGCTTGGGCAGTTGCTCACGGATTTTGGGCGAGACGAGCTGGCAGAGGAGGCTCAAAGAGCGCTGGATGCACGGCTGGCCAACGTCTAGAGAGGAGGGTCACCATCAGGATGCTGCGAGGGTGGCCTGGACAAGCAGCTTGTGCCCACTTAGGCGGTTGTAGCTCTTCACGCAGTCGCTAAGGATTTTACAGTTACTGAGCATTATGAGCCTATCGACCTGGGCAGGTAACGGTGGCTTACAGCAAGGCGGTTGCTATCTTGCACGACGCCGAGCTCCGAACCTGACCAGAACCTGACAGGTGTGTTGACCTAGAGGACAAGACTCGAATTATGTCTGACAGGCAGTATTCGCTTGCACAGGCCACAGCCGCGATCTCCAAGGCAGTCATGACTACTGGCTGTTCATGGCCGCCAGTGCTGCTCTTAACGTGTGCATCAGTGACAGAAGGGATCCGAACATTGCAGGGTAATACAAGTTAATGAGCGGGCGGTACGGGGTTGTACGCTGCTGCACTGAACTGCTCACGTTACAAACGCCAGAAAGGATCGGCAATGCGCTGAACTGTACTGCACAGCTTTAAGAGTGTGCAAATGTTAGCGTTTGTGCAAAAACTTTGTGTTTATACATATGTATGCGTGCGTTTCTGGGGCAGCGCGAGGTTGCCTTACCCCTAAGGGTGCCGTCCTTCCCAAACAGTGGGAATAATCGCAGTGTAACCAACAGACGCTTGCACGCCTGGGCAGCGCGCATGCTTGTTGGACGAGCGCAGCCGGTAGGGCTGCTGCTGCTTAATAAGGACAAGGTGTGATCATGCATTACGTTGCTGGCCACATAATACTGTTGTGGTTGTGCAATACCCTGCCGCCACATGTTAGGCATCTCGTTATTCCCTGCACTGGATAGGCCGCCGTCCAACATCCTGCAGGCCGAGCTCGCATACCGCTGGTTCATTATATTCATGTTTTGTGGTCATACCCTGTACGTTCTCTGATATCTGCTAAAGCGTGCTTGGTTTCGAGTTTTGAGTGTTCATCCGCTTTCCTTAGTGCATCTTTTTTTATCTTTTTTTAAATCTTAGGGTGCCGAGGTATCACGTCTATGAGTGTTCGGCTTGTTTACATCTTGAATGGCATACTTTATGCTCCCATGTGACAATCAATCAACAACACCTTCCACTGTCCCGTATTCCCTCACGCTCAAAACACATCACCTCGTTGCTTTTGAGACGTGCAAGCTGAGGCACACATGTCGTATCCTTTGCTGCGCGCTACTCAAGACCCATCCAATTTCATTTCCTAGAGCGTTAGAGCAGGGTGGTCGAGTGCCGAGCTGCCATGAACCCAGCAGCGGCGTGCGGTGTATGCCGAGTTCCTATTTCACATGAGGCCATATGAGGCCATATACAAGGCCCGAGAGATGGACCCAGGATAACGCGCACCTTGCTCCCAATGCATGGTGTCATCAGACAGCCATCGCGATAGCTCTCAGAGTCTATCACGGATGGACCAGGAACTACTAGTGCCGTTGACATGGATTTCCGGTCCCCTGTCCCAGCTGGGTAATGGCAACCTCCAACAGTGCCGATTTGCTAAACGAGAGGTCACATAGCTGCCATATAATGCGCTGATGTTGCTTGGGATTCATCCTGCGGTATCCAACCTGTGCGGCTATGTCTGACTATGGGTGCCTTGTTGAGTACACAAGCGTCCTAGAGCCCAGTCCTGGGAAGGCCAGTATGGATTCCAGCCCGCACCACAGCCGCTGCATGGTGGGTCCGAACGCCAATCAGAAAAACGTGGGAACAGCCAGCATCATCGCCAGCAGCGTCAACGACATGCACACACATGAGTCCACAACCTAAACTCCTATACCTGACGTTGTCACCTCTTACATCTTGGAGGTTGTGCGCCTTATGCCCGGCCCCGCGTCCTCCTGTGCTTTCTTGCATCGGGCCTAAGGCAGGGCCTAGCCTTATCCTACAGTTATGTGTAAGCGCAAGCCGCTGCTGTCACACACTCATACACACACACACCGCATGATTGTTTTACTCCGTAAGCTTTCAGGTTCCCGTTTGTCCCTTTCGAGTCCGCTACCCGGTGATTTATTCGTCTGGGTCAAGTGCGCATAGGGTAGTCAAGCTCCTTCTTCACTTTTCAGATCCAGGATGGAGGGCTCCGGGACTTACGGGACTAGGGCGGCCCGAAACGCCGTGCGATGAAGCTAACGGAGAAGCGGTCCGCCCACGGCGCAGCTGCGGTCCACAGCACCTCCAATCTCCGCCGCGCGGCGTCCTCCCGCGTCAGCTGCGCTTCAAGGCTGCGGTGCTCTGGACAGGCGGAGGCGTCAGCACATCCTACGCCAGCAGCCACCACACGCTGGCAGCAGGGGCTGAGCCGGTGCACCCAGGCCTTCGGGTTCTTGCTGCTCCGGAAAAGCCACCTGCACAGCAGATAGGTATTAGAGTGCTCTTCAAGGAAGGGATCGCCTTGGGACCTGCTGACAAGGTCACCTCTGGCAGTGCACGCAATGACCCTACCCACATGGCTGACTTGAGTGACTCCTCCACGTCCTCGGGTGTAGTGTGCCCTCCTCCGCCACCGCTATCAGCGCCCGGCGCCAGGGCCTGCAGCTCGGGCCGCTCCATCAGCCGCGTGATCACGTCGGACACATGGAAGTCCACGGCAGATAGCGGTACATCAGAGCGGCGCATAGGGCCCACGGAGGCGACCGTCGCCAGCACTGCAGGCACGGTAACTACCGCCGTACAGCGGGGGCACATCACAGCGGGTTGAAGAATACAGGCATGGGCACGGACGCGGGTGCTGCATTATACCCCGTTACGGCCAGAGCGACGGAGGAAGGCAAGACATACCTAATGGGTTGCTGCCTGCCTACCCGATTTCCTTTTGCTAAAGAAGTCAAAGTGGATGATACGTTAATGGACTGGAAGTTCGGGCGTGCAGGGCGTGCAGGTGTGTACCTTGGTCATACAGGTTGCAGAGGAAGGCTAACCAGGGGCTGAGCTGGTCGCTGCTGTCAACGCCCTTGCCACCACTGGTGGAGTCGCTTGCCAAGACTGCCGCATCTGCGTGCACCATGCAATCACCCTGGCCAACACCGTGCCACCTCGGCCGAACCACCTCGTCGCCGGCTGCTGGCTGATATTGCTGCTGTGTTAAGGATGTCTGTGTATACGACGGAAAGATCCCGTCAGCGGACGAGGTGCACGATGCTGGTGAGGGTTGCGGTGGTGGTGGTGGTGGTGGTGGTGCTGCTGCCGGCGAGATTGGCCGTGCTGCCGCTACAGCTGCAAGCCTACGCAGGGCGCACTGCTCGCTGACGGCCTCCTTCAGCAATTGTGACGCGGGTACAAAGACGGTGCAGCTGGGTGGGGCGTCCTCCGCCTGAGGGTTGGAAGAGGATTCGGGAGCGGGGCCGTAAGGGAGGATAACGTGCCCCTGCCATACAGACCCGAGCACAGAACGCCCAGTAGATATGTGGGTCAACAGGACGACCACATTGCACTTTTCGTAGCGGGAGCCTTGGTCCCTTAAGGTCTGTGATTTGCTGAAAGATGCAAATGGCAGCTAGCAATGCGGGTTGCAGAGGGAATGGTAGGTAGGTAGCAATGAGCGCAGGGTTGCAGCAGCAGAAGCATTTTGCACAATTTCGCTGCGCGAAAGAACGGGTTCTTGTCTCCCAGCCACACGTTCGCACCCGGCGATGGAGCAAATGCCCTGGGACTGGTTCCAGTTCACCAGGCCTTTCTCACCTGGAGCCTGGTCGCGAAGTAGGTATCAGGGACACGCACGTCCCCAGGCGTGGCTTGCGATGAACAGCCCGCCATGGCCAGTGCTGCAGGCTCCTGTGTCATATGGGCGTTGCCGCGAACCTCCGAGCCCTCGCCAACGGCATTGTCCAATGGCGCCGGCCGTGTTTCGGACAGGCCCGCCGATGGCGGGCCGATTGTGGATCGCGAGGGTGGCCCCTCCGGCTGCCCGGGCGGAGGCGGCGGTTGGGCTATGCACGGTCCGTTGAAAAGGGGAAAGAGAGAGGATAAGAGGGAGCGACCTGTACTGACTACCACTACTTTTTTCCATCACCATCGTAGATGGACAGAAGATAACGTTTAAGATGCTGTAAAGGGCGCAAGGACAATGTTTCTCGGGAGCCGACTTTGTACAAACATGGGGGAGGAGACACAACCTGCTGAGCTGCAAGCGGAAGATTGGACAGCGATGTTTCCGAGTGAAAGTTCGTTGCAACATGTGGGCTTGAACTCGTAGGATGATGCACGAGGATGATGCAGCGCGGGCTGCGTCCCCTGACCTGGACAGCCACCCCTCATTCATTCGTTCATTCAAACGACTCCTAACCCAAAACACAGGTTCTGTGCTCCTGTCTCCCTTAACCGTCTTCTCGTGGCTCTGACTCTGGCGTGCTTGCTAACCGTGCTTAGAATGGTGGAGACGGGAAGCGGGGAGACCGGCTGCCATGGCCCGATCGCTTCGCTCCGTCGCATCTAAGTCAACAATTCTCAGCCCACGCACCTGCCGAGCTCTTGAACCGTGCCGCCCAGTACCCCGCGAAGGCCCGCATCATGCGCACATCACCGCCCATACCGCCATAGCTGGCACGGAACAGCAGACACTTGACGAGACAGCTCTCCAGTGCGGGTAAAGCCATCTCGTCCACCTGCTGCAACGTCGCGGGGCCCTGCAAAGGCAAACATATATTCGAAGAATGGCCACGGCATCTACAATCAGCGTGAAGGCGAGTTCGACGCCATATTTGCATAAAAGCGATGGCTGCGTCTGTATGTCATGGACCCCCATTCTCTGACGGCCCCTAAACTGTGATATCACAGCGGTACGCTTCCCTCCCAAACACACAGACATCACCTAGCTGGAACGCGGGCAACAGAAAGCGGAGTTCGTGATTGCCGTATGTCTGACGCGAGGCACGGACCTGGAGTGCAGTGCCTGCAGAGGAACCCATGGCGGCCGGGTCGCCACTGTCCCACGGGTCATCAGGCAGGCCGTCGCGCACTTGAACCATGGCCAGCTGATAAACCAGCGGCAGCAGCGCATCCCCGTGAGCGCGGCCCAGGACGAAGCCCTTGGCCTGCGGGGAGGCACAGAACCCATAGAGACGGCGGCGACGTCGCCAGAGGCCGGCAAACGCATGGAAACGCACTTGCGTGTAAGGCCATGGGTGGAAATTATGACTTGAAGCACCGCCAGCTGTCTAACATAAAGCCCTTGAATCTGCCCAAACTTGTAAACCACCAGTCTGCCATGTCGTGCTTCTACAGGTAAGCGTTTGGTTGGTGTTGGAAAGCTACAACCGCGGCTACTGAGGTTCAGATGTGCAGCTTATGAACCTGGGATAAGGCAAACCGCACATCCACCGAGCCCCACGCACGGCCCCACATAGCTGCAGTTAGCCGCACCTAGCTACAGTTAGCCGCGGCTCTAGTCATAGTCAGCTACCCACCTGCGCAGCCATAAGCCACACCACCAGCGGCAGCCCCGGATGCAAGATTGCGTCCTCCACGCACACCACCGACAGCCGCCGCAGCAGATGTGCCACTCCGCCATCCTCCTTCACCAGGTGCAGCGCCGTGCGCACAGCGCAGCTACCACGTCCCAGCCGCACCGCTTTCTGCAGGGCGCTCTTCAGCACGGAGGGGCCGCCCCGCCAGCGGCCCTCCGGCGGCAGGTCATTGCTGGGCAAGCCGCCTGCAGCCGACGGGAGCGGGCGGGCGGCGCCAGCGGCGCCGTGGGAGCTAATGCGTATAGCCAGCGCAGTCAGAGCCGGTGTATATTAATGTGGATGCCATGGCCAGGTCGGGTGCGTCGAAGTCGCCGCAATAGTGTGGCCGTATCGCGCAGGTGTCGGTGGCTATGTGGCTATGTGGTTATGTTAAAACCATTCCCTCCAAACAAGCACCGTGAGCGCTACCCCAGCCGTGTTGCTCTACCAACGCCACACTGATGAGACGTCAACCCATCAACCACACACGGGACCGGCTCCGGCTGCTTATGCCAGGGGGTGAGTCAATCGCGCGCACAGCCCCTAGTTCCCTACCTGAGCTCCAGCTGATTTCTCCACCGTCGCCGGGTGGCACGTTGGTCAGCAGCACCACCGTCTCCTTGCCGTTACTCCCCCCATCGCCGCCGCCACCGCTAGCGACGGCCGCCACCCGGGGCCCCAGGCCCACCGTCAGGGTAACCGACCAGCAGCTGCTGCCCACCAGCCTCTGCTGTGCGGCCGTCACGCAGCCTGTCCTAGGAGGCAGGGCGGGCGGGTCAAGTCAAAACCATTGTGCTCACGTCTTGGCATGAGGATTGTGGTGTCGGTCCGAGGGGATGCGGACGGTGGGAGGTGTACGGCCACGGCTCCGTCAGGGCGGGCCCGGGTCACCCTCCTCTTCCATTTGCGAGCTGCGGGCTTCGCAAGTGAACAGACACAGCGGTTCACAGCCTCACTCCGATACCCACGTCCTAAGGGGCGAGCTGCTACCGCTAGGCATCGCACCCTCCGGCCGCAACCCCAACCCACATCGCACGCACTTGGGCGCCTCTCTTCCGTCACCCTCCTTCCAAAGCCCAGCTGGCTACAGGATAATACATGGTTTCGAGGCTGACCCGTATCGCAAATCCCTCACAGGCGCTGCGGTCGGTGGATGCTGCCCCTACCGACCTAACCTTCACTCCGTTACCCATACATACATACATACATACATACATGCATACATATATACCCCAGCCCCGTCCCCGGCTGCCTGGCGCCTGCTCTCCTGGCGCGGACCATCGTACTGCGAGATAGGCAGGCTGCCTCCAACCTTTCCATAGCCAGGCAGGTATCAGCACCGTCACACGTCAGTTTCTGCCTCGGGGCGGGCTGTAGGTCAGGGAGGGCCGAGCAGGGTAACTAGTCGCACCTTTTGACCACCAGTGTCCCAGCCAGCGGCCCCCCGGGGTGCGCTCCAGGAAGAAAGTGTGGCGGCGGGATGCTGCGCGCATCTGGCTCTGCGGGTAGGCATGTGGGAAGGCCAGGAGGATCGGGGGCGAGCTGATGACATTCTTTCCCAACAGCCTGAAGAGGAATAAAGCCGTACTTGGCACGGAACGAAAAGCCACTCCAAGGCGCGGCGAGGTAAGGCGGTGAAGCCGCTGTGGGGCTGGCGGTGCAGCTAGACACACGACTCGCCTGGCGCATGATGTCGAAGGCGCTGGTCGTTCCGGCAGCCTGACCGGGACGGGCACCCTGTCCTTGACTGGAGCTAGGACCAAAGCTGGGTTCAGGCGGAACTTGCATGACCAGCTGCTGGGTTGGGTCTCCTCGGCATTGCCGTGCTGTTGCTGGCTGTGCTGCTGCTGACTGCGTTAGGTGGGTTGCTGTCCCTGGTACCGGTTTAAGTGCATGTGGTGATGCTATTACGGGTGTTGGCGCGGGCGTTGGAGTCGCCGTAATCGCTTCCTCGGGTCCGTTAGCGGTTGGCTGGGCGTCCGCCGAAAGCCCTGCGCCTGACGCTGCCCGGTCACACAGGACCAACATCCCCTCCTGCTTGCCTTCCAAGAGTTGTTTTGGTTGTTGCTGCTGCTGCTGGGGTGGGCCCTGTTGCGGTGTTTTTATGGCAGCTAAAGGTGCGTGCGAAGCCGCTGGATGGGGGGTCAGTTGCTGGGGGGCCTGCAACTGCGCACGTGGCGTCGAAGCGCCCAGGCCGGGTGATGGTGAGGAGCCGCTGGGGTGATCCTGCTGAGAGGAGGACCGCGGCGGTGGCCGCGGAGTGGCAAGGCAGACGCTGACATGGGCGTCCGCAAAGCTCAGCGGCACGGTGCGCTGGCATAGCGGACATGTGGCGTATGAGCTCTGCGGGCAGGTGGACCAAGGATGCAGCTCTGGTCCGTGATGACAATGCGGGCATTGACTTCCACAGGTTTGAATTTAGATTGCTGTATTGGCGAAGCAGTGAGACCTTCAGTGCAGAGACGAGAATTGGTTCAGACAAACCTTGCTGCCAGCCGGCGTCTTAGAGCTGCCCTTGCCCTTTGCACCAGAAGCTAGAAGCTCAAAGGCGTTCCGCATAAGACTGTGGTTGTTCGCAAAAATAACAACGGGTGGCCTGGGCAGGGCAGGGCTGTCAATAGGCGCTAGAAAGTCAACCCAGCAAATGACAACATGCGATAACATGCTTCCTAATCTTTTAGGTTCGCCCCGTATGCTGTGTAGTGTTTACCAACAATCTGTTGAATCTGGATTCAACCGTTAGACAGCTGAAATGCAGAGCGTTGTTATTGAGCGACTAAAAACTTTTTTGAGAATAACTATAGTTACAAATTGTACATGCGTGTTGTACTCATGTAGCGGAAGCGCCTTCCAAAAATGAAACCTAGTTTGCGCGTCGATATCGCGGCCGCTGAGGCTGCCGCGGCGTCAGATGTCCAGGACACAGACAATGAACCGCACCGTCTTCTTAAACTCTCGCACAGCCTACGATACCAGCTCGCGCAACCGCCGAGGAGTCGGACAGCCCAGCGGGTGCGCCATGAATACTCCATTGCAGGAGCAACAAAAAAGCATCTTGGCAGGGTGCACATGGAACTTCGCTTTTGCCTTGCTTGCCTCCAAACAACGAGCAGGATGTCACATTACCGGTACCTGGCGCCCTTCGAAGCTCTCCTCAATCCTCGTGAGTGGTCCTGCATGAACCCGCTCTTCCGACTCACGCAAGGGGTCAGACCAATCCACAGGCCGCTTCCAACGGTCACCTCCTTCTACCGCTTTTGCTTCCTTTGTGGCTGCAGACCTCGACAGCCAGCCGCTACACGAGACCAGTCGACGCCCCTCGTCGTCAGCCTGTCACAGCATTCCCAGCAGCTTCCCCCCATAAAAGGCCCCGGAACCCGAAGCGGCCCTTACGGCGGCTTTGCGTCCAAAGCATGGTTGCAGGTGCGAGCTTCTGTTGCGCTGCCGCGCTGGCGATATCTGGGGACAGCGCTTGCAAGCGACTCGGCGGAAGAATTTAGTGAACGCTGTTTGTTATAGTCATCCCTAACGGATTGCAAAAATACAAAGGTGAAGGGAACGTCGTTGGCGTCGCTTATAAATCGCTAGTCCACACCACATCTACTATAGGAACCAAACACATGTCATACTAGGGTTTGGCACTACTGATAAGGCACGACCATTGCCCCCGGGAGATCCCGGGATCGATACCCATTAGGGTCAAAGTCCTTCCGATGGTGGAAGGCATGGTGTCCCTAGTTGATGGACGGTGGTGACCTGGGATAAAGTTAATCCGCGAGCCGACCAGGAATGGGGTTGGGCCGCTGTCGACCCGGCAGATTCCGTTGGATGCTGGTGGTGGGTGTGGAACCTGAGCGATCCACTGAGAAGCCGACTAGGGTGACTGGATGAGGGTGCCCCGAAATACCGGGGAAGGCAGGGTTTCGCAGGGTAGCTGCCACGGGCGAAGATATACCCCCCTGTTTCACACACATGCCGCGCTAAAATTGGTCACCAACAAACGGCACATTGGCGGCGTGAGTACACCACGAGACAACGCATCCTCCACTGTCATCGACGTGTCCGGCCTTTCTTCCTGTTCACGTTGCCCCGGGGTACCCTAAGTACAGACCGAGTTCCGGCAGGACTTGGACGAGTTACGACAACACGTGGACGAGTATGTCACCAAGCGCGAGCACCGCGCCTTCGACCTGGAGCGTACGGCATTCAAGGCAGAAATCGCGCATGTAGGTCTGCGTGAGTGGGCTGTGGAGGGGACCGGGCTCAGGATGGAACCTCAGCCCTGGTGTTCTAAGGCCTAAACCGGACGGATTCCTGATGCACTGGAGGCACTGGAGATAATTTACATCAGATTATAGGGACAGAGGCCAGGAGTCAACTGTGAGACGAGCGAGCGTTAGGAAAAGGGTTAAAACGTTAAGACCCTAGGAGGCCTTCCATTCGCCTGCGTCACTCGTCCCCATCCTCACGCCTGTTCGCTTTCTCCTTTCTCCGATTTGGTCCTCCCATCCCCTGGGCCGCACCGGCTGGGCCGCTACAGCTGCGGAAACGCCTGGGGGAGTCGGAAGATCGGGTGGTGAAGCTCCAGACGATGCTGCCGGACCATGACGGGGAGTTCCGGGGCCTTCGAGCGGAGGTTGAGGAGCTGGAGCGGGTATGTGCGCGTGAGGCTGTGTGTGCACGCACGTGTGGATTTCAGGGAGAGAAGGAAACGGCAAGCCTGCTAAGTGAAGTGGAAAAGATGGCATGGGTGGAGCGGCCGATTCCATTACCACCCGAACGGGAGCTTGGGTCATCTGCCGGTGTTGGAGAGGGAGAGACAGCAAGTGATGCAAGGTTTGCGGGAAGCTGCGGCCGCTGACATTGCATCCGTTGCAACGGATATGGTAAAGATCCTGATGTATAATGAACCCTCCTCCCAAATTGGTTCTCCGCTAGGGGCATGTTGGCATGCCGCGTGATGCGTTGTGCTGCATCTGGCTTGGGCTTGCTCTCACCTTCAGGAGGCGGACCACTTCTGCGACCTGTATGAACGGGAGGCCAAGGCCACCAGCTCAGCTCTGGAGGGCTTCCGCCAGGCATTAGGTGCGGTAAAGGTGCGGCGCCTTTAGGTGCTACTGCTCTTGGCGTGTGTGCTGTTTGTTTGTTGCATGGACACAAGACCAGGTCTTATAAAATTTGCAGGGCTGGGCACATGAAGTCTTGCTACATGTCCTGGGTTCCTCGCGGTGTCAATCTTCAAACCCCTTCGTCTTCCCCTCTACCCTCTACCTGGAGTATCTTTTCTATCTCTGGTATCAGCATCACTCATTTGTGGTTCGTCTTTCCCCTCGCTCTCGCTAATATTTCCGCACCGACAGGCGACATCAACGACATCGAGATGGAATTTCAGCGCATCAAGCAAATCCTTGATAACCTGCCCCAGGCAGCTCCTGGACAGCCGGGTCAAACCTTCGGCGCTACTCAGCTCTTGGCCCCCGGGATGGCAGCCCACCAGAATGGGGTCCGGGTTGCGGCCCCTGGGGGAACCCCGGAGCAGCCGGAAGCCGCTTCTTCCCGGGTATGTTGCGGCTTCATTCGCATCACGCGGCGGGGAGGGCAGGGGGGTGCGCGTTGAGGTCTGGAAGTTTGAGGCGGCGGTCTCAGCCACGGCTGCATTGCCACTACGGAGAGCAAACTGTACGCAGGGACGGCGGCAGATGCGCGGCCGCCCGGGTTGGCTGCGCCAGGCGGCTGTTTGCTGGTGGCGTCCATCGCAGTGCTACAGTAACGCAAGAAAAAAAATAAATACAAAAAAATAAATACAACCATGAAAAATAAATACAATTTCATGGTGGCAGAAATCATGATTCGGGTGCAAGGGGAGGTTCTCAGCTTGGTGAAGATGGTATCTAACCTTTGGGAGTGCATCATTTCAAGAAGTGAGTGGACACTGTTGTCTGCTGTAGGGGCATCAGGAGCAGTGACCGAGGCGGTGCAGGCCGGTGTAGGGTGTTTGCACCAGCCAGCAAGCACGGTATTGCCAATTTGACCTATCCCGCCGGAAGAGTTGGGAGTCCATGGCTATACTGGGGCGTGATATGATTTGCCCCTTTCCATCAGCTGTGACGTGGGGCGCCCCCGAAAAGGACCTTCCATGCACCTATGGCAAGTGTCCTAGCGGCCCAATAGGTGTCCTGTGTCGCCATGAGGCGACGGAATGGGTTGCCCAGGCCAGCACGGTCGGGGGTTTAAGAGCGTTGTTATGAGGCCGAGGCCTTGAGAGTGGGGGCCATGCTACTTGTGTGGGGCCCGCGTGCATGTGTAGGCGTCTGGCGAGCGGGCGGGGCTGGAAAAGCCGTATGCAGCCTCGTAAAGGGGCTGCCTTGTGGTGCCCTGTTTCAACCCTTGTTGAGTGCTACAGCAAAGCCGCTGTGAAAGGAGACGGCCATGGGGCAATCCAGCGCGGATTTAGGCACCCTTACTGCCTGCAGCGCGTCGCTGTGATGTGGCGTGTGCCTAGGATCTCGAAACTGCTGAGCGTTGCCCGGCACACGTTCCGAGCACGGTCGGGCGCATCACCATTAAGAATTTTGCAATCAAGCTGCATGGGTACATTACACGCATATTGCATGGATGAGCGCAAATGGACGAATGAACCCATGCTGCGACAGACGCTGAGGGACCCTTATCTGGCGCCTGCAAGGGTGGGTCTGAACCCTGACCGGTCAAATTTCCTTCTCAATAGTTTAGTCGGCTCCACTCCTCTATCATCGAGCGCCCATCTTAAACGGCCATTACCATTCGCTACAAGTTACAAGTTCCGCACACAAGTGGGGGTGTGTCCATAAAAGCCGTGGGGGCCATGGACGCTACATGAGCGTGGCTGACACACGGGGCGCGGGTTCCAGTGTTCCCGCTGCTCTGCTGTCTTGGCTGTGACAACAAGCCACCGGACATGCGGGTGGCCTGTCGCGACCTGCTCCACTGTGGCGGGAGTGGCGTATCCAAAGCGACCAAGGACCCCTTCTACTCGGAGGCATGAATCCTCCAGTTCGACGAGTCACGGTGAAAGGTCACACGTGCGCCAGGCCAGCCAAGGGAGGAGAGGACCTTCCAGGGCGTCGACTTGACCATGAGACGCTCAGGTAGGGCTTTCCTCCCTAGACAGAGAACGAGGAGGAAGGTCTCCACTGCTCTCGGAGGACCTCTACTCTCCACCACTCTAACTTCACCAGCTGGACCCAAATCCTTATAACCCGCTGTAAACACCGGGACCACTACGCCTCTCCCTGCGCCAACCCATCCAATCGCGTTTACTACCCCGTCTAGTTACCGTCCCCATTTCAATCCACCCACACATCACTGCGCTGCCGCTAGGACGTTGTTTATCTCCCCTAGCACGTTGACGGTCCGTTTGCCGCCCAGCGCCGCGGAGATGGAGCGTTCTGAAAGCGCCTTGAGCCGCCGTGTGCGCTCCACCAGAGTCGCCAATCGCGGCGCCAGTTCCACAAGCTGAGACCGCGCATCCTGCTTGCGGGCAACCACGTCCGCTGCGGCGCGCAGCAGCTTGGCCTCCGTGCCTGCCTGGCGCTTCAAACTTGCCTCCAGTCTGTCCAGGTACCTGGAGAGGAGAAAGAGGTGGAAGAGAGGGGATGGAGAGAAAACGAAGCGCCGCAACGGAAAGCCAAGGGGGGAGGGCTGAATGACGGAGGGACAAGGTAAATGGCAGATGGGTGCGTTGTGTAAAGAGTGGGATTTGCCTGAAGCTGACGACCTTTCCAGGAGAAGACCTAGGTACCCATGCGTGAAATGGCGCCGTTCACGCTAAAACAGCCAACCGTTCCACCTGCTTAAGCCCATAAAGAAAGCCACTCAAAATTTACCCGGCAAACCGACAAACTATTCAGACAAACCTTGAAAACTGGTGGTTTTGTAAGAGACAACGTTAAGAACCTTCCGGGAAGGCAGATTTTTTAGGGTCATCATGGGTCTTCTGGTCGATCTCGTGAATGCGTGCGGACCCTTGGGCATCTAGACACGCGGGCAGCATCCCTAACCAGCCATTCACAGCAAGCCATCCGACTTCGGCAAGTGGACACCCGGTAATGCCGCGCAACCGATGCGTCCCCACAGTCCAGGCCCACCCGCTTGGGACGCCTATACGCCGCTCTTACCTCTGGGAGGTTGCGATGAGCAGCAGCTGCCGAAAGCGCGGTGTGGTGAGCTGCCCCAGCGACTGCTGCACGGCCGCCAGCATGCCGGCCACAGCGCCGGCATCCACCTCCCTCACGTCGTCCGGCAGCGCAGTCGCCAGGAGCTCGTTGCCGCTGCCGGATAGCTCCGTCTTGCGCTGCGGTGGCATTGCACGGTGATGGAGCAGAGTTGTGCTAAGACTGAACAAACAAACAAGCAAACGAACAAACAAATGTCGCGACGCAAGTCAATCTTAAATGTCCCGACCACGCAAGAGCGTGAAGTTGACTCGCTGAGGTGCAGCAGGCACATGCGGAATTTCATTTTCTCACATCTTCTCAAACGACCAGGGCGAAAGACGAGACCGCATACCTTGTTGTAAAAAGCGCTCGCAAAAGAGTGTATAGCTGCTTCCAATGCCATGCCTCGGCCCGCTCCTCAACCCATCCCCACCGTTCCACACCGTTCCACATCCGATGCTCTCTTTTTCCCACTCTGCTGCGACGACAGGGAGCTCTGGAGAGACCCTCCCTTACTCCCCCGACTTCCCGTAAGCCCCGCTACGCAGCGACCCGCGCACTTTCGAAGCCTTCCCATGCCCTCCATACCGAGCCCTGCCGGTATCTATCTTTCCCCGGTCGACATTTTCCGACTCACTCGCCTTCGTCGGTGCTCGTATTCGCCCCTCCATGTATCCTTAGTGCCATACCGCTATGAGGGTGCCGTTTCCCGCATGTGGCTTGGCACAAGAGTCCACAGGGCGCCCCCGCAAACGTACCTGCGCTAGGAAGGCCCTCAGCTCCAACAAATCATCCATTAACCGCGCTCGGTACTCCCCATCGCGTTCCAGCCGCACCGCCGCGATGTCATCCGGATCCATCACCGCCGCCGCTGCCGACGTTGAAGTCTCTGTCCCAGCTAGATTGTTCTCTGCGTCGGCGGCAGCGTCGCCCACAGCGTCCACGGCAATGTCCCAGTCAATGGTTGTGGCCGGCGCCGCCGCCTCCGCGGGCGCCGTCGTTGTTGCGGTGTCACCGCCCGCGCCGCTGGTTTCATCGGGCATGTCTATGTCCCAATTGATTCCTCCACCGCCGCCACCACCGCCGCCGCCGTCGGCGGCGGCACCAGCCTCTTCCCCACCCAACCCCACGTCCCAGTCGATGTCCACCACCGCGCCGGGCCCCGGCTCGGCAGCCTCCTGAGTCCCGAGGTCCCAGTCTATGATCCCGCCGCCGCGGCCTGCCGTCGCTTCCTGCACGACGACCGATGACGCCGCCGCCGCCGCTGCTCCCGCCGTGTCCTCTGAGGATGCGGGAGGCTGTGTCTGGCGAGCCCGGATTTCTAACAGCGTCGGCAGCATCGCCGATGGCTCCAGACCTAAATCGGCGGCGGCGCTGGCGCCGCCGCCGCGTTGCCCCCGCGGCGCGTGAGCGAAGCGTGTGAAGGCGGCGTAGTATTCAGCGGCGGACTGCGTGTGCGCGGGCATGCAAGGTAAAACAACTCTCTACGGAAACGCCCCAATTACCCTATCCACAGTCTCCAATTCACTTGCAGCCGGGGAAAGATGCAAAGCCTCCCCCTCCCCTTCGCTTGAATACCGCTAGCAATGTGAAAACTTCGCTGTTTGGGCAACGGCAGCTCAAAAAACTATTTGTTCGCATTTTGGCCTACACGCCCTTTCCCTACAAGCCCTACCTGCAGCCGCGGGTCATGTAGAGACTCCACTACCCCCCGCAGCATGCCCGGCAGCTCCGAAGCCAGCCCCCGAAGCTCCTGCCGTACTGAGACACCCTGGACGCCCAGCTTCTTACACTCCTGGGGACCCCCGGCGCCAAACGATGGATGGAACGGGAAGGTGAAGCGTTAGCTCGGTTTTGAAAAACAAGGTGAGAAGATCGAAAGATTTGTAGAGAGATATGTAGAGAGGATGTCAAACACGACCCGAACCGATAGGTTTCCAAAGAGAGACATAAATCTGATAGGCCAGGGACCTGGGGGCCATCCCCAGGGGGCTAGACTAGACTGGCGGCATTCCTGACCCCACCTCTTTGTACTTCGCGGCACACAACGCCGCATTGCGGAGGCATTCAGAGTGCTTGCGATCGCAGTCCACAATCTGCTGGTTTTGTTTGGCGGCCTGCTTGCGCAGGTAGGGGATCTCAAAGTCCACGTTCTGCACTAAGATGCTCGCGCACTCGCCCAGGAACACATCTGTGGCGGGTTGGGTACGGGCAGGGAAAACTGCCTGTTCAGACTGTGGTCTAGACATCTGGAAGGAGGGATTTGTTACCCTGCAGTTAGACGCATGGGATAGAGCAACGGCAGATTGCTCAAAGAGGACCATTTGACGAATGAGTAGTGCGGATGTTGATGGGCAGTCGTTTCACAACGCTGAGGGGAAGACTTAAAATGGTTGAAAGTGGGTATTGCAAACGACGGCGGTAGGTGCGTTCGAGATGCTATACGGAATGCCGCAATTATGATGGAAGCATGCAGCTTGTCGGCTGATAGCATGCATAGAATGGTCAGCTGAAGGTGATTGACGACTTAAGGGCTTGGTGAGGGGGTGGGCCCCGCCAGATGAGGAACCGACTAGGCTTGGGGGACAATTCAAGTTAATGAGATGATTTTGGCGGCGGGACAAGAGGCATCATGGCGCACGAAGTTCACCGCAGAGGTAAGGTGAATAAGGGGAACTGCAGGAGCTCCGCTCTGTACGAGCGCTCACACTATCGCTGCGGCGGGGCCCCCTCTTTTCCGGCTGCAACGAAGGCCTGCAAACTCCATAACTTACATTGTTTCTCATATGCTTTCACGATCTTATCCCATGTCGCCGCTGGTCCCGAGAGTCCGCCGAACATTGTGCGTTCTGCCGTGCTCGACAGCTTGTCCCTAATCTCAACCGCCCGTAAATAGTCCAGCGGTGCGTCCGATCCATCTGCGAGACTAGTAAGGACCTCTGGCGGAACCTCTTTAAGAGCCTCGGCTGCTTTTGCGTGTATGACCTGAAGTCGCTTATGCCAGTCCTTCGGGATCTTCTGACGGGTCACCTGACATCGCACCGATATGGTTTCAAAAATTAGGTTTTGATCAATTTGGAGATCTGTATGCAAGTGTTATAGCTTGCCACGCACGCAATATCTCACCAGCCATTCCGCTAGCTTTGCATAATTGATGTCTAATGGAAGTGATGCTTCAGGTCGTTCTACACCTTCTCCAACGAGTCTTGCAATTGCAGGTTCACTCATAACTGTTGCGTCCCAAACGTCGGTTCAAGATGTTGCGAGATGCAAGTAGTGACGTGTCTAGGGCGTATTAACTCTAGCCAGGTCAGGTGCAACACAGAGATTTGGACAATATCATCCATAATTAAGCTGCGATTGTGCAACAAGGGATGCAACGACCGCTGTTGTACGGCAAAAAATAACAAAAACATCTAGCTGGTCAAGTCGCCATAACGCTTCTGCGGACGCGTTCTTGCTCGGCAAGTCCGCGTCCTCCATAAATCCCCACAGCATCGCAATCCCAGTCGCCGTCCCCGTTGCCGTTCCCAGGCCATCTACCCCGCTTCAATCACCTTCCGCGCTCAATCGGCTAAACAGACCTTGCATGCAAATACCCAACGACCACGACAAAACGTCACAACATCACCACAAATACGCAGCAAAGGCAAAATCCTTTGACTTGCAAAACCCCAGCTTAGCGCCTTATTTCTCAGCTACACCATCCCCGAACAAAACTCCCCAGCGACGAATGGCTCTCCACGCAACCAACACTCCCACAAGATGTGGATCATCCTGATCCAAATAACCGTATTCCGTCCGCTGTTCATGCACGATACGTGTCGCCGGTCCTTACATCTCCACGACCAAACTGCGCACCAGAAGACAACAGCCCCCACTCATCCATACCCACGCGTCCATCCATGCAGCCCATATCCGTGTCCATACCCATGCCCATTTCCCCCCTCCAACCCGGTTTTGCAGCCCGTCCCCGCTCCCGGAATGGCCACACCGCCGCGCGGCCCACCCTGGCGACCTGGAACCCTGCCTAGCAGCCGCGCCACCAGCAGCAGCGGCCACAGCAGCAAGGGCGGCTCGGGCGGGATGACGGTGGTGAGTTCGTGAGAGGAAATAACTCCTCGGCGGTCAAACCTGACACATGGAGCATGGACAGTGGCGGTGGCAATGGTGGGTAGGTGACAATTGACTTGGAATAACAAGCGCTGCGTGGCTAATAAAAAGATTGCGCGTCGGGCAGAAGGAAAGAAGGATAGCGCGCAAATCCACGTATAATCCTGTGTGTCGTCCGTACTTCCAGGCCTTCCTATCTAAACCCCAACATGCTTGGGACAGCTTTTCATCCCCCCCCCTACCCTTCATCTCGCCAGCACACGCAGACACATAGACTTCCTGTACGACAATTACCTATCTGTACGACATACATTTATTACCTGTACGTCGCAACCACCTCCAACCGCTGCTCTCCACTCCAGGGAAGCCAGGGTTGTCCCGTAGCCCGCCATCGCACCCGCAGCTGCCCCCCGCCGAACCTCCCCCCTCCGGCCCTTGCCCCCCCGCCGCCGCCGCCGCCGTCACGGCCGCGCGGGACCTCGCTGTCGGCGTCGCTTTCCGACGCCGTCGTATCCCTTTCGAAGCGGCGGTTGCGGTTGCGGCGCTGTCCAGGGGAAGTGCAGCTGTTCGTTGATGAGGGTCCCGGGCCGGATGACGGCGGCGGACTCCACAACCTGATCAGCTCCACAGCCACAGAGCGGTATAGCACTCGTGACAGGGCGCGCATAAAGCTGAGGGGGAGGTGAAAGGCGGGAGGTCGGCGGACGGCGGCAGCGCGGCAGAGGATGGCCAGGGAATGTCGACGGGGTGGCTGCGACATGAGCAGACAGTACCATGGCTGCCCACATCATAGCTGCTATTTATGGGGGCAGCAACAACCGCCGCAACCGCCCAACCAGCGTCCGCCCGTGGCAATCCAGCCATGAAGCCAACTGAAAACTGACCTACCAAACCACCAACGGCCACTGACCTGTATACCATTTGGTACTGCCGTATTCCGTACAGCGGCGGGGTCCAGGGTGTCGTTAAGCGAATATCGGGGCGGTAAATGTCCCAACGGAGGGGACGTGACAGCATCTGGAAAGGGCGGGAAAAGGGCGGGAAAAGGGCGGGAAAAGGGCGGGGAAAGGGCGGGAAAAGGGCGGGAAAAGGGCGGGAAAAGGGCGGGAAAAGGGCGGGGAAAGGGCGGGAAAAGGGCGGGAAAAGGGCGGGAAAAGGGCGGGGAAAAGGGCGGGAAAAGGGCGGGAAAACAGGGAAAGGTGGGGTACAGCTGGAGAGAACAATCCACACGGCTGCATGGTCATGCATGCAGCACCTTTTAGCGGGGAAGGGACGACATGAGTGAAAAAGGGGAGAAGAAGACCTCAAAACGGATGCGTATACAGGACTTGGGTTGCCTGAGAGTACGATATGCGGCGTGAAAGATGTGCGGTATAGACAAACAAGAACGCCCCCGGGGCCTACAACCCCTTTTTTGACCCATCACGGAGCCGCGACGTGGAGCTGAAACCCGCACATGCTGTCACCCTGCTTACCTCCGGAAGGTCTTCTCGCAGTACACGTACGGCAGTGCCGTAATTCAGCACGTAGTTGTCTTTGCCTATGCCGCCGCCGCTATCTCCATCGCCGTCCCCGCCGTCATTGCCGTTGCCGTCGCCACGGCTGGCGGCGGCCAGTGGAGGACTTCCCCTATTTGCTGTGCCCGTTTCCATATCCGTCGCAACGGGCGGCTTCACACGCTCTTCTTGGCCGCGATCTGAATCTGATTCCGGCTTGGGAGGCTGCTGTGTCTGCGACTGTGCTTGCAGTAGCAGCGAGTTCTCCTGCTGCCGCTGCTGCTGCTGCTGCCGCTGCTGCTCCAGACCTTTAGGAGGTTCCCCATCGTCCTTGATAGACGCTGCGGCTTGCCTCTTTTCCTCCTGCGCTAACCCGGCCTTACTAACTTTCCGCTCAAGCGGCCACCTAAAAGGCTCCAGGGTAAAGCCAAGCGCGGTCTCGTCCGCATTTGCAATAGCCGCTGGCGCTGGCCCCACCGACGCCGCAGCTGCTGCTTCTGCTGGTGATGATGATGATGATGATGATGATGAATTTACAGGCCTTATTCTTGTTGTTCCTCTCGATTGTACGGAAGTGAGGGCGCGAGCTTGGGCGTTAGGAAGGTGCACTTGCTGTTCCGAGGCGCCACGAAAGTGTTCTTCGGCTGGCGACTGGCAAGCTGCGGAGGCAGCAGCTCGGGCAGAAGCCGCGAGAGGACGCTTCGCAGTTGAGAAGGCGAGGAGCTCTGTTCGTAGGCTGGGATCCGGCATGCGGCTTAAGCTGCTCCCTGATTTGCATGGTGGTCGGAAAGGTTGACCCAGCTGGGCTTTGGAGGAATGAAGGCGCATAGCTGGACTCTATGCGACGACGGGGATTTATTCTTAAGACAGTGAAATTAACTGTTGGAAATCCTTGCACATGTGTGTAACCCCGGACGCACCTTAGATTTTTATGTACTCGTTTCGAAAACCAACTCGTCTTGAATTACGCTGCTTTCGTCGTTTCAACAGAGATGTCCAACAAAAGGCAAAATGACGTCAAAACGCAACCCAAGGCCGCTCTGACGCCGTTTCTGCTCTTCCTTTCTGCCTATGTAATGGAGATGTGGTTCCATTGCTCTTGAACGTTTCAGCAACATCTTGAGCAGCAATCGTTGTGCAATGTGTGACCCATGGGTCATATTGCCAGCCCCTGACAGCGACCTCACGCCTCGACAGGCCTCAACTCTGTCATTGACTCTGGTGGCGGATGTTAGACCTAGCGAGAGTGTTGTGTACGAGTTTTCAGTACGGTAGGCAGAATGTGGATAGGTCAGTATAGGTCACCTTATCCGGGTCGTAGGATGGACAGCGCGTTTACATGCCCTTCTGTTCACCCATTTCCACATCTTCCACCCACCCCATTAGGGAGCCATGAGGAGGAAGAGGAAGAGGAACAGCAAATGCTGGATACTTTACAGTGTTGTACGGCACCACCATACGATCCTTAAGACTCTATGACTAAGAAAAAGAAGAACCAACAGGGTTAAAAGGTATTCCTTCAACCACTGCGCTATGACTGCAAGGAGCCCCGAAATAAGGTTAGGCAGCGGGGTTACAGCTACACCGCTCATCATCCAGTACGTGTCCGAGGAGCATCGAATCCGCGGCTGGTACGGATCCACGAGGATGGATCTATACTATATTTGTGCTAATTAAAAGCACGCCCATAAAGCCATGAACCCCTGTTGGAAATCAATTTGGTGGTGCTGCCCGAGGCTGCGCAAGGGTGGGTTAATATGGATCTGATGGTAAATATACTTAAATTACATAAACTTGCAAAAATATTTGGTCTGGTGACACCACTGCAGTTAGCAGATGAAGATCCTGGGTTTGGTTCCTAGACAGATCCCCGACATGGATCGGGAGTACTAGGTTTACGGATTGCTACTGAGGTGTGGAGATAGAGGTCTAGTTGATGGATTGAGCTTCGCATGCTGGATTGGTGGATGATGTCTGGGCCGTCTCTACGGATGTCGGGTGACTGGATGAGGAGGGATCTAGGCTGCAAACCTCAGTGCTTTTCTACCCAGGACAGCGGCTGCAGAAGCGAGAGCGGCAATAATGATCCAAACATACTGAATCTGACATCACCCAGTTTCGATCTGGGGGCCTCCTGTGTGTAAGACAGGTGTGATTCCACTACACCATGATGCCCTGATTCTATCGTGGTATGATTACGACCAAAACAGTATACTATTGCGATTACCAAACAGGAGGCGTCTGTGTGACAGTTATTTTTTTACAAAGTCGCCATCGTCAGATAGCTGAACAGATAATTGTGGGGCTCCTAAAGCGAACATCCTTCGTAAGGGGGGGAGCACGAGTTTCTGGCCATACGGTCAATACAGCATGGAACTCAAATGGAATGCAACTCCAAATATGCATACACACATATGGGAAATGCAGTGCATCGCGAATGGAGCCCTGGCATGCAAAACATGCAAAATTGCGAGCCTGCAACCGCCTCTCCTGCAGAATATGGGGAAATGGATGACGCAGGCGCGATAAGCCCTGGCCGGCTTCCTTCCCTCTCCTCGTCCGTCCTCCTAGTCGCGTCGTCACCGTCGGCTTGAGACACAAACACACACGCGCGCGCAATCTCATGAACGAAAAGTGTGCACGTGTAAAACTTAGCACGCATGTAAACTTAGCACCATAAACAATATACATCAAGCTTAATACGACAATAGTTCTACGGTCTTTTACTCACCGTAAAAAAGCCGACACATATTTAGATCTTGCATCTTTGGTTACTTCTCTTGTACACACCCACGGAGATGGGCCGATCGGACCTCACCCTGCACACGCTCACATACATGTTTGTGTATGTATTACATACACCTTAAGTTGTACGTTCTCTCCAAAATTATATACAGACATATAAATATCCCTGAAGCCCGGGTCGAAACATTACAGCCATGGTTTATAGCTCGCTGCTCCCCAACTAGCTGCCACTGCTTTCCCCAACGAAACTCACCCATCGCTATCACAACCCGAAACCCCCAACCCCCAACCCCCAACCGCCACTCCGTCCCCACCCAGCACCCCATCCCACATCTGCACCCCAAGCCTATCATATTTACGCCATCATATTGTTGATGATGGTATCAATCCTTCCGCTGGTTAGCCGTTTATGTGGTAGCGACTTTCTTTAAGCCCAAGAATTGGTAATGGGAAGCGTTGGCTGCTGCTCCACACCGCGCCTCGTCCCACTAGAAGACGCCGTCACATCATATTGTTTTGTCGTCCATGGCGGTTGCCTGGACGTGATGGTGAGATGTTGTTGACGGTGACGGTGACGGTGATGGTGATGGTGATGGTGATGATGGTCGGCGTGGTGGTTGGGGTGGTGATGATTGAGGCTCCGGAGTCCTCTCCCCGGCCGCTTGGTCTCCTCCTGGATTTCCGCTCCGCTCCGACCGCTCACCAGTTGAGGTTGCAGTCAGATCGCACCATCTTCACACGTCGAACCAAATCCGAGGTATCCGCCTCGTCCAGGATGCCGCTCACCTGGAATACAAGTACATGTATGCAATGTACTTATTAATGTATACTTAAGTATATATAATCACCAAGTATTCATGTGTACATGTACTTGCGAGTATGTGGTGGAACACTTCTACACCCCTTCACATGAAAAGCCCATTTCCCCCTTTTTCCGCGCCCCCTTTTCCCCTTTTTCCTTTTCCCTATTTCCCCCTTTTTCCGCGCCCCCTTTTCCCCTTTTTCCTTTTCCCTATTTCCCCCTTTTTCCGCGCCCCCTTTTCCCCTTTTTCCTTTTCCCTATTTCCCCCTTTTTCCGCGCCCCCTTGCCGGCCATCCGGGGCCTCCTCACCAGCAGCGACCGCACCGGCACGGCCCCCACCAGCTCCGCAATGGCTGCCGGAGTGAGGCGATGGCACATGCGGATACCCAGTCGGTCCAGGTGGGGGGTGTACTGGGCCAGGGCGGTCAGCAGCGTGTCGGTCACCAGGTACAGCGCCTCTATGTCGAGATCCTGAGGCGGGTGGGAGCCAGAGGAGGGGGGGGAGCGGCGGGGAATGAGAGGGGGAGAGAAGGGGAGGGAAGAGGATAAGAGACCCCAGCCAGGGGGGCCCCCCATGAAGCCCACCTCCAGCTCCGGGTTCCTGGCCAGCAGGGGCCTCAGCCCCTCCTCCGTCAGTCGTGTGCACCAGGCCAGACACAGGGTGTGGAGGGTGGTGCAGCTGGAGGCCTGGGAGGAAGGGGGCGGCGGGGGAACAAGGGGATAATCATGTGCAAGGAGACCAGAGATGAACTGCCGGTACGCCATGTGTGGAAAAGGGGGGAAGAGGAAAGGGGGAGGAGCGAAGCAGGGGCCGGAGGAGGAGGGGAGTTGAGCAGGGGGGTGGGGATGAGCGGGCAGGACCTGGGGACATTATCGCAAGGGGCAATGGGGGAAAAGACGTTGTTAGGACAAGGAGCATTACATGGCAGTGATGTAACTGTGCTGGTAGTGTTTCACTGACGGCCTTGTTCCAATGGTGACAGTCATAACACGTCATAATCAAGGCATCATGGTGTAGTGGAATCACACCTGTCTTACACACAGGAGGCCCCCAGATCGAAACTGGGTGATGTCAATACAAAAATTTTACCAATACAACGTCCATGGGCCCCCGGCTTTTACGGACACACCCGCACTTGTGTGCGGAACTTGTAACTTGTAACTTCATGGCGGAGGAAAAGGCAGTTACTCATGCAGTCGCATCGCAAGGCATTCACCATGGTCTTGTGAACTTTGTACTGTACGGACCTGCCGTACAACTGCGTTGTTACCCTCCCACCCACCCCCTCTCCCGCCCTTGAAAACCGCATCCACTAAGCCCCCACACCCGCGCCGCTCACCAAGTCCCTAAGGTGGCCATCGTTGAGGGCGAGGCCCCGCACATTGAGGGTCTGCAGCCCCGGACACAGCCGCCCCACCGCCCCCAGCGCCTCTCCGTCCACCCCCACACAGCCGTTGAGCTGCAGACTGGTCAGTGTGCGGCCGCAGCCGGACAGCATGGCCAACAGGTTCGGGCCCGTGACCTGCAGGGACAGGGGCAGGGGGCAGAGGAGGTACGGTCTGGGTAAGGGTGAAGTTTCCGTGGGATGCCCATGCCCATGCCAATGACCGAGGCGAGGGGCACCGAGATTCAGGGGCACCGGACGGGGAGTGAGTGTCGGATAACGCACGCAGCACGCAAACCCACATTTGCACACCCGCTGAGGTCCACCGCCCTCAGTGCCGTACAACTCCCCAGTCGCGACACCACCGCCACCCGAGGGCATTGCCGTAAGCACAGATCCTCTAAGCCGCTGCCGTACTCTCCCAGCGCCGCCAATGCCGTATCCGTGACGCCGTATGATTTGGCTATGGACAGTCGCCGCAGCCGGGGGCAGGACCGCACCAGAGCGGCGAGCGCTTCCGACCCGACCTGAGGTGAGGAGAGGTCCAGGGGGGTTGACCTATTGAGAGAGTAGACACACGCAAACACACACAAAAAAACGCTACCTTTGGACAGTTGCCACCTTTGCACATCGAAAACCCCCAGACACGAAAATCAACGCTAAAATATTCCGCAAGCCTAAGGGATTGGAAGGAGGGAAGGTTTGTACTTTGACAACAATTTTTGATTGAAAACAACATTTGTTGTAAAATTTGAATTTAGGAAGAGAAGACACCAAATTACGGATCAGGAACAAACAAAGGTATGTGGAAAAGGAACTTTACCATCGACCCGACGACTCTCGAAAGCTGACTCGACGGTTCTGTAGCTTATCAGCTTTCAGAAAACCGTGCATAAGTACCTAGACTGCAGGATTGCCTAATCAAGCAAGTAATCACCCTTTGTTATTCCAAAATGGCTCCCCAATACACGAGGGCGAGGGAGGTCTATATCCCATTTCTTCCCCCCCTGGAGCCATACCCGGAAGCATCCGTCCAGTGTAATGTCTTCCAGGTGTCTGCAGCCCAGTGCCAGCGCCACCACCCCTCCGTCCGTCAGGGCCGCCCAGTCGCGGCAGCACATCACCCGCAGGCCGGGGAGCAGGGAGCCGATGGCGATTGCGGAGGCGTCCGTCAGCTTGCCGCAGCGAGGCAGGGCTAGCACCTCCAGGTCTGGGTGGACGAGAGTCGAGGCAGGGTGGAGCGGAGGGGCGGAGGGTTTGAACAGGGACAAGACAACAGATGGGAAGCAGGTGACCTGTCGTCCTCCTTGAACCATGCCGCCACGCCGAACACAAGGGACACGCCAAGCTCGTGACTCAAGCCATCCATTCCACAGATTCATAATACCACCGAATAGTAGTACAGGTTTCCTAGATGGGAATAAAAACGAACGAAAACTGCAGGTCGTTGACAATATTGTCCATAGCAAAAAGACCGAAACGCGGTATTACCGTAACGCGGTACAAAAAACGAAAACCTAGGACTCACTCGGGCATGCGGCAAGCAATACTGAGATGTGCTTGTCTTGAAGCTGATTCACCGAGTCCAAATGAAGGCTCTTGAGCTGGGCCAAAAGGGCCTGCCCAGCTGGTAGTTGACAAGCCGTGAGCAACGGGTCCAAGCATGAGTGTCCGGAAGCAGCAATGCTGCGTAGACCTTTCAGATTCCTTCGAAGCGCCCAAGCAAGACAGCCGCTAGCTTGCTGTCCATAGAGGTCGTTAACGTCCAAGCTGCATACATCTTGCAGCGCATCCCTCTGGACAAGATCGTTGAAATGTTTGCTGACTGTAGACAATATGAGACGACTACGTAGTGGCAGCAGCTTCATGATACGGGCATGGCATGGCCAAGGTAAAGGGGTAAGGACATCCATACTAACAAGGTCAGCCGCTGTCGTGGAAGTTTATAAAGGATATTCGAGTCAAACTTGAGCAGAATTGTTGAGAACGTTGCCGCACAGTCAATACGAAAGTATGATTCGAGTATTGTGTATGAGAGTAGGTTTCCGTTGAAGAGATGATAAGAAAATACGCCGTATTGACTGGCCTAGCTGTGGATAGCTATAGCTGGGAAGGAGTCACGACACGGTTACACATTACGCTCTTACATCAACGTAACACAAGGCCCCAAGCCATTAACCGTCGTGGTTTCGTCACGCATCGCAGTTCTTCGATGGTCGATCTGTTCTGGTTGTCGTGCTAAACACAGTCTAGCCTTCTTAAATGTAAGCTGGCCAACCTGCACATCCTGAAGTTGTGGGGCTCTGAGGGGCTCTACATTAGCGGTACAATCCCATTGATGCAAAGTACCAGACCCAGATCAGAAGCAGAGGAAAAGCCATCTGGAAGATATATCGGGCCATTTTACTAAGCATCTTATTTTAGCGCTATTTGAAACCATCTGAGCCGTCGCATCATTTGAGCGGTCCCATAGGGCAGGCCTACCTCATCGGGTGGAACTCATGCAATATAGTTTTGACCTTAGCATGGTGCTTTTTTCGATCACCATAACATAGCGGCAATACTGCGCCAGCTTACCTGCCTGATAACGGCTAACGTCACGCCGATAACAATTTTTCATTGGTACTGTGAGCTGTGGGTTCAGTAAGCTTGGATACTTGAGCTGTAGATGCACTTCATCAGCGCATCTCAGCTTTTAACTGCGATAACTGCAAAGCAATATTCTCCCAGCGTGTGGAATCGATAAGGCAGAGCCATGCATAACAGAAGACGCGATGCAGTCCGTCTCTCCGCTTTTAGATAACAACCTGCCCAACCCAACCTGCCCACCTAAAACCCCATTCGTCGCTTCAGGGCTACGCAGCCGCGAAAGGGCGGGTTGCTGAGTCTCACTCACGTCCCGACGGCCAGTACACGGGTCAAATCGTACACGGGTCAATGCAGCGCTGCCCGGCTGGGTAGACGTGTCGGGCTGGAGTGAGCACATCAGCGGGACTCAGCACTGCTGGCAGCTCCCAGGTCTGTTTAAAGTGCTCAGGCTAGGGAAAGGGCTGGAGATGGGAAGGGTGTGTGGCAAGATGGGGGAAGGGTGGGGGACGGTGGGGATGAGGTAGCGTGGAATGGCGGAACGTATACGCGGGCCAGCAGGAAGTACGGGGGCTGTCTAGATAGGGCTGGGGAGAGCGCACGCTTCGGCGCACAGTCGTTGGGTTGTTGGGGTTAGGACGGGCAGCGCACTGAGCTCTCCGTCTACACCTGACCCCCTGGGACTTTCTTTGCCTGCCGTATTGGCAACATAGCCCCTTCCCTCCCCCCCTTTAGACACACACACACACACATAGACACACACATACACACACATACACACACATACACACACATACACACCGTCCCTCTCTAGCGCGGGTTGATTGTAAGAGTATGCTCGTTCTTTGTCCGTTCCCGTTTCCTATCCGTTATCTGTCCGTTGCTTGTCCGTTACTTATCGGTTACCTTTCCGTTGCTTAGCATTACCTATCCGGTGTTTAGGCCGTGTGGGTCACTACCCGACGACGTGGCGGAGCTGGTCGCCTTCCCGGCGGACCAGCGGCTGTCGGGCTATATCACCGGACAGGACCTTCTGTGCGAGGGAGGGGTGTCCAAGAAGATGTGCTACTATCCCGAGGAATGAGGGCCTACGGGGTGGCGGGTGCTAAGATAATACTGCTTAGAGCGACAAGCGGACCCGAGCATGTCCTGTGATAGGGCGGGGGAATGGAGGCTGGAGGGACATGGGGATGTGTGGATGTGTAGATGGGCGGGATGAATGACGCAGGCCCGGGCCATGGGCCATGGGCGGAAGCTCCGGAACCACGGGACGGTGAGGAGGACCCTGTTTTGAGGCTGTGGAGGGGGCCTTTACTTGCAGCAGCTTTGTCGCAGCAGTAGCAGCGCCGCCTTCGAAGACTGCGGGACCCGCTGTAACCACGTGAGGATGAAGGGTTACGTAGATGGGTAACGTAGATGCGAAGATACTCATAACGATGATGTAATCCAGGAAAGAAGAACGTGTCCAGGGATGATGTTTGACCAGTCTGTGATTGCTTAACTTCTGGCGTTTTACGACGTGAAGATGTCCTGAAGAATCAGTTAAAATAAGGAAGTAGCCTTTAAGTAGCCTAATCTGTCAAGGATGTCTGTTGCTGGAGGCACACGTCGCCTGGGTGTGCGTGTGGGGATGGGGGTGGAGCGCGCGTATTGGTAAGTGGATATTTTAGGGTGGCGGAAGGCTGGCTTGGAAATCGGGACAGGGAAGCGGGAGGGGCCACAGCAAATACCGCTGGCGGATATTATTTTCATAACTATAAGTGGAATGAGGAGCGGCTTGGGTAGATCGGGGGCTCATGGCATGAGGCAAAGGGCATGGCGAAGGTCTTCGTGTCACGCTCCCTTGGATGGGAGCAGTTGCGGTTGCGCATGGTTGAATTTCAACGGTTGGTATGGACGTTTGTGGTTTTATTACCACATCAAATTGTTCCAGATCATCGCCTTATGCATGGTGTAGGGACAAGCTTGAAATTTTTTGCTTGTCTTGTACGGCAGAAGCACCCGGACAGAAACCTTCTTGCACGAGTCAACTGCATCCAACAACGCATTGTTTATGCATTTTAGCACTTGATCAATGTTTTTTCTGCTTTAGCCTAGTTCATCACTACTTTGTTTGAAGCTGCAGCAAGATCACAAGGTTACCTCTTCAAAGAAGACGCTGCCAGCCGGGCCCGCTAGGGCGCGGTAGAAGGCATATCCACTGTTACAGATATAAGATCAAGGCTAGGTCAAAATGAGCGCCCCCGCACCCAGCCCACTTGCCAAATACAAACTGGTGCGAACGCTAAGCCGATGGCTGGAACAACAGCTACTGGAGTGCTGCTTCGGGAATTCATAAGCAAATCGGTGCTTGGTGCAGGTGTTTCTGGGGGACCAGTCGGTCGGGAAGACCTCAATCATTACACGGTTTATGTATGACAAGTTCGACAATACCTATCAGGTAGGGCGCCTGTGAGCACCTTTTTATGCCAGCTAGGAGCTCAGGGCTTCGTGGCGCGACCTGCAGGCGACTATTGGGATAGACTTCCTCTCCAAGACTATGTATTTGGAGGACCGGACCGTGCGGCTCCAACTCTGGTATGTTGTAACGCAGGATTTCATGTAAGCCTTCGGTTGCTATAAGACATGATAAAACCTCCTGTTTGACAGGGATACCGCTGGGCAGGAGCGCTTTCGCAGCTTGATTCCCAGCTACATACGCGACTCTTCGGTCGCTGTGGTTGTGTATGACATTACAAGTGCGTGATGGGCCCTGGAGCTCCCCCTAGTGTTGAACGCAACTTAAGGCATGCTCGTGCCCGTTGCAGACCGCCAATCCTTCTTGAACACGGCACGTTGGATTCAGGAGGTGCGCACCGAACGTGGTAACGATGTCATCATCTTCCTCGTGGGCAATAAGACAGACCTTATTGATAAGAGGTGCGGCAGGCACTGGTGATTGGGAGACACACGACTTTGCTAGGTCAGGGATGTGTGTGTGTGTTTTGGGTACGGGACTAGAGGCCTACAGCTTATGGAATATGGTTGTTGTCAACGGGCCGGGATGATGATGGCCGAAGGCTCTGAGAACATTATTAGAAAATGAATTGTTTACAAATGGGCCGCTGCGTTACAGGCAAGTCTCCATTGAGGAGGGCGACGCCAAGGCGCGCGAGCTAAACGTTAACTTCATCGAGACAAGTGCCAAAGCTGGCCTTAACATTAAGGTGTGCTGGCTCGGCACCCTGCCTATGCCCCTATCAGCGTTCGGGATTTCAGGCGACCGGTATCTGTATGGTATGACGACGTGCAACCGCACCGCTTTGTGGACAAGCTCTTACAGGCGAATGTCAATGAATATTTTAACGACGGGGAGCCAGCATGGCTGTTGTGCTCCGTACGGCTCCTCCACTGGGTTTCTCCACTGATAGAGCCCTGCTTGTTCGCTGCTGGTGCTTGCTGCACAGGCTTTATTCCGGAAGATTGCGGCGGCACTGCCCGGCATGGAATCCGTGACGCAGAACAAGCAGGAGCAAATGGAGGAGGTCAAACTGACCACGTCCACGGTCACGCTCGACGCTAAGCCTCCGCCACCAGCGTCAACATGCTCTTGCTGAGCCCTGCACACCTGTAAATGCTCAGACCAGCGCAGCAGCATGGCTTTCAACCGCAACAGCAGCGAAGCTTGGGTTGGTGCACTTTTCCTTTAAGGGGATGAAAATTGCTGGAGTGCGTTGTAAGGCAGCATTGAGGGCATGAGGCCGGCTTTGCCGTCATAGGGTCGCTAAAGTAATGTAAGGATTAGGCACAAACCGGGAGAGCCGGATCAGGTTGTAGCCAGTGCGCTGCCGAGCACCAGACAGCATTTTAAGGGGCTATGGCTCCAGGGAGGGGTTTATCCATGGTACCTTTTTACCACCGATTTGTAGCGCTGCTATGGGTTTGGGTTAACGCGTTATGGCGGTAGTAGGGTGGGCTGTGCTAGCGGTGACTCGCTCTGGCTTACATGGGTGTTGGCCTGACAACAAGCGCCGTCCATAAGTGTGCGGGGCAAGATTGGCAGCACGGGATGTGGGAGGCCATGCTACATGGGACGTTCGGTCATTGTATGTGGCTGATGAACCGTGCAAAGGTCTGGGCGCGGTTGTCCATATTCCCGTAAGGAAATATGTTGCATTTTCACGGTGATGGCTGACATCATCTTAAGCTCGCTAACAGCGGCGCAGTCTCCCAAATGCGAGTTGTCAACCCCGCCTTTGCGCTTTGGAGGGCCAAAAGGCTCTAGGGGCGAGGCAGCCCAGGCCTCGGTTTACATGGCTCCTTGACTATGTGCGCGCGCATCGCTTGCAGGCTGACCGGATTGCATGTGATTGGCATGGTTATCCAGGAGGCGTTGAATTAATGCCCGAGCTGGGGGATGTAGGGGTGCAGCGTGGCTACACATGTATTTTGTCGGCGGTGGGCGCTCACCTGTGCTGGTATGAGCGTGAATGGCGGTTTTGACATTGCTCTTTTGCTAGGCGTAAGAGCAGGAAAATTCTCTTGGACTGGGGTTCTTTGCTCGTCGCTGCACTGGTCGTTGTTGTGTACTAACTTGGGATGTCAACTGGGGCAAAGGGGCCTCAGGGAGGGTGGGCCTGTAACGGCTGAAGACGTGACAGTGCAAATTTGGTTTTAAGGGCTTTCTTACATTATGAAGGATTTTGTAGTGAGATTTTGAGTCCTCTGATTTCTTCTGTTCGGGTTTCACATTATCGCACTTTTAAGTAGTTTTTCTTTGGTTTGGCACCTCGACTAATCCTGGAACAGCAGGATGTCAAGTATCCGCCAGCATCAATTTGGGAAACTGTACGTGACAAACTACTTCCATGATGCAATACTACACATACACGATGCATACACGACGTAGTAAACTGGCGCGTATACGCTCGGCACCTGCACGGCACCCGTGATGCCAACACCTGCCAACAGCAACACGCTGCTTCTCAGCCTCAACTGCTGCATGTTGGGCCACCTGCCTATGCAAGGACATAGCTTTTAGTCGATGTCCGATTCATGGAGATGATGATTCCCTTCAGGAATAGCAGATTTGACGTAATCGGCTGCAAACACAAGCAGCTCAACTTCGCGCAAGCGCATATTTCACGCTACCATACATAAGACTGCCTGAAAAGAAACCAAGAATATTAACTGCACGCTGGGGTGCAAGAACGAGACCCCGTACTATGTGCTTCATGACCACCAACCTGACAATAGCGCGCCTAAAGCCATCATGAAGCAATAAAAAAAGCTGAGAAAAATGAGAACTAGCAACATCCCAACGGTTCTCAAACCTTGCTTCCGTTAGGCGAAACCCAAGTATCTCCATAGGCGCCATGCGCCCGTCCCTCATCACCAATCACGCATCTCACTGCCTCAGCCCCAATCCTGCGCCACCTTCAGGCCACCCATCCCCAACCACCTCCCTTACTGCCAAATCACCAACAATCGGCTTTCATATCCTCTACAATGCTTTACTCTTCACCAGTACGAAGTCCGCTTGGGCCATGTGATGCCGTGCAATTTGGCCAGCTCCGCGAAGCTGTGTTCTCCGTGCAGCGCCAATTCTTGCAGCTGAGCCATCCAGCTCAGCTGCTCCTCCGAGGGCGGTTTTGTGCGCGTGCGGTCCACGGTCCAGCTCAGGCTGCGCAGGCGAGTGAGGCACGTGATGTCCGCCGGCAGCGAGCGCAGCTGGCGGTTGCCGCTGGTGGTCGATGTGCAGGCGGTGACATGTGCATTGGGGAGGGAACAAGAGGTTAGGAGCCCAATTTCAAACAAGGGGATCAATGTTCGCCGCCAAGTAGGTTTCGAGGATTGGAATTCAATGAAGAGTTCGGGCAGCGGACGGCGCAGGGCCACGGAGCCGGCGAGATCAGGAAACCGGCAAAGGCTGCCAGATAAGGATAGTTGTTGTAGAGATAATCAGTGCCGGCCCTGCAGGACAGGGTTCATGGTCAAGTATGATCCTACGGTAAAGAGGACGGGAAGGGAGCTGGTGGAGTGGGAAGCAGCGGCTGGACGGGACATGCCAAGTAATATAAATTATAATAACATACAATACTGGATATTTAACGAATATCGTACCAACAACAAAATAATAATACAATAACAATAGATACTTAAATACATAGATAGACAGACAGATAGATAGATACAATAAAGGCCCTAAGGGGGCAGGGGTCCCGCGTAGGAGGCGGTTCCACTGGTCGGCTCATGCATGTTGTGCCCCTCTCGTACCTCAGTCCCAGATCTGTCAGTCGCGACAGCGCTCCGAAACCCGCCGGCAGTTTCTCGAGCTGGTTGCTGGTCAGCTGCAGGTCTGTATGGGACCCAGCAGTGAAAGGGACACAACCCGAAGCCAGGATAAAGGAAGGACCCGGGACCCGGGCTGACAGGGAATCTGGCAAAAACAAGGTAAGGCAGCCCCTGCGTATAGAGACTGAACTCCACAAATACGACCAGTTTCGATCCATGCCACAAATCTGTTATTAGGAAACTAGATTTCCCTCCTGACGTAATGAAGATACTGGAGCAGCCCTTTGAGTGAGTTACGAAATCATCGCCACCGGGCCGCTTGGAAGCACCCTCATGCCCTGCTTACATCACCACCCCGCCATGCGAGCCTGCTCCCCGCCTCCGTCAATACGCCATCACTCCCCATTTGCCCAGCCACCACCGCATCTATCTTAAAGCATGGAACCAACGCCCTACCCGCCAGCCGCGCCAGCTTGGTGATGGCTGCCGGCAGCGCCTTCATTTGGCAGCTCGCCAAGTCCAGGGAAGACAGGCCAGTCAGCTGGTTGCACAGCTCCGACAGGACGGGGCCTGGCAGCGACACGGCATGCATCTGCAGCGCCTGCACATCGGCACCATAAAGGAAAGAGGACGACGGGGGGAACGCGATGTAAGGGAAGTAGTTGCAAATCAGGACCTCTACGCGCAACACCTGAAGGCAACTGCGAAATCTCGGGAAAAAGAAACGTGAAGGCAATCTGAGCACGGGCCGGGGGAGAAGGCGGCCAAATTCCTGTCGAGGGAGGCACGGGCCAGGGCCAGCATACAGTGATGGGCGGTCTTCCCAACGAAATGCCTTTGCCCTCCCGCGTCCATTCACTGTCCGTCCATCCCCACCACGGTCGGAGGAAATGTTCTTTCGGCAATCGCGGCGACAAGGCCGGGCCGGCTTAACTCACAAGGCCACCGCTTAACTCACACCGCTAGTCGCCCTTCGGCTGCTCAAGCGCGATCTCTCACCTCCAGGCCAGTGAGCGCCCCGATGCCCCGGGTGACTCGGGGCGGCTCCTCCGGGCCGGACAGACTCAGCTGCCGCAACCTCGTGAGTCGGTAGAGGGCGGTCCAGGGAAGGGCGTGCTCGGGTGCGTCAGGGTCAAGAGCGTCCATCAGGTTCAGCACCTGTCGCAGCAGCGGCAGTAGGGCAGTAGCAAAGGGGCAGCAGCAGTAGCAGCGGCGCCAGCAGTAAGAAGTACTGGCAGAGTGCGAGAATGTGAGGAGGATGCGAGATACACAAGTGCCATGGGGCGGCAGGAACGCTACGGCCAAGGGCTGGATCCTCAAGGCTTCGCATGGCCGCGTTTGAGCAGGCGTCTCACTCGCCACTGGAGCGCGGATCGGACAGTTAGGAAGACGTATCCGGGCAGACAGACAGACAGACAGACAAACAGGGCAAGAACAGAGTGGGAGCAGAGAGTAAGACTGCTCGTGGCCGAGCCCTTAACTAATTCTCCCACTCGCTAATACCCGCCTTCCTTCGGCCCTAGTGGAGGTTTCTATCCGCCCATCTATCTGTTGCCCCCTCCGGCTTTCCTAAACAAAGAAACCAAACCTGCAAGTTGGACAGCTTGCTGATGTCCGACGACACATACGGCAGGAAGTTCTGTTCCAGGTCCAGCTCCCGTAGGAATCCCAGGTCATACAGGCCCGCAGGCAATGGCGCGGAGAGGTCCAGATAGCCCAGTCGCAGCACTGCCAGGCCGCGCAGGCCGGTGATGGCGTTCGGAAAGCCCTGCGCGCCGTACGATACCCCACTTAAGAAGCATGAGAAACGTAGAGAAGGTTCCCCGCACGTACATGAGACTAACAGAATGAGGGGCAGCAGAGAAGAGCGAGCAGCTCCCCCCGTCCTCCCGCGGCCTAAACCCGACTGGCCCGACGGTTATCCACCCACCCACCCACCCACCCAGCTACGCACCGACGTATCGAAGTTCTCCATCAGGGAAAGGTGGCTGAGCGCCGTCAGACCGGAGAAGCAGGCGGGCAGCCCGTCCAGCCCGCAGCCATCCAACATCAGCTCGCGCAACCGACCCGCGGGAGCCAGCGCCGAAACCAGCGCATGCAGGGGACCCTGCGCACCGGGATCATCGTCAGCGCCGTCAGCGCCTCCGCCATGAGCACCTAGATGTCCAACTGCAGCTCCTTCTTCTCCTTCTCCTTCTCCTCCGCCTCCTCCTCCGCCGGCTAATGTTATAAAGGACAGATCAACGTCACACAGGCCTGCAGAGGTGAACATGTAAGACGTCAACATAACTCGTGTGGTGATGGTGGGGATGTTGGGGTGGGGTGAGGGGAAAGGACAAGTTCCACAATACTCTACATCACGTCAACCCACCGAGGAGCCTTCGCCCTCGCCCAACGTCCGGATGCTCTCCCTCCTCGCCGCGACAAGAGAGCCGAGACCTGCGCGCCGGAAAAACCACCCAGCCTAGCCCCAGTCTCAGCCACTACAGTCCATTCCACCAGAGTCTTAACCGCCCACTACCAGTCCCACTACTGCTACCACTACCACCCACCCACTACCGCGGCCATTACCACCCACCCACCCACCCAGCGCATGGAGGTTGGTCAGGGAGGTCAGCAGCGGCCAGCACAGCACCATATCCAGTCCGTGAAGGCCTCCGAGGTGGAGGTGAGTCAGCCTGGAAAGCGGGGGACCCGAGGGTGGAAGAAAGAGGACGTGTTTTCACGGCGGATGCGAAAGGTAGGGAGGAAGGAAGGCTCGTTGGAAGGCGGTGTGTGTGTGGGGTGTGTGGGGGGGGAGAAACGGGGCAATGGGAGAGATGCAGAGGCAATGATAATGGGAGAAAGGACCCTTGCCCAGTAAGTTCCCCTCCCTTTCTTCCTCTTTTATCCCACCAGACCGCCCTTCGTCGTTCCCTCTCACGCAGTCAACTGGCCAAAGTCCGCAGGCAGGCGGCGCAGGTAGTTCTCCGACAAGTCCAAATCTGCCAGCCGGGTGAGCGCCGCCATTCCTTCGGGCAGTGCGACCAACGTGTTGTGCTGCACGTCCAAGTACTGGGATGGGATGAAGGGATGAAGGGATGAGGGCAGGGAGTCATTAAACAGAGGGAAGGAGGACGAAAACATATGTGTGAAGGGGGAGGGAGGGAAGGGGAGGGAACGCAATGACTCAGCAACGGAACGAGAAGGGGTTGTAGCATTTGAGAAAGCAAGGGGGTGGCGCATCCAAGAGACCATCATCGCAACCACGCGCAAGGGAAGGGTGACACGCCGTGTGCGGCCGTGCTTGGCCCTGTGCGGCTGTTGGGATCTGGATACCTGACCGAGGTGCAGAGCGTAGCGTACAGGTACAAACAACAGCGTGTGGGAGTGGGGGTAAGGGAGAGGGAGTAAGGAAGAGGGAGCAACGAGTCCATTTCCTGTCCGCGCGGCCCTCTCACAACCCCCACATTGCGTCTTTGGTTTCCTTTTCCATCGTCAATCGTCCATGCTTCGTCATTACCCCACATTCCGCTCCGATCCTGGAACACATATACCTCCATTTCCCCGACCGCTCCGCCCCGCCCTCACCTCAACTCACCTCCAGGCGCTGCAGCAACGTCAGTGTGGTCGGCAGCTCCCTGAGCCAGTTGGAGGACAGGTCCAGCATCCGCAGGCTCGTAAGGCCCGCCAGAACCTCGTCGGGCACGGCCCGTATGCAGCACCCCTGGAGCGACAAGTCCTGCAGGGCAGTAACACCCCAATAGCGTAGACCGCGTGAACGTGGGATACCGGGATAGGCTGTAGATGCCGCAAGCTACACTACCGTAAACTGGCTGTAAATATTATACAGGCTGGAGATTACGGAGGAGATAAACGGCTTGTCTGTCGTGCAACGCTCGTACTCAACTCCCCTGGCCCGACGGAGGTTACACGGGGGGGCTACATCACTCGCTGTGGGCCGGATACCCCCGTAATTCTGGATCTACGTGGAGTCCGCGGTTCCCCCTATTTTCTTACACACACCCCTTTCCCCCCAAAACACACGCACACCACACACACACACACACGCACGCACGCCCACACACGCCGCACGCTTCACGCAGCCGAAATATTCCCACTGGTGCGGCTCCCAAAGAGGCGACGTGGCAGCCGCACCTGTAACTTGGCTCCCAAGTTCAGCACCAGCTCCCTGGCAAAGTTACTCTGCCCAGATCGGGCCCGCTCCGGCGCCCCGATGAAGGTGGGCAGCTTGCACTGGAACAGCCGCAAGCTGGTCAGCGCCGTAAGGCCCATAATCGCAGAGCCCAGTCGCGCTGCCGACGCGTCCACGCCAGACAGCCGCAGCCGCCGCAGTCCCGGCAAGCTGGACAGGGTGCGGTCGAGAGCAGAGCGGCGGGTGCCCCCAGCAGCGGCGCCGCCGCGGCGGCCGCCGCCAGCAGCGGCGGCTGAGACGACGCTGCCGACGGTGGGATGCGGACCGTGCGTCGGGCCCAAGTAGCCAGCCGAGTCGCGACCCGGATGCGTGCCGTACTGCTGGTGCGGGTTCTGTGTCCAGACCACGAGCTCCTCGAGCCAGGGGCAGCTGGCGGCGAGGTCTAGGTGTACGGCAGTGTCTAAGACCTGCAGGTTTCGGAGCCAGCTCAGGCCCCCCAGCGAACGCGCCTTCAGCGCGCCACTGCTGCTGGCGGCAAAGGAGCCGACGCCGCTGCCGGTGCTGTTCCCCGCGCCACGGGCCCGAGCTGCTGCACGGGGCCTGCCGCTGGCAGCCGCGGTGCGCGGCGAGCGCCGCCGGGGGGCCCCACTTGCGGCGGCGGCGGCAGCCTCACTGCTGGGGCCGGGCCCCGCTTGGCAGGCACCGCCGGCACCCCCGCGCCGCGGCGACAGTACGGCAGGCGGGTCCTGGTTCCGAACCATGACGTCCGCACAGTTGCCGAGGGCCAGGTGGGAGACCTGCGGGAAGTGGGTGGCCCACAGGGTGAAGCTGGCGGAACCGGGGAGCTTCACCCGCCGTACACCTTCACTCAGCACCTCACACCTGCAGGAGCAGAACAGGCAAAGCCACATTTTAGATTCTGCTCTTCACTACATTCATTCCTAAGCATAACGCATGGGGGAGCATGTTACGTAGCAAACATCATATAGCAAGCCACGAAACCCCTCGTGCTTTAATCTTGTTCGTGTGTGATGTGAGGAATCGCGAGAGAGCGAGCGAGCGAAAACGAAGCAAAAATGTCATCGTCGAGATGCGTGCACCTCGGGAAAGTCTCGGGGCTTGGTTGCCCCCGGACCAAGCCGCGCGGGCGGCCGCCCAGCTACGGCCCAGGTACCTTCTCTCCCCCAACCCATCCTGAAGTCCCCCCTCATGACGTCCAGCGGTTCCTTTGTTCGCGCTTTGCTGTCCCTGCTCATGCAGGCCCTTTCAGGTGGGTCAGGTGGGTCAGCGACCTACCACAGCCGGCAGACGCAGCGCATTGCCAGTGCTGTTTCGCTCATCCTGGACGGCCGGAACGTGCCGGGTACGGCGACATAGCCAGGAGAGCTGCCGTGAGCCGCTGCCCCACTGGCTCCGCTGCCGCCGCCGCTACCCAACGGTCCTGCACTGGTCCCGGGTCCGCCGCCTGACGGGTCTTCGGATCCTCCCGCAGGCCGTTGCGGCGCTTGCTGCTGGCCAGGAATGAACTGGGCACCTGGACCGATGAAGGAACGGTCCTCGTGGCGGTAGTACGCGCAGGAATCCGGGTCGGCTGTGTGGGTAAGGCAGGTAAAGGGCAGCGGCCTAACCAGCGTGCAGGTGTAGCTGGCTATCAAGGCCACGATCTCGCGTGGCAGGTCGGCCCATCTGAGGTGTAGCGAAAGGTATGCGAGAGGGGAAAAGAAAGTGAGTTTGGTAATGTGCAAAAATAGAGCTCCGGAAGGGTTTGCCCTATGAAGGTAAGGGACGGGAAATGATCTGGTGCGGCATCGAGTGCGGGTTCGCAAGCTATGGCAGGTGCAGCGGAAATAGAAGGACCTGGCCCCTCCGGTGCATGGATGCAGATGCCAAAGCATGATGCACTGTAATGCTAGAGTTGCTCGGCTCGGTACTGTACGGGACGGGCAACTTTCCGATGACTGGCAAACGCAAAGGCGAAGAGCCATGATACAACAGGAGTGAGAGGCGTAAAAGGGTCACGCCTAGCCTTCTCCAAGCAACGAAACCTCAGCAAGCGCAAAGAACAGATGGTGCTGTTCACGGATGACCGGCCCTATTTTGGCCACAGGCCGCGTCATAGGACTGCAAAAATACGGCCCGCCTACAGGCCCCAATGCAATGCAATTTTACAGAGTTATTAACCTTCCAAAACCATACTAACAGATTTCCAAAAGACTACACCATCAACGAAATGCCCTCCTGCTAGTAAATGGCAATAAAAGGCAAATAGGGCCGGTCATCCGTGAACAGCACCAGATGTCACCAGGCGTTACCTGCTTTCTGAAGGCCTTGTATCCTTTCCGCTTGTCGTTACACGTGGCCTTTTACTTCCTCCCATTTTAAAGATATTCTGTACCTATTGATGGGTATATATCAGATCATTAGTGCAAGACGTGAAACCTATGCAAAGACTTAAATTTCAGTAAGTAACACGATACACAGAAAGCATGCGAAACATGAAGGCTGTTCGGAATTCTGCTCGCGAGGGTACGGCGGGACAAGAGCAATTAGTATCAGTTGTATCCTCTATATTGCGGCAACCCGTACTGGAGCAGTTTGTGAGAGTACAGTTTGGCGTTTGGTCTTTCTTGGACGGTTAAGCTGACACCTCATCTGAGCTTACAGCACCCATGCTAACCTCCCGGGGGATAACTTTAACGGGGAAGATCACATGCAGCCTGCGGCGACAATCCGTGGCATGTCCTCTTGCCGCTGCTGGTAAGGCGATGGCAAACATCGCGGGACGGATTTACGGCACGGGTCTCGCGCAGAAGGAGCAGCGCACAACGAAGCGCTGCCCATGAAGCTGAAAGTTTCTGCTCTACTGGCACATGCACCTATGGGAAATTACGCCTTAGCTGCAAATTGAGTGGTCCTGGTCCTGATCCACAACATCCATACATTTCGTTACCTTTACCTTTCAACTCCTCAGCCGCCCCTCCATCGACCCTGACGCCAATTCCGCGTTCCTCCCCCCTTCCACGGAACCATATCACCACCTCGCTACTCCACTTTATCCCCTTTCCCCGCCGCCTTGTTCTCCGCCCCTGCCAAAGGTTGGCCGAATTTGAGCGCACTGATAGCGCCATGGGCGACCCCGGCAGCGGTGGTGCACGTGATAGCCCGTGAGGGGCCCTGCACCGTAGCTCCCAGCCGCAGCCAATCAAGCCTCAGCCTGACACCGCAACTAACGCGCGCCTCCGCCTCTGCTGGCGCCGCGGGCGAAAGTTCTTCGGATGGTTCTCCGCAACAGCACCAACAGCAACAGCAACAGCAGGTCCGTTTTCGGCTCTGGCGCATCTCAGGCGACGGCGCGTGCATGTTTCGAGCCATCGCACAGGGAGCACAGATGGCCACCCACGGTGCGTGTCACACTCCCTCCAACTTCCCCACAAAATCCCTGCTTGAAAAAGACGCCTAACGCGGCGCCGTAGGGCCTTCAGAAACGGCTTAAATATCCTAATGTAGTAGCTGGTACACGGTACGGCACTACAAATACGCGCGAAGCGCGACCACCAGCATCTCGAGAGGCCTTTTCAGCGGCCAGCTGCTACCCCTAAGCGGTGAATGCCGTGACGTGCCTTCAAGGGCTTAGCTTTGCCCGTCTTTTCCTGCTCCCTCCCTTCCCTCTGACCCCCTGCACATCCCGTTCCATACCATACGTAGGCAAAGCGATGTCCCTTCAGTCCGAAGAGGTGGCGGCACAGAACCTGCGGCAGTCGGTGGTGCGGGAGCTGCGACGGAGAAGAGAGTGGGTGCGGGAGGGGGGAGGAAGCAGCGGACGAGGGGAAGGGCGAAAGGGATACAGACAGGGGAGGGAGAAAGGGTCTGCGCGCTATCGCAGCCATCGACAGCAAGGCTGGACATGCGGGGCCCCGGAAGGGAAGATGCATATGGCTTCGTGGGGAGCGGAGTCCTGATTCGCTGCAGTGCAATGCAGTGCCGCCTCACATTTCCCTCACTCAAACCCCATACTTCTCCGTCCACCCACCATCCCCCGCCCTAGCGCTCTTTCCCGGGCTACGTGTTTTTTTTCTTGGATTACGGTATATAGGGCCCTGGCAGCTGTGCTCTGTTCCTCCTCGGCACACGCGGTCAGGTGCCTGGAGTTGTTAGCTTCCCAATCCGGCCCCCATCCCTTCCTCACTTCATGAAAGGGCCCACTCCCGTTCGCAGGGAAATGGAGCCCTTCCTGCCGGGCATAGCAGCCGACTTTGACGAGTATTGCCGTACGATGTCGCATCCTATGGCATGGGGAGGTGTGTGTGTTGGCGGGGGGGGATGGAAGCGGGCGCGCTGGGGTGGGGTGAGCAGATGGGGGCCAGAGGCGCTGAGTGTCCTTCGTGTAAGTTAAGTTTCCGTACCGACAGGCGGGACAGGGGATACCCTACTGACCAGACCGACATACAGATGTATGGACAGACAGACGTCTGGGTAAACCCATATTTCTTGACACGATTTATACCTGCCCGGAGGCACAGGAGGGGCTGATGACGCTCTGGAAACCCTCCGCATCTACACACCCCGCGCAGGCGAGCCGGAAATGGTCATGGCCGTACACGTCGTACAGCGACCGATCACTGTATACCACATGCAGGGCGGCGAGCTGACGCCCATTGTGACGTACGGCGATTATTTACTAGGTGCCGTACAGCCTATCAGCCTGCTGTGGAGCGGGGCGCATTACGACTTGCTGGTGCCTGAGGGCGCCGTTGCGGGGGCCGCCACCGCTACCGCCGCATGAACCTTGCGACGATATCGTTCGGCACCAAAATATCACACGACAGGTTCCACAGCTTTTTCGTAGTGCAGATTGAGCTTTGCATTCTCTTCTCCTCCCTAGGGTTGAGGCAGGAAAGGCGCTTTCCGGACGTATAGTAAGTTATGCGCTGGGCATTTGCATGTATTAAAACATGTACTATGGAAACATATGTATATGTTGAGAGAGAAGAGGAGGAGTTTTCGGGGGAAGAGGTGAAACAACATTTTAACACCCATCAACATGGAGGTGTATTTATGATGCTCTTGACTGGTTTGGGGCAAAGACCCTGGGTGCAGAGGGCCGTCCGGTCTCTGCGCACAGGCCTCTACCGGATTCCGTTCGTTTTCACGATTTTAAGTGTGTTTGCTTAACCAAAAACACAGGTATTCGCAGCAGGGCGTGATTTGCACTTCCTAAATCGGCACATGTCACATGTGCTCCGACATGTGCCGAAGCATACATCGTAGGAATGGGAGATTTATTGCCTCTCTGACGGCCCCTGGTGCGGTCCACAGTAAGCACCCACAGATATCAACTTCTCTGCTCGACTTGGCCTTCAACGCAATTTCGCGAGGCTAAGTTGAAGGGGTGGAGCTGCTGGCAAGACGGTACTAGAAGCACGTGGTGTCAGCCATCGTGTTTCAATTCACGAGCTCGTGATGTTGATGTTGGATGTTGACTTTCGGGTGCAGTGCAACAGGCCTCCCACACTACCTGCTTCACCGAACGCAATGGACAAGCATGAACGCCGTTCTGCCGCCACGGCCTCAGGGATGGAGGTGCAATAAATAGGGGGGCAATGGGACAAAACTCCGCAGGGTGTTCGCATCCCTGACACTGGTAGGAGGATGTTCATTCCGAGCAGGTCCTAGGTCCTCATCGCTTCAAGCATGTAGCTGCATTCCTTGCCTACCTCATACATTCTTAGCCCTGCCCCCCCTGCCCCACCCTCGTCACATTCGCCGTGCAATTTTCCCGCACAGGCAGATTCCAACAACACACACCATCAGTGCTACTCCCGGCGTCCTTCCTGCCCCTATCCACAACATAATCGCCCATGGGGCCCCCATGGGGCACACACAGCCAATCGCCGCTATATGGCGCTCGCCGCGTCGTTATACACTAGGAAGGAATACGTATCTGGTACCCCGTAACCCATGCGACCGAAACCCATGGTGGGAGGAGCGAATCTCTCTGCCGCTGCCGCTCCTCAACCAAACATGCGCGCATATGTGGCCCGCTCCTTCTTGCGCTCCGCATCCAGGACCGCCTTGCACTTGGCTAGCTCAGCTGCAGCAAGAGAGGGAAAGAGGGGAATTGTATGCACGAAGCTAAGGGTCAGCAAAAGGAGACTGGGGGACCAGGTAACCTATACTATAGCATGAAGAGGCGGCATTGCCGCACAGGCAATACGACCCACAACAGCAAGATGACCAGGTACATGGTGTGTGTTGCAGAACAGTTGAAGGTTGCCAAGAGGAGGAGGAGGGGAAAGACGAACCACAAACGAGTGAAGCTGGAGGAGGAGGGGAGGGGATGTAGCTAGTGGGGAGCTATTTCCCTGTCAGAAGGGAAGTAACATCGCACGGCTCATGAAAGCCCTCATGACCCTCAGATTATCATCCCAGATACCGGTCCCTAAAGAGAGGCGGAGACAGGGATGGAACGACAGCAAAGAGATGGAAAGAGAGACCTTGTGCGTTTGCAAATGTTGTCCCTAAGGGTCCTCTCTTACAACTGCAGAAGACGTCACGGGCCCATGCAGCCACCCACAAGCCACAACCACCATTGCGCCTCGATACTCACCTTTTACGAAGTGCGGTTGTGCAGCTGACCTTGGGGCTTATCTTACCTCCCAAACTATCCCCAAACCCATTCTCCCGGGGTTATCTCCTCGCCCAGATTACCTCCTAACCAACCTGAGATGCCCTTGTCAGAAGGCTCAAGCTCCGATGCGCGTTTCAGATCCGAGAGGGCCTCCGTGTAATTCTGTATGGCACACAGTGAGGGAGGGGAGATGGGAAAACACACGCCGGATAGGAGGACATTGAATACGATGCAGGGGGGCACACAAGTGGCCGCCGTTAGCAGATCCTAAACACAGGAAGGAAGGAAGAGCTGAATCCAGCAGCGTCAGCACACCGCTATGTTGTGCCCTCTCACTTGCGCTTTCCGAGTCTCGTCAAACTAACAACCGTACTAACCCACAAACAACCGTACTATGGTAAGGCAAAAGACGAATTCAGTCCCATCATTCCCCAACTAATCAAATCAACTGACTAGCTAAATAAACGCCCAGCATCGCACTTTTTTACTGCTAAATGTTCATGCTGCGAGGTGAGGTGAGGCAAGGCCGCAACCTCCTGGTACTCGGAGCTGGTGCTGAGGTTTTTTGGCACCGTGGCCACACTTGCCCTTACACACTCCCCCTCAGCCCCGTCGGGCCGCTCCGCTACCTTGAGCGCCAGCTTGGCCTGTCCCGCCCTGAACAGCGCCTTGACGTTGTCCGGCACCTGCTCCAGAACCGCTTCTGCGTCGACCAGCGCAGCCTGCGGCTTACCCAGCTTCAGCCGGCAGGCGGCCCTGAGGGGGGTTGGGGGAGTGGAGGGGGTTGGGGCGTTGTCGGAGGCGGGTGGGGGAAAGACGAACCACACACGATTGAAGCTGCTGCCAGGGCGAGAGTGTATCAAACGTAGAACTGACCGAAAGGCGTCCGTGAAGACCGCGACCTCGGGATGACGAAGTGAAGAAGATGTCGGAAAGACTACCTACCTAAGCCGCCAGGACTAAAAAAGCAGAAGAAATAGTATTGCCAAGCCGTAAAGAAGTAAGTGTAGAAAAGTAGGTGTGAAGGCCACGAGTGGGGGGCCACGAGTGGGGGGCCGCGAGGTGGAAATGCCGGGGTAGGGGAAGGTGGGCGTGGGGAGGAAATGGGCGTGGGAAAGGAAATGGGGATGCCGGAGGGCAAGAGTGTGAGGTGCGGGTAGATGATGGGTAGGTGATGGATAGGGGTGGGGTTGTTTGTGGTGGGGAGGTGAAGCCACCGGCGTGCGGGAGTTGGGCGGCGGGCCAGGTATAGGGGTTGGGTTTTAATGCGGGTCAAGATGCGGGCCAATATTTCGGTGGCTCAGGGGCGGGACAGGAAGGATACGATAACGAACGTTGCAGTTAGGAGATGGAAAAGAAGTCACGTGGGAAAGCCACTTTCCAGGAATGACCCATATCGAAGATATGGGGGTAAGCGAGAAGGCAGTAGTAGTAGTGCGAGGAAGCTCAAGTACCGAAGCAGCTAGCAAGCCGAACAAAGGAGATGAGCACATACGCATATACGCAGTGCCCGCCCCGCTGCCCCGCTGCCTCTACTCTTTACGAATCTGGAGCCCACTGTAACCACCACACACACATACGCATACGCATGCATTTTCAACACAAAACGTACACGCAGACAAAAAATTGCATATTGCATTTCTTAACCTACTTTACACACGCGCACATGTTGCATGTTGCTGTCGTACCTGTTGAGCAAGCAGCTGATAACCGCTTGCTGCAGCGCCGCCTTCTGTTGCTCCGAAACCGCCTCCGGGTCGCTGAAGTTGTCCTGACCCACGTAACGCAACGCACTGCTGTACCGCTGTACGGCCTCTCCATACTTCCCGGCCTGCGGGAGGACCCCCCCATCGACGCCGACGCACACACACACACA